AGGGTAAAAACTCAACAAGGAGAGCATGTAAGATAGACGTAAGAGCCCTTTATGGCTTAGCCAGGGCGTAATTGACTCTGTGTGTGTAGTGAGAGTCACAATTCTCTAAGATTGAAGGTCAGGAGCTGATGTTGTGCCCTTAGCTCTTGAGAGACTTTGAGTCAGACGGCTCTACCGCTCTATTAAGTAACTCGGTGGACATACAGCTACTTCTGGCCCCCTACACTCGGTTAAATATTCGGCTTAATTGCGACCAATGAGATGGTGTCCTTTTGCTGTAAACTCTGTTGCGACCGGATCTAGAGCCTAGACAGTTAATAGCCTTACAATCAGTCTAGCTAAGGGAATAATTAGCTTACCGATTTACTACATACACTGCGTCGAGTTTTATACATACGGAAGCCTTGAACGGGCGGTTAGTGTAACAGCTACCCAAGTCGCCCCAATCGATTTTCTTAAAGGCAAAGATCACAGCGACTGGTCGGCTTCTCTCTAGCCTGTCCCCCTTCAACAACTGGGTAGTACTTTCTTAGAAGCTTCTCCACCTTTGACACGGCTATCATGTACATTGGTGGCTACTCCGTAAGTGACGCATCGCCGATACGTACCAGCGCGACCATCTCAGGATCTTCCGAAGTCATTCCTTTTCGCCGCATATCGTAATAGATGGATATATTCAAGATCTGGTTGGCAGCCAGATTCTTCTTTCAAAGACACTACTACTCAAGCCAATTTCGGCTGCGCATACATTGCCCTAGTCCGTAGTATCGTTGTCAAGGGTGGGATTGAGAAACGATTCGGCAGCATGCACGATTGCTATTGCTTAATAAGCCTAGTGATGTGGGACAGTCTAACGAGCTTTGTTACCGAGGCTTGACACTTGCCTAACAAGATGGGTTTGGCCGCGTGCGGCTTTTGCAGGTATTACAGCCATGAGTTAGCTCCTCCAGATGGGGAGTTTACTGTACACATCAGAATGCTCCTCCGAACTACTTATATCTTTATCCTATGCGGGCTCTGCTTCGTTTTAGGAACTAGTGTAGCTACGTAATCATGTGGATTTTAAATACATGTAGCAACTCGGGGATAGTCCTAAATGAGAAGTACAAGATTGTAGCCCATTGCAGTACCAGGTCCGGTTTATGGCTTTGGTCCTTTATTGATCTCAAATCATGCCTAGTAAACATCAGTGGCAAGTTGGAAGCCCAGGTTGAGTTAGTACTAGACTGCTTGTGCCTTCTTAATGATGTTGATGACTTTATTTAGCAGACAATTTTTCAGCTTGTGGGCCTTGCGAGTATAAAAACGGAAGTTTGACTGAGGCGAAGTATAATTGCGGCTGCTCAATCAAGCCTGGCGAGAACCTGTTGGAATAGCCGGAACTCCGGAACTCCGGGTTGAAGTGGCTCCGTCGCCGGCAGTCCTGCCGGCACCCGGGCTGCCCACGTGACGGGCAGACCGACTGACGGCTATAAGACCAACAGCCACTTCCTCCAGCACTTCTGCTGGAACTTCTTCGAAAGACACAAGACAGAATACAGATCAGTTCCCCCATTAGTTATCCTACTTCACGGGTATCCTGTGATACCAACAGAGTCATAGTTTTCCCGCTACCATCAACCTGGGTAAGTTTAGATACTTAGATCTTTTAATATCGCTAACTTGACCGAATTTTTGTGCGGTAGCCTTGTCTATCTCGAACGATCGTAGAAGAGCCGCAGGATAAAAGCCATTCCCGAATATGGATGGCCTCTTCGCTTTCTAGCCTTAATCATGCTAGCCGAGAAATGTATCCACGATCACGACCACCAAGCAAGATCTTGGCTGTCTGCGACAGCAATCTTCTTGAAACCTCCTTCTACGTGCGACAATATTAATTATGTTGAAATCGAGCTGCTGGAAGGATTTGGAAGTTACAGTATCTCACCCTTGATATTATCTCGGATATCGCCTTTAGTAAGCCGTTCGGTGACTCGGTTTGTAATACTTAGTTAGAGGCTGAGAATCAAGCAGTATATATCGTGGCTAAGGGGTGATCCGAGCCCTGATTACACAGGATAAGAAAATACTCACAATGCGTGAATGAAGCTGAGAGCCAATACATTGTTAGTGACTTTGGCTTGAGAAACCTTTCAGTCTTTATCATCCATATAGCTCTCAAAATCTGGTTAATAAGCGAAAGAATAAGTAGAATATTAGAAATTTCTATGGTTAACTCTATAAATCCATTTTTTACGTCCTTTCTTCGCAATCTTCTATACTACCTAACAAGCCTTATAGGTTTCTATTGATACCTTGCCCGCAAGTGGATATCTACAACGTGGAAAGCTTCTCTAAGAAGTCTGGTAACAACAGATACTCTGTGCCCATAAGTTGTGGTGACCTGACTACGGTACGAACAGCATTAACTAGGAACAAAACGGCTTGTATTCTCTAAGTAAGCGAGCGGAGCGAGGGACGCTTAAGAATACAGGCGCTAGAGCAACGTCGTTACCTAAGCCAGATAATATCTAGGCATGCCATCGCCCCATACCGGAGTTCCACAATCATGATAGACTTTTTAACATTTGATTATCACTAAGTATGTAACAGTATAACATCCACTAAACAAGGCGACTCTACACCCAGAGTAGTAAAAGATATGGTGCCTATCCATAACACCATAAGTACCTCATCCGAGTGCATTTGACATAAAGCATCTACATTGTAAGCAACTCCGTCTTAAATCAAATCTAGATCTGACAACTTAAGTAGTAGTCTCGCGAGTTACTCGAAACAAACTCTAGTTTCCCTGGACTAGTGTACTGATACCCAAGAAGACAAAATCTCTTCCCGAAGAGAGTAACGAAATCCTCTGACTGAATCGCAGATCCATCCGTCTCAGGATGCAACACTCCAAGAACTACAATATAGGGAGTGTCACGGACGTATCCTCCACATCGGTCAACCTGCTGTTCACACTCGATAATCCACTCATCTCGCGCGTCTGGCACACGAACAACCAGACTCAAGTGGTAGCGGAACCCCGGCAGTGCTTCGCCTAACTCCTCCGAGTAGAGCAAGAAAACCTTGCCACCTGCAAGTACCTCCTCCTCCGTCAGCTCCTTCTCTCGAAGGAAATCCACGACATGCCGTGGACTAAAGTCCCAGGTCCACATCCGTTTAGGATAGAAGCCCTCTCGTTGCTTCACATGACGGTGCTTTCCGCACCCGGGGTACCAACAAGTGGTCCACAGAACCCAAGACAGTCCACAATCAGTGACTGTTGCGCCTACCGCAAACCCTTCCGGGTTGATCGTCCTGCTCGCCACCAAGCTCGAGATGTCCATCCTGTCAATAGTATTACCCTACCTCCTCTGTCGGTTGAGTGCTCCCGGGTCGCAACGAAAGAGTAGTGCCACGCTCTCTCCAACTCCGTATCTGTGTTCACAGAGTCCTCCCCCGTCGGATGCAAGAAAAGTCACGTCCCGCTGGTATGGTGCTGTCGCTCTGCTTCTCATCAGAAACTCTTCCGTTGTTTCAAAGTAGTATGTTCTGTCCCAGAAAATAAAGAGAAAGTAACCCAGCACTCTGTGTCTGGGGTTGTCCCAGTATTTATATCTCGTCCCTCGGTCATGAGTGTCCACTCTCTCACTCTGTTCAGTCAGCGCACTCCGTGGTGTAGGGGTCAGCACCATGCTTCTCCCGTGTCTTCGCATCCTCCCCCTGGACGTCTGCTCTTATTGGCCCACTCCAGTCATCCTTTCCCCATACCAGTCCACATTCAGCAAACAATTGCATTATTGCCTCTTTCGTCGAACAATGTAGACTCTCCGACTCTCGTGGTATTAGAAGCAAATTCTAAGGGTCGAGCCTTGGCGAAGTCTCGTTCTAATACGGACAAGTGTTGGCAGCTGGCTGCCACACGAGGAAGTGTGAACAGACGATGACTGGTGAGCACCAGTAATGCAGCGTTACCAGACTGGGGCTACCAATTCATTAACTTCATTCACTGTTATTTACTGGATTGTGCGAATGAAGGCATTCACAATAAACATCAAACAACATAATCAAAGTAACATCACAAGAACTACAATTAGACAAAACAATTCAACATCTCTCTACTAAAGAGTATCCATAAAATGAGATATAATATCATTAGATAGCAAAGCTGATCTGTATCACTGTCTTTTCCAAAAGCTGAACACCTGCGGTGTCACGGGCCCGTACCCGAGTTCCAGAACTTAGAAGGAGTCCTCCGGAGGTGAACAATAGCTGTCACAAAGTCAATAAAAGTATGCATTCATTTGCTATGTCTAAACTACGCGGGAGTTCCACTCCACTTCCAAAACCCATTTACGGGGTCACCCCCGAAGCATTCAACTTAGCTACTATTGCACGCGAGAGAGTCTCGAGGACAGGCAAGAAAATTTCGAAATATGTACGTAATGACATAGGTAATTTAGAACGTAAATCTACTAGACTTGTTAATTTTATTTAGCTTATACATGGGTGGAATAGTATCACGAGTTGAATCTGTTACTTTGACAACACTTCCATAATTATGAACTATAGAATGGACTGAGTCTGGTACAGTTATGTGCAAAAATATCTTCCTCTTTGAATACAAACAACTTCACTCTTAAATCAGAGTGGAGCCAGAAAAGTACTCAGATCTACCTAGCATGGTCGACAAGAATCCAGAAATGGCTCTAAAATAAGCTGCAATTGGCAGTGATTACCTAGCGCTGGAGGTACTCAAAGGTATATAGCAAATGCCCGTGTTTGATCCAATTACATAATGACAGTGTAGGCGACAGGCCACAATACCTGGAATAACCGCTTTTTCCTAGCCGGTACGCGAGTGAGTGACTGTAGATAGTGCGTCTTAGAGGCTGTTTCACACTATGTGGAGAAGCTTTAGAGAATAAAAGAGTGTTTTAAAAGAGGAAGGAATATTTGCACATAACTGTAGTAAAAGGTTGTCTTGATGAAAGCAGCAGGTACACTAGACATCCCTACTATCTCATTTCATACATTATAGTACGCAAGGCTTCCTCTGTCCTATGCTGATGATGGCTGATGCTCACTCGCTGATCTACACAGGCATTCTGCTCAGCTGAAAAGCTCATCAGAACCATATTGATCAGCTGAAGATTGCCTTCCGCTTTGGCAACTTGGGCTTGAAATTCCGGTGTTTGACCTTCTCGTCGTTTGTTCCGCGCATCCAACATCGCCTGTCGAATAGCGTTATACTGCGCAACGCTTTCATGGTTTGATGGCGTACTTGTATACATGGTGCGAAGGTGGCCTATGGCAGCATCTCAGCTGTGCGAAGCTTAAAGTGGTTTGTCGAGCCCTCCTTCATCTGAAATAAGACGCCGGATAACATATAGAGATGGCTTATTAGTTGGGGTCGGTGGATGGCTGTCCGCCTTTGCGTGATCAGCGTTTGTTGTGGCTTTCCGATACCCAAGTGCAAATGCAAACGCAGCAACAATTGGCTTGTAACAGCCAAGAAACTGGCGGTCAATGTCATTTCCACAGGCGCCACGCAAGCCAGCCTGTTATTTTTACAAACAGGTCTCATAAGGCACAGTAATGCACTTCCTCGGCCAGTTCTGCCGCTTGTTCGCTCAGTCCAGCGTCGCCAGCCTCGTCCATAGATGGCGATAGAGCTTTGCACATCTCACAAGGTGCAACTGGTACATACAGAAGACGCTCTCCGGCCTTATTGAGATATGTCATGGAAAAACGTCTCGTTCTTGCTCCTGTTGACTTGACAGAGTCGATTTCTGCTGCCGCTTTTCCTGGCATCGATAAAAAGCCATGTCAGGATCTCGCAAGGGCTGCAGCCTTGTCTCGTGAGAAGTATTTAAACTAGAGTAACTGTCTCTCATAACTCCCAATCCATAGTAGCAAGTCCTACATTACAATTACAATGGAACAAGGCCCACGTAGAAGCGGGAGGCTCCGAGCCGCCGAAACTGCGAAAAGTCTGAAAGCCGCGAAAGCACCAACTGCTCCAGAACCACCAACTGTCCCAGAACCCCAAGCCAAAAAAGCGTATAGCAGTAAAAAACGGAAAGTGGCCTCGGATTTGGAAGGCAATAAAGGCCATTATTCTGAAAACGCGCAGTGGCTCATCGACCAGATGTTGCTGGATGCGAAACAGAAACAAGCTGAGGCCACGCAGCGAGCTGACCAGAACGCAGCCGACGCGGAAGCCTGGAGAAATCTGCAGAAGAATGTCGTATCGGAGGAAAGAGATGATGATGACTTTGATCCAGACGAAATGTCTCTCGACGAAATGTCCCTCAACGAGTGGGACAACGAACCAGTTGAGAACGTCAAAACCGAAGCAAACGCCAAAACTGAAGCAAAAGTCAAGACTGAACCGTCCGATATAGGCATCTTTGTACCTCGTAAGGCGGAGAAGACTGTCCCAATTATAGTCGCAAACGATGAGAATAGCAATGGTGATGATGATTATGGCGACGTTGTCTTGGTCGAGTGGAACGACATAGTGTCTGTGAATACTGGAGGGAATTGCACAGACAAAGGCAAAAGAATTCATGGGTATCTCAACGCAGGATGGAATCGATACTACAAAGTCATAGGTCTGGGACCACGCCATTACGAAAAGCTGGAATTTGAAGTGTCACACAATGCCGGAGAAAGAGAGGGGCTCACAAATCTCATGAAGACTAGGAAAGCTCTCGAAGATGAAAAGAAAAACAAAATCATCGTGGACGGCGTCAAGTTAAAAGTGGACATACAAGGCGTCGCGTGGAGTACATCCCAAAACACCGATGACCCGGTCGCCCTGATGGACCCAAGATATTGGGAGAAAATGAAATCTGAAAGCAAAGGGAAACCCAAGAAGTTTCCTTTCACCTCGGTTTATTTAAAATGGACGACTACGCATGCCGACGGTGACCCAACCGTCGAGAGAACCTTTGAGACGAGATCCACAGTGCGCTCGATTTTCGGCAGACATCCCAGGCCCGCCCCAATGGACTACATGATTGGCAGTCGAGTTGTCCTCAAAAAGGGAACAATGATGCCGGCTGGAGATTTAGCAATTTTTGCCGCAGCTATTATCTCATTGGACCGTTACGAGAAGTGGCAAGAGACAGAAAAGGTCAAAGAGGAGGGTGAAGGCGGTGACCGGGACTACTGGAAAGAGCCTAGTCCGGCCCCGGATGAACTCCTTCGGCCGAATAAACCCACGCGTATTACCAAAAAAGGGGCTAAGTAATTAGAAAGACAGAGAGCCCGAGACAAGAAGGCCTGCATGTAGTTGGTGAAGAAGCTTGATTCCTCGCTGGAAGCATCTGATTCTTTAGTAACTGGATTTTTTTGTAGTTTTGTTCTCATTGGCTTAGCTAGTTAGTAACAGTTGAATTGACTGAAAAGTGCGAGGCTGTGTTTCCAGAATGATATTAGTTGTACTTAGCTGACTATGTGCACCAAATGTTTGCGGACCGTATACTGCTCGGCAAAATTAGTTAACAGGAAAGGCTGGACGCCGATGGGAGGGCTGAAGCGTTGACACAGATCACATAACAGCGTCGCGGCTCTAGTGTGCTTTTTTCTGGCCTTCTGATAATTAATCATGGGTTTCTTGTTAAGGCTACTCAGTATCCACTAACAAGACAACAGCCATGATGAAACGACCGTATACATAAGTCCAGATCCGAGTGGTCTTCCATCATGGTTATACTAACATCTTAGGTTCTACGAAAGGGCGACGAGAGACGTCACTATGAAACCCGGCATGATGTAAAGCAAAATATGGAGATTGGAATCGTGTGTCCGGAGGAAACGACCAAGGCTTATGGACGCAGCATAGAGAGAATGCCCGGCCCTCATCTGGACCCAAAGTCGGATAACATCATTATTCACAAGGCCAAAGCCCATAGCGAAGTCGAAGAACGCCTGTCAATAGTCTTGTGCACGTTTTGGTTTTTTTAATCATCTTGATAGAACCCAACCCTGACTACGCCTAAGAGTAGATATTACATTGCTACAATAGACCAACTTCTCTAGTTCCTCCTGTCTACTTCGCAACGCAGTGACTCTCTTCGTACATTCTAAGTACAGTCTACTTCTTGAATACCCAAAGTCTGTTACGATCGGAATCGGGGCAAGCACCTGACGGTAGCTGGACAATGAGTCCGTCGACAGATTCCCCTTCCTTCGAATAAGGGAAGCAAAAGTCTAATTCAGCGGCAGGCTTCGAGGAGTCGTTTGAGGACAGGAAGCTAGTTTCTGGGTGCTCCGCGTCGCTGTTGACGAAGACTTTTGAAGAAACATTCATCTTCCCGTCGGCGGCGGCGTCGGGGTGAAGAAGGCTGTACAAATGTAGATGGACTGAGCTACCAGCGGCGTCGATCTTCAGTACAGATGTGTTCTCGTCAATCTTGTCGCCATTTTTCAAGGAGGCCTTGAGCGACGTTCCGAGCGACGCTATCAAGTCGGTCGAAAGCTCCGACATTTTTCTCTTGCCATGTGCAAGTGTAAGAAGCAAATGAAAATCACGGTCTTTTTGCCCATCGAGAATGCCGTTCAAGTCAACGCCGATCAAGAACAAAACGAGGTTTTCCCTAGAGAGCACCTCAAGATATTTATCGTCCTTAAAGATGAGCTGTTTCATCTTCAGCCAGTCTTCGCCGTCGCTGCTCGCAGTTGTCGTGGCCATGGTTGTTGGTAGGATCAATTTGGTTGTGGTTGTTGATGGTTCGGCAGTAGAGACTTTGCCGATCACCGGCTTATAACTAGCACTTCTGCGCTATGATTGAAGGAGCCGAAACTGGCTTTGCAAGTCGCCGCCTAATCATGCGGTCTGATGGTGTACCTGAAGACGATGGCACTTCCGTCCTTTTTCGGCTGTCAACAGCTTCACTACAACACATTCCTCACGGCTTTCTGAATAGAGCATGTAACTATCGCGGTGGTTGTGTCGCTAACTAATTAGGCTGGAAGTGGATCATGTTTAGCGCAAACGCAGCTTAGTTGTGCGCTCGCCTGTTGCCAGTGTACTGGAAGAACAGTACTATAGACACCAGGAGTCTGTAACGGAGCATGTAGATCCAAAATCGACACGCCGTCATGCATAAGAAGTTCATCCAATATTCCTTTTGCCCTTTCTACAAGCAGACACTTCTGTCGCAGGCGTTTCTGGCTCGATAGAGAGACGTATCGTACCCCTGCAGGTTGTGCATGTAGCTCCACTTCACTCTCGGCTATGATCGCCCTCAAAGCACCAACGCTATGGGAATACCACGGACGGACCGTCGCTCTAAATTTCCTGGCGTTGGTTGCAACTACTGTACTCCATCCACTTCTGGAAATGTTGGTACGTACTCCGTACCTAGGAGACATGGCCATCCACAATTGGATGTTTATCACTACGGAGTGGCCGAAAAGCACGGATCCGGAATTCTCTTTCTAGATCAATGTACGTCTTGCGAGTTGCGCCTAAATCAGCTCTACTGAGCAACCACCATGATTTACAACCAAACAACCGATTATGCTCTCAATTGCATCGACTACATACTTAGGACATCCCTAATCAACCATTGCAAGGATTTTCCAGAATGAGTCCTTCGCCATACGCCATAGCCGCGCTGGTTGTCGCTTCTGCCCTGGGCTCCCTCTCGCATTGACTTCCTATCATTGTAGCCTTCGATCATGTATCAGCCTCGACTCGATAGGCCTCTGCCTAGGCCCCCCCGTCAGACAACGCGCCAGGCTCCTTACCTAGTGCGCAATTTACGTGCGCCTCAGAAAAGTGGCTACCAGCGAGCTGCTGCTGGCGATGTGAGAGCACACAGACAGGGTGCGACCATGTCCGCGGCGCAAGACAAAGACGGCCCCAACAACAGTTCCGTCAACCCCCAATTGTTATCGGCTCCCTCAATGTAAGTGAGAAAAGTAAACCTCCTTCAACTGCTGCATGTTTACCGGACATCTACAGAACAAATTCTCAAAGAGTCTCTGAGGTGCTGGAAGACGATTCTGAGATAAGGTATCTCCATTTCACGAGCCAGGATTATGCCATAACCGCAAGTCAACTTCTAACCACGGCTTAGGACCTACATTTCCAACGGATTTGGCGCCATTCAACAAGCAATCTTTGATCTCACAGAGAAGTATGTCTACTCGCAGAGCTATTGCCATTGGCGATATTTCCGTGATGCATCGTAACATCTGACAGGTTTCAGGGTCGGCGATTTGACTGCTAAGATGGAAGACTACCACAATATACTCGAATCGGCCGGAGCGCTAGTTGTGCCGGAGAGCTTGGAGACGGATGATGTGGATCTGGGGGATATGGCCAGTCTTGTTAATTACTAGACACGATAGATGTACAATCGAGCCGAGCTTACGGAGATAGGGCGCTGATTCTCGGCGACCAAGTAGCAGAGGTTTCACAGCATTGGCACTTGAGAACTAAAAAAATTATTGAAATCGATATGCCCTATTGCTTGCCATGGTCCCACCAAACCTGTTCACCACCTGCTCCCACATGCCCCTAAGGACAATATACGTCTATAAGCAAGTCGTGTTGTTACTCTCGTCGTGCTTCCCGACGCTTTGGCTTGTCTTAACACGGCGAATTTCTTAGAAGCCTGATCTATCGTCCGACCATAATTCGTTGTAGGTCTCTGCTGGGCACCACAGCTCTACTTTGGGGTCATCTACCACTTGCTGGGCAGATGCTACTGTACGACCCAGCCAAGTGGAGTGCTGACCGGCGTAGCTATATAGTGCGAACAGGGAAGAGTAACTCAGGCGCATCAATACCGAAGCTTTGGCTTTGTTGGTCGCCCTGTCCTGCTTGTGACAAGCTTGAGGCGACTGGAAAGTCGATGCAGAAAGCCACTGATCCACTACGTATCGATTTCCCCGTGTTCTGCCACAACCCTCGGGGCGACGCCTCATAGAGCTATTCTAGCAGGGGTAAGACGCTACAGCTCATATCTCGAGTTTCAGATGCTGATACTTATGTCGACAGGACCATTATATAATGCTGCTGGCTCACCCAATCCTCTACAATCGTACATATCTAGGCAGCCCACGATTTGTTGAATAAGCACTGATATGGACAGTCAAACACAGGCCCCTAGTCTTGCAAAGCTCCCTACAGAGCTCTTGGTGCATGTTTTGTGCCAGCTTCCAGACTTGCCTTCGTTATTATCAACAGCAGCGACTTCCAAATACAACCTGGGAGTATACAAAGCATTCGAACAACACATTCTACCGATCTTGTTTCAAGGAATCGTTGACGCTATGTTGTCTCGCGAGAATGTCTCCCAACCGAAACCCTACCATATCAACACGAAGCGAGATTCACCTAGCACTAAGGCAATGCTGTCTAACTTACACCTATCACATCGTCTGCCTCGGATCTATCAATTAGACATTATCAAGCGGAGATTAATAGCACCGGGAACTGTCGAATCCATCCTCCAGCATCGACTCAAGGCCGAACGGAAACGCTTGTTTAAACTTCTTTGACAAGCCAACAAGAACCGTAACTTCCTCATCACCAGAAATCATTCTTCTTCCCGGACAAGTATCATGAATATTGAAGGGAAATAAACGTTAAGGCGTCAGAGTTGGAATTTTTGGGGACAACAAGCATATAGACTTTTCAGTCTGCAGGAATCCGATTTTGGTGACGAATCATATCGATCGTTGAGGCATCAATATAACATTAAGATCAAGCTTTCTTCCCTGTATTGTTTTTCACAAAAACGCACGTCTATATGTACGCTTACAGTCTTGAGCTTGCAAGAATAGACAACAATTCCTATCAAAGTTGCATTACTCGCTAACTCTACCCTTTGACTCTGCTTTTCTGCCGCTGATTATGCAAGCTGTAGTCTCGGCTTTTTCGTCTCGCTGATGGTGAGACAAGCATCCGCACTTGGAAGTTATACATAGCGCAAACGAGACACGGCAGCTGCGATTTGAGAGTAAGTAGTGAAGAGAGTACGGTGCTGTAGGGGTCGCGGGAGCCAGTCGGTACTCCTACAAACTCCAGAATAGGTTGGTTTTGCATAAAGCCGGAACTGGCTGCGGCGCGGCGCTTTTTTGTGGGGCTCCCGGCGCAGAGTGGCTAGCTGGAGCAATTTCCAGTCCTGTTATCCAGGTGATCGGGCCCTAGCTTATGGATCTCGCCACGGTCAAATTACATTGGGTCCAACAGTACCCAGCTCCTCGTTTTTGATTTCACCGGGCAATATTGACGGGATCTGACGTTGGCATGTTTTCGTAGAAGCGAAAGGCAGCCGATTGACCGTACTGCTTCAAACTTGTGAGGTTGGATTATTCTAAGAGCCGATTGTTGTTTGCCACTTAGCGGAGGACTTCTGTAGCTCACTACGAGGTTTACAAGCGATAATAACTGCAAGTGGTTGCAATGAATCATTCCGAAAATTCTTTCATGAGCTGAAAGCTGATTTAGGGCGCGGCTGTGCACTTGTTTTCTCGATTCAACAAGGCGTCGGATTCAGCCCTGGACAAACGTTTCAGTGACAACGCCAAACGCGTCCCTGACACGGCGGATCATGAATCGATTTCTTCTCCGTTAGGTCACAGCCTGTATGAGCAGCGCTACAGTCGGCGAGAATGCGTGCGTCTTTCCGAGCCTCCGGAACTTGCTCCCGTCATCATATAAATGTCTTTTCTTCTTTTCTCAACCGGCTTCTCATGCGCGCTCTACAATATTAAGCGTTGAGTTGCAACAAAACCAGCAATGGTACTTTTCATTCTTATCCTTTTTGCCAGCATTCAACGGCTTGTCGTTGCAACATGTGACGCTGCGAATGTTGCGAGGTGGAGTCCTAACCCGGGCGACACTTTTGACAGCGTCCTTCGCCCGCTAGGGATTGACGCAGCCGCATTTCGGGATCTAAACGAGATGACGGATGGGATCAATCGAATCGATTATGTATCTACTTACTGCGTTCCCTATATCTCATCGCTCTCAACGAATTATTACACTACGTCTGGATCTCGTTTCTTCTCTCTGCCGACTTCTCCGTCCGGCAAAACCTCAACAGATCCAAGTCGCCCACAATCCATGCCAACAACAGGGGCACTAATGAGGAGCACTCTGACTGGTAGTGCTCCCTGTGATACAAACCAAGCACAGATATCCCCCATCACAAACCTGCCTCAAACATTTGATTCAACGTCAGCAAGAACGCAGAATGCCCCGTCAACAAGCACGCCGAGCACGACGTCGAATCACGAAGCCACACCTACTCTAGAGCTATCCAAGCGAAGATGCTGCGCGCAGAAAGTTCGAGATTCAGGCATTATCGATGACTTCAAAGCACAAGCTAAAGACTTTTGCAATGAGCACGGTATCTCTAACTATTATTCCGGACCAAAGTCTAAGAATAGTACCGGAGATATAGAAATGAAAGTCGCAGGGGAGGAATTTGTCTTTTCTCTTAGCTGGGTTGCTCAATGCGTTGATTTTCAGGTGCAAAACGGTCTTCAGCCCGATATGCACAACAAAGACATCACGTGTGAGTCGCTGATGACGCAGAACATGATGGATTGTGGGGAAAAGACGACATCTAATGGAGGTTATATTGATGTTGGCTGCCTTCGGTTCTCATCTAGAGCCAAAGGGTGGGCGTTAGATGGTATAGAACAAGGACAGGTTACAAGATGATATATATATCAGGCTTTAACGATCCTGAATCTGGTGGCATGCAGTTTTATAGACCTGTCGCCATCGGTTTACCTGGTGTTCTAGCGCTTTCTCGGATAAATTATTCCAAGCTATCTTTTGATGTTCAACGTTTTCTCTTTTTGATGTAACTTGGCTTTGTTGTTAATGACCTTGTTGAGAGGATTGATTCTGAGGGCAGCACATTAATCTTACACGCGAGGGGCGGTTAAATGTCACGCATAAAAGGCGCAATCGCTGAACGGCATTTGTGGGTCCCACCTTTGTGTGATATCGAACCTCCGTCCCCTGTCAACTTCCAAATAGTCTTTTGAGATATCTTCATGGCATTTTGACATAACAAACAAAAGCCCCTGGTACAGTAAAAGGCGTACTGGGCGTGCTAAATCCTGCAGTTAACACTTTTAGTAGTGGTGGTGTGAAGTTGCTTCAATTATGGGTGTTAAGACTCTTCTTGTAAACTGCAAGACATTGGTAGAGCCTTTGCTAACAAAGCCAGAATCGAACCCGACAAACGACGGTTTGAACCGGCTCTGAAACCCATGATAGATGAGAGAAATCACGGGTTATTAGTAAGCTATTTCTGGCCTTTACATTTTGACTCTGATAGTGGCTGCTGCTTTAGTACTTGGTAAGTATAGCTCTAATCTGCTATCCCATGTTAGCCATGACTCCACACCACCACCACAAAAGATGTCAAGCTTGAGATTTGGCGAAGCCTGTTACGCCTTTACTGTAGGAGAGGCGGAATTAGAGGACATTAACCCTATCAAACCAACCCCGACAAAACCATAACTATTCAACAACCCGCGTCATAAACAGCACGCACCGCTTCAGCCGCCGTAGATCGGACGTTGGACACTCGGAGAATAGACTTCAAGATGGCATGCTAATTAATACCACACTACAACGCGGGAATCCGTAGCGAGAAGGACAGAAAATAGACGAGTAGGCAGAAAGTGGAGACAGTATGGGCTTCAAGGAGACCATGGCACAAATTCAGGAATGTGCATGTAATCAGCTTTAGTTGCGCTTTCGGCTTCGCCGCCAGGCGTAATAAATTGTGTATGTGTATAGTGTTAGAGTTGGCTCGTGTTACAGTATGTAACGTCTCTATTAAAGTGCGTGTTCTGTGCGTCGGAAGCATCATTCGGCTATGCAGAGCTACCAGAAACCGGAAAGCTCACCTGCGAGAATGTCTACAAATGACTGCGACGGCTTGTTCCTAAAAACAAAGTAACAACCCCGAAACTGACTTCGGTGGCGGCTGCTACTACTCGAAACCGACGGTTGAGCCCATAACCCTGTTGAAACTGTCCCTGTTGAAACCGTCCCTGTTGTTGTACAGCCCAGCAGTAGAACCTATGGTCGCCGCCGGATTCTTAACCTCGTTTCCAGGTTAGTAGTATAATGGGCTGACAACTTCAAGTCTTTGTAGTCTTCATTCGGAATAGTAGTGCTTCTGTTGGAACAAATTACTTCCTCCTAAAATCGGTGTAATACCGTATAGTTATGCATCTGTGGCGACCTACTGCAAGCATAATTCGCTAGGTTTGCTCCCTTATTTTGTATGCTCTGACCCAGAACTGGGACTGCAAAAAGATACCATAGTTTAATGACTTCCACGGCTTCGTAGGGTCGCACAAAACCAAATCATACCTCCGCAGCAGCTGCTTCCAGCCTTAGCATATCGCCCTGACCAAAGTCATCAACCTAAACGCAGCAGCAACTTACCTCAACAAAAACTTTCTGCAGCTCCATCATTGCCACGTTTCTTCCCAAGCACTTCCATTTCCCATGTCCGAAAACGAGCTCAAGTGTTGTTTCCATCGACCTCAACCTCTCCGCATCCGCCTCAAGCCATCGATCTGGCCGGAAGTCGTCTGCGTCCTGTCCCCAAATCTTAGCTCGACGGAAGATACCCCATGCACCATACCCGATTCGAGTTCCCTCTGGCAAGTAGACGCCCTTAAACGTGTCACCGCCTTTGGGGACCTCTTTCGACATCTGACCTACAACGGCTGGGAAAATCCGCAAGCCTTCCTTAATTACGGCTTGCAGGTATTTCATCTTTCGAGCTTCCGCCTCCTTTACGACCGGCCAAGACGGCCGTGCTTCTTGGATCTCCGCGCAAAGAGCCATATGAATACGTCGGTTGGTGATGATATGAAGTAGTGTAGCTCGTATCGCCGTTGCCGTCGTGTCCGAACCAGCTAGTCTGCCAAAAGGAGTCAGCAGAGTCTCGAAAGAGGAACACGGAGGGGAAGTTAAATGAGTCGCACATCTGCATGAGAATCTCCGATGACGCCTCCTCCTGTGTCAGCCCGTGTGCTACAAACGAACCAAGCATATCCTGCTTTGTTCTCTTATTAGGCCCAAAGCGTTCGCTCGCAATTTCTTTCGCCATCCTGCCAGTGATCATCAGTCATGGTGGTCTTCGACAACGCGCAAAGAGGTTGCAAGGAAACAAACGACCCAGACGGCCAGCCCTTGATCAGTACATAACTTGAGGCAAGACGCACCGGATCAGCTTCCCAAGGCCTGTAGTATCACTTTCCGAAGGCAACAGCCGCCGGAGCAAAGGCCACGACAGCATAGACAGTATCCAGGGCAGGACGGCCGCAACGACGATGTTCGGCATGCTTTTTTCTGTCGCGTGGATGTAGTTGTGAACATCCGAATCGGACGTTAGATCGCCGAACGGCCGTCCGAATGCGAGATCGGAGATGACATCGAGGGTAAAATACTGCGCCTTCAATCCAAAGTCGAACCGCTTGTTCTCGGAAGCATATGTATCAATCAGACTCATGAAGCGGAGAACATTTTCGTCTATCTTGGCTTCGAGGTTGGCGACTTCTTTGCCAGAGTACTTTGCCGCAGGTGTTAATATTCCTAGTGGAAGGGCTATGTGACAAAGAGAAAGATGTAACGCACCCCTCCCGCCATCTGAGACCGAAGCTTGGTATGTGTTGCATCATCTCGGGTAGATAACACGTTGTCGTGCTGGGGATCTAGTCTCATGGCATTGTACCAGTCTGAACGCGTGTATTTTGTGCGCACACCGAGCATATGCCTCATGAGGTCCGGGTCGCTCGTTACAATATCCCTCGGACCAACTCGGACAAGAGAACCTGTGGAATGTTTTAGCAGTTTTCAATGAGTCAGTTAAGTGCTGAAGACGTCGCGTCTACCGTATTGCTGGTTTGCCTCGTAGAACTTCAGGTGCATGTTGCCGCTGTATACCGCTTGCAGAAGCCACCACTGAGAGAAGCCCGCGGACGGAGGACCCCGTATGTGTCGTAGCCGTACGTACTGACGAACTATCAGTGCAACGGCATACAAGGCTGCACCCCCCACCATAATAGTTGTGCAAATGCTGCTATGCCACATCGTGAAGTTGGCCTGATCGCATGCCAGCGGTATGAGACGATGGGTGACAGCGACTGCTTGGCTTTGGCACCGTGGGCCTAGAAAACAAGCAGAGATTCAGTAAATAGTGTCTTTTGGCGGTAATCTTCTGTAATGTTTCGCATTCGATGCGGATGTACTTAACTAATAGGTCGTAATGGCATGGTGCATGTAGTTAGCGAACCATCACGCGTACGCCAGTTGTGGCTTCATGTAAAACGACTTAACGGCCACTTTGAGTCGCGGCGTGTTCTAATCTTCCAGAGCTGTTTCCGGCCCTTCTGGTGCCCCTACTGAGGCCACATCTACCCGAGACAGCAGGGGAGGCAACATCAACATTACAGTTACTGCACCGCGTGCCCGTGCTTTCCATACACAGCGTCCTTTCTGGATCCCTCACATCATCTGTATAAATACGCAAACAAAACACGCCGGCGTCCAATTTTCTCGCAGCCCGACGCAGATTCGCCCCCTTGCTACGCCGTAACAATGGGTTGTAATCCCTCGAGGCCTTCGGACAGCTCACAACCGGACCTGAGTCATAGCCCCTTTGTCCACTATCCGCCAACTGTAATCCGTCCACCCCGCTATTCCTTCAATGATCACAACGAAGCGTGTCGCGTACTGCGCCTTTGGGAAGCACGAGGCGTAAAATCTCGCAGCTTCACGTACGTAGTCTACGTGATCAATAACAGTCTGCTCGACAAGTCACAGACACTCGCTCAGGCGAGATTGCTGGGCCATATAAAACAGCTAGCGGCTATTCATGGTCTTAGAGTTTTGGTCAAATGTCTGGATTATCTGTCCGAAAGCGATGACGATCCGGATGCCGCAGAGGAAAAACAGATGTATCTAGGCATACTAGCGGCCACATCTAAGGCAGACATAATCCGTATGTGGGACGAAAGACCAGCATCCGCCATTTACCAAGACCTCGAAGACATCACAACCGCCGAGCAGCGGATAAGCACCGTCATCGAAAAGATCAGATGGAACAGGGATATAGGTGACGTAGATGTCAAAAACCAGATCGAGCCCGAGGTCGTTGCCGCTCTTTCACGGTTTGCTAAGAGTTGGACGTTGGACGAGTTCTTGGAATCGCAGGATCAGATTATGAGCGAGCCCTCGACCGTGAATGCAGCGGGTATATCGAAACTGCAGGCCCAATTTATTCTGCAAGCCCAAGTCGCCCAAGCAAGCCTCATCAGTGACAACGGCGCGACGCCGACCGTCGCAATCAGCTTTTTGCCGGACGAGATTCCCAATGTGACGCTCATCAACATAAAAAAGCAGCTAAAGGCTGTCTTCGTGCCGCTGGCGAAACGAGTAAAAGAGTCCGAAAAGTCCTTGCGCCAAGACCTATATACTATGCAGCTGGTCTCTCTCGGGACCAACCACAGCAAGGGTGGCCAGCAGTGGAGAGAACTAGATGACCTCGAACAGGCCGGCATGGATATTATTGATCATCTGCACCTGGACTCGGGCCAGATGCTACTACGCGGCCCGGGTCCTCGGCTCGGCCAAAAATTGTTGCTGGGATCCGTCGACCCCGTCATTGACCGGGGTAGAGCAAAGGGAAGGCCGGAAGAGGATCTGTATGGCTCAGGAGGTTCGCAAGTGATCCGCGAAGATATGGATGCTTGCATTTGCCAAAAGCCGAGTATTGTACCGGGCCCTGAGTATATCCGGTTGGATCAAGATGCCTAAGACGAAGCGAGACGAAGCAACTGTAAAGACGTGCCTTCGTTAGCTACGGTACCCACGGCAAGAGCCACAACTGCTGCTTTAGTTTTCTTAATAAATGCGGGCCTCATTCTAGCCCTTAATAAGTGGGGTTGTTGCTACCTCCTGGCAAGAGAATAGAGTGGGAAGTTGTCCATAAACGGCTTTGTCCTATGACGTTACCTATCTCTATTGTAACGAGGAAAAGGAACCAGTTTTGCCGCGTCGGCTTCCACGTCGACGTAGGTTCCGTGTTGTTGTATGGCCGAGTGTGACGGCAATGGTGCGTGCCGTCTTGACATCGTGTGAGAGCCAGATGTTGCTCTTCTAATGTTTGTTGCTTTTGCCGTACCATGCACGAGCTGGTGATGCTGCGGCTTTCTCCCTACATGGCATTGTAAACCTTGGACTGGCTTCCGATAGAGAAAAAGGACGTTACCACATCTACATGCCCATATATTAGCATTGTCTCGGCCCAATGTGAGATGCAACGCAGGAAACCAAGACGATCAACAGAAAATCACACAGACCATAGAGTAGTCCACTCTGCATCAGCCAAAGTGCCAACACCTGCCGTCGAAACAGACATGTCTTTCGATCTTTCCTGGCCCAATGCGACTATGCGCGCTGTCGTTTACCAGGGCACTCCCTTCCAAATGACTGTTGAAGACGTCGCCAAGCCCGCAATTCTCAACGAGACCGATGTCGTTGTGAGGATGACAACCGCGGGCATTTGTGGATCCGACCTGCACACCTATCGTGGCTACATGAGCGGTGTTGTGCCATATATTATGGGCCACGAGGCTGTCGGCTACGTCTCAGAGGTTGGCGAGGCAGTGTCTTCCCTCGCCGTAGGGGACTATGTCATTATTCCCGATACTGTGTCTCCGGACCAGCTGGAGATGGAGCCGACGTCGAAGGAATATTTTGGCTTTGGTAACAGCCAAATGGGTCTTGGTGGGCTTCAAGGTACGAGAAAGCCCTGCTGAGCAACTTTACTCTCGACATTCTAGACGGCCGTGTCCTAATACTAGGGTTCATAGCCGAGTACGCGAGGGTCCCCTTCGCCGAGGCCAACTTGATCCCCATCCCTCTGACCCATGAAACCGCCAACTCGACGATCGAGCGTGACTACCTTACTGTTTCGGATATCTTCGCTACGGGCTGGGCCGGCATCGACTACACCGGCTTCCAGCCCGGTGATTCCGTCGCCGTCTTCGGGGCGGGTCCCGTCGGGCTGCTGTCCGCTTACTCGGCCATCTTGCGCGGGGCTTCCAAGGTCTACGTTGTCGACCACGTCGAGGAACGGCTCAAGCTTGCCGCTTCTATCGGAGCTATCCCTATCAACTTTGCAAAGGACGATCCCGTTGACCAAATCTTGGCGCGCGAACCGCGCGGGGTGATGCGCACCGTCGACTGTGTTGGCATGGAAGCTCTGAACACCGACCTGGAAATGGACGAAAGCGTTGTCGTGCAGCAGATGATTGATGTGGTGCATTTTGGAGGAGGCATCGGCCAGCTGGGCGTCTATAAGTCTCAGGCCAGCTCACCTGGTGCGCCGTACGGTAGCACCATGTCGCCTACGATCCCCTTTCCCATCGCGACCTTTTTCGCCAAGGGTCTGAGCTTTCGAACGGGAGCCGTAGACCCAAAAAAGTACGCCCCTATGTTGATCGATCTCATCAACAACGGTAAAGCCCATCCTAGCTTCGTGATTAGTACCGTTATCAGCATTGAGGATGCGCCAAAGTATTACGACCGCTTCAATAGCAAGAAAGAGACGAAAGTAGCCATCTACTTCGCGGAGTAATGCGGCACGAGCGTAAGAAGGTTGGGTTGTGTAGTTAGGCATCATCGCGAGATTCAATACAATTCACAAGAACTACTTCACAGACGCCAAGCCTCCATTATATACAGGATAACTTATTGGGCTTCTTTTAACAAGTGATGAAACAGCTTGCCTGGCTACCCCTTGTGTTGAAATTGGGCCCCATGTTGCTAACCACTTCAGCCCTTTCGCTAAGGCCGTGCCAGGCCGATATTCCGTGTTCCATTTCCCAGCTGTACACCGAGTCACCACACTGCTTGGCAGACGTGGCCATCCCATATCTGGCCATCTCAAGTGAAGTAATGTGGTTCTAGCGGGTTTATTCATCATGGAGGGCCTCCACAAAAACGCATCTGGCTACCGCTTGTGAAAAAGCTGACAACCATAAACCACTCCGATGTTGTAGAGAGTCTTATGTGATTGGACCTGGGGCAATCCATCATGTGCGTGCGCTTGACAGTCCGTAGCGCGCAACCAGCCAAGGAAGGGCCTAGGGTACTACGTAGTAGATAGAGATTTGGGTTCCACTAGTTTGATGAGTGCGGCGGTGATTTTGGTCTGCGGGGCTTTGCAGTCCCGCCCTTTTCTGCTGCTTGCATGTTAATTATGGGTAAAGTTTGCATTATATCCTTTATAGAGGTATTCTTTTATCGAAGGCATAAAACAAGACTCGCCTTCTCTCCCCAAGCGAAGCCATTTCTAGTAGTTATTCCTTCCTCTACGTTTTTTTGTTGAATATGACCGACAGACATATGCCTCAACCTAACTACGAGAGTTCCCAGACGAAGTCAAGACGTGAGGGTGAGCGTCCGCTTGAGCTATACAAAAACAGCCAGGCGGTATTCGAACATAATACTCAGCCCAGAGAAGGCGAACACAACCTCCAAAATAAACTTGCCGACATGTTGCGATCTGAGGGCTGGATTTGCATACCCCCTTCAATCAGTATTGCCATCACTCCCATGTGTAATTGACGGATAGGTTGCTAACAAATTCGACCACATTAGACTCAGCCATTGCCAGGCCCGAGAACCCCGAGAGGAGAGTCTTTGAACCGTGTTTTAACCCGGAAAATCATTCCAACCCACGAGCTTCCCAGCAAGCTAGACAAAAGCCGAATCAGAAAAACACCGCTGGAGGAGAAATGGAACGGGTGCTGACTTCGACCGGAAACGCAATGTCCATAAATAGTCTCGTTGAAGTGCTATAAAGTTGTCGACCAACATCTTGATCCGAAGCTAACAGATCTAGCAGACTCATACGCCAGTCGAAGGACATCAAGACAACATGACAATGCAGCCCATGACCAATATTAAAGCTTCGCGAGGGCGAGTTTGCTACGGTACACAACTAACGACAGGAGACCAAGGTCATAGCCTCGCGAGCGTTGTAAGCATATCTTGTCGCTTCACTATGTTGTTGACTAATATTATTATGTAGGCTGAAAGACTAGCTACATCTTCCATCCCCCTCAAACGCCAGAACTTCTTTGCAATGACTTTCAATGGTCACTTAGTTGTATTTTGTACACAACCACCCGAGGTCAATATGAATGATCTCTTCTTGTTAGGTTCCATTCCATTATGCCGGCTTCGCCGCTGGAAACGGAATTACAGCAGTAATTCGAGGTTCCAGGGCGGTCGCGGCATTTTTGCGGGCACTTACATGCAACCGAACGAAGCAGAAGCATGCTGCATTAGTGTTAAAGCGGGTGCAGATGTGGAAAAAGCACTTCAAAGTATCAAATCCGAAATCGAAAAAAGGAGTCCCGAGTAGGAACTCTTCGTAATTACTGGTCCTGTGGTCTCACGAGACAAGCCTCCGGTGCCATTGTGTGCCTCATTCTCTGAATGTTTTGCTACTATACATAGTTAGATACTGTACGTGAGACAAATCGTTCTCCTTTTGAGTCACTGCTTACAATGTTGGTATGCATCTTTTCAGAGCTCATCAACGTGGCAGGGGCGTTCAACTGGGTACCCATCAAGCTCGGATGGAACAACAACTTCAGCCCATGCCTATCCATGTCGCTCAACAGAAGTAAGTGTCCACCGCTACATTCTGGAGCCGCTTTCTGCCTCAGAAAAGGATGTGTCCGCCGTGGTCGTAAAATAGCAAGAGGGAGCGTACGGAAGCGCGTCACAGGGTGAGTTGTCGAACCCGGAGCTAACAAAGGCACCCGCACCGACCGGCAGCGAAGGCATTGGTGGATCCGTAATGCCTCAGATGGTAGCTACTTCCTAACGCCCTTGGCGGCGGCGACGCTGTCTCTTCTGAAGGGAAGTTGGCTCGTATGCTGTGGCGGCACGATTGAAGAAGCTTCTGACCTCAGACGCTTGTTGGATCTGTCGGCGTCGGCGCCTGGAAACTGTCCTTCACGGCGACGCCTCTCTAAGGTGTTGAAATGAACCGTTAGCAACCGACCTCACGGCTCTCGCACATTCGTCTCGACTATCGGTCCCTTCCACAAACGCCCATGGTCCTTTCGGTATCTGCTGCTAATGAACATGTTTTTACAGACGTCGCGCCGCATCGGCGTTATGACTGGCAATGCGCTATTGAGCTTCCCCCGGCTGGGCTCCAACTAGCTTCATCGACTTCCTCCCCGACTTCATTACTGCCAAGGCGCCCACGGTCCAACGGTGCTTGGAGAACATGGAAGATGAGCTCGCAGAACGCATGGTGCAGGATTGTGAGCTCAACAACTTCAGCCGCGATAGCGAGATCTACAGGAACTTGAAGGATACGACCGCAGTGAAATGTCCGGATTCATAGAGCGTTAGCATAAATGACGAAGCCTTCGCCCCGTTCCCCTGCATGATAGATCTCTGTTAAAAAGACTCTCATTTAAAACTGCCAACCTTCCGGCCCCGGTTTAGTAACAGTTGTTTGATGAGAAGGAGCCGTGTCCGATCTAGCAAGCGATGTTGCCAAAACCAGCACCAGAACAGAACGTCCCGTCGCCAACAACGGCGCCACAAATATCCTAACTATGAACGACGAGACAGCGCTTGAAGCATTGCAAAGGACAAAGACAATGGCACAATAAATGTGCCCATCAGAACCCTAGCTGTTTTAGTCGTTTTGAATGCTATGTATGATAAGCTTTTAGTGCGGGGAAATCTACCTACAGACTCCACTGTAACACTGCCCACCACCGGACTTAATCGGTCCGGTTTCGCGTCGTTCGGCTCACATTAGGCAAAGCGCTGTGGACGCTTTTTCTTTTCTTGTCTTCTGTATCCGTGCCTGCCCAACTTAAAGTGGATGAGCCAAATGCGAAATCCAATTAAAATACGAGTTATAGGCTGGGGGCTGGTCAGTGAGATAGTTGTCTTTGCTCATACACATCACTTCTGAGCTGTTCCGTGCCGCATCAACTCTCACGTTTATTGCCAACTTTTGTGGATGCATGGCTACAAGTAGGACATCAACAAACTGAGAGGAATTTATAGCTTATTGTAAGTCAAGCAAAATCAGAAACAAGGTTACGTGAAATCTAATATAGTGAGTGTTATGCAAGCAGTACATCGATGGAGTACAGCCCTGGAAATCCGCTCACATTCATTGTGGGCATGTGAAGCAGCTTGTTTTCGACTGGCCGACGACGCGCGACCGTCCCCAAATCAGAGACAGCATCTGATGTCTGCTTCTCTTTTACCACCGGCAAACCGCTAGCGCCTGATTCTCGGCCGTTTACGGCTTGCCTCATCAATATCATTCTCTCGACATCGCTTCTTGCGGTGGTCAGACGTCCCGAAGCACTGATCGAGCTTTTGGCTCCGCACCAGCTGCTGAACGGTAAATGGTGAGCCACTGATGTTTTGGCCCTCGTCTTGGTTCTCCCACAGGCAGATGGGCAGAGACTCCTGCAGACTGGCCACACGAAATCTCACCTCCAAGAAGAAATGGCCGTCTGGACAGATGATCGGATACGACGCAAAGTCAACCGCTACTTCGTGGCCGCCGACCAAAAAGTAAGCCTTGCTTCTAGCAAGTTGCGACAAGAATACCTTCAAAGTTTCGGAGTGGGCACGCAGCTGGCAACGTATGTGTCCGCGGCACTCGTATCCTCCATCAGAAAACAAATATGGCTGTGAAGCGCGCAACTCAAAGACGAACAGATGGGCCCTGGCACAACGCCCTAGCCGCTCGAATGATGGTAGGCCTCGAAAAGTACATTCATCATCACGTTCAGGGTCGTCAAAGCTGGTCAGACTATCCAACGGCGGTTCGGGGCCGTCGAACTCGACATCAAAGCGGAAGAATTCACCTGACCGACCAACCTTCTTGTGCGCCACAAGCCGTTGCCAGGCGTTCTTGTCGCTTCGAAGAGCCCTAAAGGCCCGTTCCAGGCGGAAGGGGAAGTAGGCCTGCCATCCCCCGTTGGACTCGTACGCTGGGTGTTCTTCTTCGCGAGAGGAGCCCGTACCCGCCGAGACAAAGAGGCTTGGATCGGCGGCTTCGGGGAAAAGGGAAGCCACCTCTTGCAGAGCGATCGACGAGGGATTGTTAACAACCAAGCCGCCGTCTTGGAATGTGCCGAGGCCGTGGATAGTCCGAGGCGTAAAATAGCTGTGCGACTCCGTCAGCAACCTCCGTCAGCAACCTCCGTCAGCAACCTCCGTCAGCAACAATCGATTTCAACCGAGATCGATGTTGATTTTGCGATGACATGGTCAGTACTAACTACGGAGCTGCAGTTGCACACCGAACGCTATAAGTCACGTCAGCCATGACAAAGACATGTTGCAAGCGTAGCTTATAGACACTGAGAGACCACGCACATCTCCCATAAGGATGCCTGTTCGCCACTGTCTCTCGTCGTCAACACCTCATAGCCTGCGAAGACCATCAATCAGCATCGGGTTGCGCCGTCAGACCGTATCATCGGAAATAGGAAAAACTACCCTGATCTCCGCCCCGTTGGCCTAATCCGTTGTAGTTGGTGAAGATGCAGGCTGTCGCATCTTTCACTGTAGCGACTGTCATACCGACCATAATGCCCATCGCGTCGGCAGCCGAGTAGTCGGCGATGGTTCTGTCCGAGCCAAACATGTCTCGCAACGCCTGCTCGATGTGTCGCGACGGATACCTGCTATCGAAAAGGAGCAAGCCTGCGGCACGAATTATCGTTTTGACAAACGGAACCTGCATTATCAGTCGTGTCAGAGGACCTATGATGGGGATGGATGGGCTCCCGCGGGGCGTGAATGCCTGGTTCGAAAGAGACTCGAAGCGGGCAATGCACTCGTCCACCGTCCAGCCGTTGATGCAGAGAGCACCGGCGCTGATTGCGCCTGCCACGGCGTGTCAGCCAAGACATTAAGTCACACACGCGATGGGACCATTTCACGACAAACCTGAGCTCGTCCCGAAGACGACGTCAAAGTTCTGTTGCACAGGGTGGCCCGGCAAGCCAATGGCGTCTTCAAGCTGCTTCAACAGTTTTAGGGGGTACTTTCCCCTCGTGCCGCCACCGTCAATACACAGCACACGGACCGACGCGGTGTCCGGCTTCACTCGTATCTGCATGCCGACATTTCGTCCGCAAAGAAGACACTCATCGACCTCGACCAGCCACGGATCAACCGTGCTCACAGCACCAAAGGTCTTCACACAATTCATGCACTGGCCGTGGCCGCATTCGGGGAAGAACTGCGGGCGACGCCGTAGACATTGAAAACATGTGCTGTCAGACCGGAGCCGTCGCCAGTCCTCTGTGAAGGCGGCGACGAGCTGGCGATGGAGGGACACCGCGGACTGGCCCGCCGTCAGCTGCCGGAACATACGAGCCATCTGGGTCTCGATCATATTGGAGAACTTCGACGGCAAGATGAATTCGGTAGATCCGTCGTGCGCCAAGACGGCTGCGCCACACACGTTGTAGCACACATCTTTGTAGAACATCTTGAAGACCTCTCGCGGATCGAAGACTATGTACGGTCAGTGAAAGTCAGAGGTTATCTATCCAGAGCCCGCGTACGTACGGTGCATGTCTGGGGGATAATGGTCCAGCAGAAAGCTGGAGGCGATGACAGGCACGGCAAATCGTTTCAACGCCTCGACAGAGTCGCAATGCGTCAGAAACCGCGCGAGATGTGCTTGTAGATCTTCTGCTATCGGGTTATCCAGCCGAGAGATGGCGAGAAAGTCGAGGGGCGGAGCGTCGGCATCACCAAGGTGCTCCGCGGCGTGGCGTATAAGACCGGCGAGATGGGTAGCTGAGAAAAGGCAATAAGCAAGGACGCGCTCAACCCTTTTAGTCTCTGTCATGTAGGAAAGCTCATTGCTCAGGATATCCCAACGCAGGGAATGCAGATGGCGTCGCAGAGACTTGGGAGACGTGTCGGCCAGGCTGATGACTCGGAGGCCATGGAAACGTTCGGATACATGAGCGTCTGTCCTCTTGCGGACGGCATGTAACAACTGACTGCGTGCAGAGTTCTCTTCGCCGCCGTTCGTGACGACCACTAACCATGGACGCACCGACGACGTCGATGGTGACTCTAGATCCAGCCACGACGCAAGCCGCTGGGCGACAATCTCTACGCCGCCGATATCATCGGCAAACAAGCAGACGACATCTGCAAAGGGGAAAAGCATGCGGTTATAGACACGGTCGCCGGCTTCCACCGCTGTGGACGGAATGGCTACGCTGAGCGAGGTTGATATCGACCTCGTCACGAGTTCATGACAGAGCGGAGATTTTCTTGGCCTCCCGAGCCGTTTGTGGGGCGGGATATCGGCATCGGCAATCAAGGTGGGCCTGCCGCCGGCGGCGCCGACAGGAGCTAGAGAGAGGTGGATCTCGCCATGACCCCGGGTCGTGTTTGGCCTGGTGATGTCCACTCCAAGTCTTTGCATTACGATCCGCTTGGTCGCATTTCCAATCAACACCAGCGTACTTGGATATTGGCAGTCCGGACGTGGCAGACTGTCTAGCAGTCTCTTGGCACGGTCTGAACTTTCGATAACGTATGCCTGGTCTTTGGTTGCAAGGCGCAGCCAGCCGGTATGTTTACAACGGGTCATTTTCTGCCTTAGTTCAAGCTTTCCAGTCTATCACAGGGCAGACGACACGTCTGTTTTATAGTAGTAGTAGGCGGACGGTTCGAGCTGAAATGAGCTTTTTAGGCCTATATTTTACCGGAAGCCTGGATGCACTTCTGGCTGAGGGAACTTCATACAGCGAGGCTGGGTTGCACACACTAGATTACGTATGTACAATATAACGCTTCCGGAGGCAAAAGCTCCCTTAACTCTGAGACGGTTCTAGCTTCCAAAGGAGCCGGAAGATGCTCCCAAAAGTCGCTAGCGCATGGTCATACACTTGAGCGACGGAAGCCCTCTGAGATTGTACTGTGTGTATATGTATCTTACGGTAACATAAGACACTGTACATACAGTATGCGCGAAATTGTCTTGTCTATAGATTTGCCAAAGTAAACCCATAAAGGACTCATCAATCAGTCTGTGATCGGGAAAGGCTGCTCAAAGATAGAATAACCAAAACTAATCAATCGAATATACACACGCCTGCATGAACTACCTTGACTTTTGGCTTAGGCATGGCTTCTGAGACGACCTTTCTTTGCGTGTAAGCAAGAGTAACAAAGAGCGGAGATTAAACTTACGTTTGATCGGTGTGCAGTATCTCAGATACCCTTACCGCGGCGCGACTGGGAGTCCCTCCCGGCATCTTCTGATATCTTCTCGACTTCTTCCTCCTTTCTTCGCCTTTCTGATGCGGCTTTACGTCGCTGTTGAGATGCCTTTCCTTGCTCATCCAGGAAATCAGAGTCTTTTGGGTCAAGAATCTTTCTCCTACCTAGGAAAGACCAGTTAATCCGTGCTATGGAGATTGCTGAAACCAAACTCCCATCTCCCGTTGGGGAGAAGCCCCTTTCGGCTCGCATACGAGAGTCCTGGGAAAGCGGGCGATTCTGCTTCAACCTTGCATCGCGTAGCAGTTTCGACGTTGATGAGATCTACTGGAAGGCGTTGCATAAGGATGGTATAGGTGAGAGGTTGTTAGACAAAACGACCATCGAGGAGAAAGGCAGGTTTCTGAAGCTGAAGAAGGAACAACTCGATGATTACTGCAGAGAGAAGGAAATGACCCGCGTTTCGGGAGGTAGCATTCGGAGACACTGAAGGGTTTCGCGGTCTGGCCACAACTGGACTTCATAGTCAAAGCAGTGAACATGGATCCAGCTGAAAGGAGCACTACGAGACCAACTCCTCCCTAGTAACGATCCAGTACTGTATTGATCAATACCTTGGCATGTGACTCTATGTCTATCTAGGCCGCCAGATAGGCTGGGATCTCAGATATGTGATTTTCTCGCCGACGGACAGTGCTACCTGATATTGAAATACAATACTAGGCCGGCGCACGCGTACAATTCAAAAACGGAAAGCACCCATTGGCTAATCTCTAATCACTCAGCACTACCAGCCACATAACCTAAGCCCTCTAGTCGCATCAGGAACAAATATAAAAGGGCGTTCACTCCGTTCGGCTAACTTTCTTATTGAAAGCATCTGCACGTACCTGGCTTCTTACTCGAACGAATCATATTGTGAGACTTGTCTTCTCTATTTTCTAAACTGAGTAACGAAATGAGGTTGTGCCTGAATATGTTTTGTGGATGTAGTAGAACATACTCATTCCGTCCATTCTATGACGGGATGGTTCCGCAGTCAGCTGCCGGGTCACGTGCAGGTGGCCAGGCTTCACATTCGGCCACGAGGCCATCACGACAGAATATAAGCTTGTATTAGTAAGCAGGCCGCTGGCTTATCAAAATGAACTTTTCTGGTCGTGCTTATGTGAGCTCTCGCCTTACTAATACCTTTTGACCAATCGGAAAGCACTGTGCACCGTCCCGCACGCGAAAAAAGCCGGAAAAACGCTCTCTACGTAGTGCTCCGTACCAGAACCCTCGGGTGATGCATCACCTAGGCAACAATTGGAGCGGCCCTTCGCCCCATCACCCTATCAACTTCAACAAGTAACTCGCTACACCTAAACCCACCGTTTATACCTCCACTTCGACACGCCAAAGCATCAAAAAGCAACACGAATTGGAGACATGAACGATGTCGTCGCCGCCTGGCTTCAAGACGTGATTCAAGCCGAGCCTGCGGTACTCCCGTCTCCCCCGCCATCGCCAACACACTATAAGCGAAAAGCTACCCTGCAGCGCGAACCCGGCGAATTCAAACGTCCAGCTTTCGGTACAGCAATGAACGCACGCCAGCAGCGGGCGCTGCGGCGGAACAACAAGCGGGATACCAGCGGGGAAGACAGGGCCTCGTCGAGCGCGAGCACTAATGACGTGAGCGATGAATGCCCTGGGTCACCCACACCAACGTCACGGTATAGGCAACATGGAACAACACTGGTCGAGCCGGGAACGACGAAGACCAATGCTCGCGATTCCGATCTATTCTTTTCGCAGGCAAATCAAGCTTCGGCCTATACCATCGCCATCGGTAGCTCGTCATCTAAGTTGCAATCCCTCACGGCTCTTTCTGACGCTGCTAGCAAACAATCCCGCAGCCCGGTAAAAGGCATGGCTAGTCTGCAGTTTGCCGAAAAGCCAGTCCTCTCTGCTGAGCTCACAAGACAAGACCAGATCCCAACCGACATATCGAACCTGATCAAAGACATCAAGCGCATCAGGGCAGGGATAGCCATCGTTCCCAAAGCAATGCGACAGAACATTGAACATGCAATTGAAAGCATCTCGCTGCTCGAGCCAGAACTCGACGAAAAGAATATTGATAATGCACCTGCGATGAGGCCGGACCGTGAGTTACAATACGAGTTGGATACACTGTGCTGGGTTGTGCGTGACACGAAGAATGCTCTCAGCCACGACCGCTCTGAGGCGCACTGGAACGAGCGCGTTCATTCCCGCATTCTGATTGCCGCAATTGAGAGAGACCGCGATTGCGACGTAGTGGATGGCTGCTTTGTTAGTGTGCTCAACTCAACACAAGCTACCATCGCCCCGGCATGTATACCCCGTCGAGGTCCCAATATCGATATGGAGGCGAAAATGGTCGATTATTGCATCTGCATTTCTGATCAGGATGTAGAGACAGCTGCGCGGAAAGCCGTTAGCACGCAGTCATGGTCTTCAGCGCACCGCACACCGAGCTCCGCGAGCGTTGCCTCATCAGCTAGCGCCGCCAGCATGACGAAGAAAAGGAAACTACCGTCGCTGCCCGAGTCAATCAATCACACCGAGTACGCGCCTTTGACACTGAGCCCGATCACCGTGAGCATCGAGACTAAGAAGCCCGGTGGGTCTGAGGATGCGGCTAAGGCGCAGCTTTCCGTGTGGGTTTCGGGCCAGATTAATCGGCTGCATCAGTTTCTTGGGCCACAGCCTGTTGGTATTACGCTGCCGCTACTATGCGTGTCTGGGTCCGTGTGGCAAGTGTTATTTGCGGTTGAAAATTCTGACTATATTGTATGTGTGTTTTCCTTTGTTTCGGAGACGCTGCTAATGGTTGCAACTGCAGGAAATTCTTCATTCCTTTCGGTTAGATGCGGTGACACTTCTCGGGTGTTACCAAATCGTGGCTTTATTGCGCGCGTTAAGGACATGGAGTGAGACGGTGTTTCGGGATTGGTTCCTTGAGTCATTCTTAGCGCAATAGAAACTTGAAGCGCTAAGCATTCACAATACGATCATGGGATGACGGGCTGGGTGACAGCTGCACTAGGCCACCATAATCATTCTTGGCGTCTGATCACTTTATGTCCTAGTTTTCTTACCTTTCCCCTCGATAATCCGACGTGTGGCTATACGGCCACAATTGTTTTACCTATATTATCCGCAGTCCAAGCCTGATCTCTCTTTTTGTGCGAATCACATTTGCTCTCGAAGATCTTGGGGCTTGGTGAAGCCCCAAAATCTAATATGACCTACCCAGCCAAGATCGCACAACGACGTAATTCATAATTTCCCATCTCTTCCTGCTTTTTGTAAAAGTGAGTTGAGTACCGAGCTTGTAGAACGGTTCGAATGGCAGACATTCCCATGTTGTTATAAGAAGAACTTTTTGTGGTCGCCTTACTGCTGGCTACCATAGTGAAACTCTAGGTTCCCGGAGGGTAATCAATCAAGCCACATAGTCCACAGCTCCAAACCACCATCACTAAAGATGTCAAGTAGATAATTCAGCGAAGCCCAAAACGCCTTTTACTGTTGAAGAAGCTTCAATTAAGATCAAGTAGCCGGTCAGTCGGCCAAGGCTACATTTGATCCAAACTGACCGCAGAAGCGAAACTGGCCCTGTTTGAGCCCTTTTGTGCTTCTTAGATGCCGGTGGGTCTGATGGGTCCCTTCGTAGCCCAATCATGTTAGGAACTGTTAAAGATAGTACGGGGTTATACAGCCGTGTTCGAAATCGGTTTCGTGCTTTACACACAAGAAACATTGTTTTCCTGGACATTTTGGTATCAACCTGCTGATGAGGTACACAACGGTCCATGCAAAGTACTTGTTAGAAAAGCGACAAGACTCTATGTGTAAGCCATAATCAGCTCTTTACTTTACAGCTATTGGGCCAAGCGCCCACAATAGCTGCCACTGTAGGTACCCTTTTCTATCTGAAAAGTATTATGGAGACGTCCACAACTACTGTTTCAGTAAGCAGGTCCATTGTTGTCTTTTGGTTGGAAGCGCCAGAAGAGTAATGCCGGAAACCGATTTCGAATTCAACTGTAACGACATTGCGATGCAGTTTAATTAAATTTACTGTCCTGGATTACTGTACCAGAAACGATGACACGTATAGCCGTGATGGGTTCTAGGTACCAAAATGTTTCTTCTCACAATTCGCCTGAACTTGGAAGAATATGACTTTTTCAATTTGCGTTGGTACCGCTCGATCAAAAAGCTAGTTCAGGATCTGTCAACTTCAACCTTGAGGCTGTCTAAGTGGATTCAACAACATGCATTTCTGCTGACCGCTTTCTTTAGGAAAGTGGGCCTCCTGGCATACTTGCCTGCGAACGTAGTATTCGTGGATGAGGGAGCAATTACTGGCTCAATTAGCTGCAATTTTGATAGGTCCAGCCGAAATGCACAATTTACTACGTAGTAGGGATCGTGGAGCAAAAAGTGGCCTCAGTGGTGTGTGTACTAATTATGTGTAAGCCTATGTGGGGAGGAGACATGGGCCGCAGACTCTGCGAGAGTTGCACGTGTAGAATGGAGGCGCCAAGGCCAATCAGCTGTCTAATAGGCCTAGCCCATGTTCGTTGTTGTTGGCCTGTCTGAATCATTACTACGTAGTAGTTTCCCTTCGTCTCTCCCCACTTTGCCATCATGAAAATTGAGGCATGGGCCGCCGAGACGACTGGGCCGCAATCTACGGAATACTCCATCCAGATAGATAGGAGAGAACCGTTCTGACGACGGCAGTCTGACCAATCAACGATTCATAATTGATCCATCTCTCAACCTACGCGGAGTGTATGGGGTACATAAGCGCGTCAGTTGAGCATTTAGCCACAGAGACAAAGACCCATATCACAGTTATTAAAGAGGCCACCCGCCCCTGTTGTCGGATGATTTGCATGCGAGTGTAAATTCCACCAGCTTCAATCACCACAAAGGCCTTGGCCATAACGTATCACTCGAGAAGACGCAAGACGGCGTCGCCCAAGAATCGCGTAACATCAAAACGACCGATGTTGTCGGAAACGACTCCAATCTGACATACGATCCCTTACATCGCATCTCAGCCATGGCACACGTTCAGAGAGATTTCGCCTACGTTGACATCGACCGCATTCCAACACACGATTGCGGCATCTGCAAGGGTCACTTTTCCTCACCAACATGTGGTGATGTTCAGGCCATCTACGTGACCTCCCTGGGAAACGCATAGGGTTGGGTAATACCCGCGGGTACCCGTATGGGTAGTACCCAAAACTACCCGTGGGTAGTTTGGGTAAACCCGAATTACCCACGGGCAGTCCCACTATATTTACCCGCGGGTTGAAAGGCCCGTGGGTAAAACGACCCATGGGTTACACTACCCACGGGTAATTTTGCTACCCACAAGAAACGCGGGAAATACTATAACTAAGATAGAAAGAAAATATAACTAGTTAGTTATAGGGAGAAAGAGTAAGTTACATAAAACATAGATGGCTAGAATAGATTACTACAAATATAAGAAACTAATAGAGAATAATACGATAAAGTCGGAGTGAAATCAGAGGAACAATGTATATTTAATCGCTATCCTCGTCAGGAGAGAGTTCGACAAGATCTAGCCGAGTAAGTCTCTTCCTTTTGCGACCCCCAAGCTCGGAGAAGTTTGGGAGTTCTTGGGATACAGAAGGCGTAGGTGAGTTGCTAAGTTGGGAAACTTGACTCGATAGTTTTGGCTGTTGAGAGCTAGATAAAGATGGCAGCTCCTCATCTCTATCGCTAATATCCTCCTCTTCTACTGAGACTTCGTAAGGAGGCGGGGAGGGAGCATCTCCTGTAGCAGTAATAGAGATCTTAGTAAGATCATCAGAGACCTTCAGATATCTCTGAATATCAGCTTTATCCAATAGAGAAGAGTAGTTAAAAGCTTCTCTAATAATATGCTGGCGCTCTTCAGATGCTTCAGTGATATTCGTGTCATCTGGAACTTCCTCAAGTGTGGTTTGGGAAAGCCAGGCCTCATTATTCTGGCTAATTTTGATAGTCAAAGTATCAAAAATAGTATCAGCCGAAAGGTTGAACCGAGCGTAGTGACAGATATGGCGAGCAAGGCTGAATGATCGCTCTAAGGGTATTGACGTCGGTTGAATAGATAAGAAGTCTCGAGCCATGCGACAAATACCATGGAATCTGGGATAGCTATTGTCTAGGCGGACCCAAAATTGCTGAACAGTTTCATCAGGGAACATAACTAAATATAGTTATTAGCTGTTAAGCCTAGTAAGATATGAGTCTTTATCTTACCAATATTAAAAAAGTCATTACAGATATTTCGTGCGTCTTGGGATGATGACATTTTGCCCTTATAATAGGTTAGTACAGTGAGTTGCTACAATAGATTGCTACAAATACCCTTTTCTTTGGACTGCGTGATAGTAAACTATGCAGAGTGTATCGGAGTCCTTCAGTTGCAGCTTTTTGAGTATTGGTATGGCGTTCCGAATCTTGATGGTACTGCTTTGTATATACCTCGATAAATTCTTGCTGTACTCGAGTTCGAAGTGAGGCTGAAGAAGGAAGGTATTCGAAGTAATTTGCGAATTGGAATCGCGTGTCAAAAGTACTCGAAACTGATGTCCCAGCTTCAGGGGTAAGGAGAGTTGCAATACCATATACCTTGAAGGAATCCTCTTCAATTAGCTTTTGAACGTATTTTTCCAGCTTCTCTTAGCCCTTTTTCGTAGCAGCCTGAAGGATTGATATCCAAGTAAAGTCTTTGCTAGTAACTTTATCTTTAAGTGCAGAGGCGCAAAAGTACAAGTGAACTGTTGCAACTTGTAATAAAGTAAAGGTATGACCAGGGGTAAGGTCATTTAACCGGCTAAGGATGTTTGTAAAGAGTAAAAACGGGCTGGTGATATCAAGCAGAATATCAAGAGCCTCCCAATCGGTCTCCACAAGAGAGAATTGTTCCTGTAGAGAGTGCTTTTCAACCCAAGCTGAAATCGTTGTTTTAAGCTCTCTTGCGCGGAGACACATAAGTGTAGTAGAGTTCCACCTTGTCTTAACATCGCGGAGGAGGCGTAGTGGTCGCTGGCCAATGCGAGTCGATTTCTGGAGGTCGAGAAACTCTTGCGTCTTCTTACTAGAAAGCTTAAGGGAAACTGCGAGGTCACGAATCTGGAGGTATATATGTTAATATAAAATCTTATAACTAGGTGAAGTATCTAACCTTTTGAATAACAGCTCCAAAAGGATTTTCCCTAGCAGTAGAATCTTCAGTATCAAAATCATCGTCAGAGTCCTCTTGATCTTTAGCTCGAGTAGTAGAAGGCTCAAACTCTGTAGAGGCTTCTACCATCGAAATTCGAAGAGCCTCAAAAATCGCTCGAACAACAAGGTTGAAAATATGGGCTAAACAGCGAATATGATATATCGGCTGTACTGTGGATGTCGACCCTTTTGCAAGTTCTTGTGCTAGGACTTTTGGCTTAAAAGAACTTGCGTTGTCTGCAGAGACTGTCTGAAATCGAATTGTCTTCTTCGTCCTCTGGCGAATATTTTCTAACAGAGTCGATAAAGCCGTTGCTTGCTTAGAGGCTGTATGACCATCTGTCATATCAATAGCACCAAGAAGAACCTGTTGTAACCTCCAGTGCTTGTCGATAAAATGGCATAAAACACCAAGCAGTGAATATTTTAACCCAGGTGTACTCCAGATATCAATCATCAGAGAGACATAGCTACCAGGCGGAATTAGCTGAAGAGTGTGGTGTTGAATGCGTAAGGCCTCCTCGGATATCCAGCTTCGGAGCGTCTTTCGAGATGGGAGGTGGTAGAGAGGATTCAGGTGTGAACAGAATTGCCGGAAACTTAAGTTGTCAACAGTATTAAGCGCTAAGTTGGATCCAACAATACAGTAAACTAATGCTTGATGCTCCGAGACTGCTTTCAATTGGGTACCCTAGATTGCGATTACTACAAATGATTGCTACAATGACCTGTAAAACTTACAGGCACCTGGTTTGCGCCTAAACGTCGAGTCTTACAAGACTTTGCAGCGAGGTGTCGTTGCATAGCACTTGTACCAGAGTTTTTGATTGTTGGATGATTGAAAACTTGGTGACAGTGCTTGCAGACTAATTTTGGCTCCCCTGATGTCATATGGTAGCCTTGGTGAAAGTGATCCCAGAATGATACTCGGCGTTGTAAAGTCCATAAGGATTTGGCGAAGCGTTTTCGTTCAGGTTGAGGGGATTTGGACAACGGTGTGTGTTTGCCAAGGATTACCCATTGGAGATACCATGGCAGGGTTTTGAAAAACGAGAGAAAAGTCTGGAAAGTCTTAATAACAAATAAAATGATTTCCGACTGTATCTGTAAACCAGAAGGTGGAGTATTGATTGTTGGAGTCTGCGTAGAATTTACGAGCTCGAAAGCAGCAGAACAATCGGATGCAAAAGGGTCTGGCCCAAAAGGGTCAGACGCAATTGAGTTCGACATCATACGTAGTAAGAATTACCTTTGGTGTGAACAGGAAGTAGTTTGCAGGATTACTACAAGATGAATACAAACATTTGATTATGTGGCCTTACGTAAATTTCTATTTTAGGGTTTCTGACTAATACGTTTCGTACACAAATCTAAAAGCTCTGAATTCTCCTTCGACTTGTTTTTTCTCCCACTTACATTCATCCTTCAATGCCTCGCTTATCAACTAGCCCTGTGTCAGATCAGAGCTCTCCGCTAACAGTGGAGGGCTCTTCACCGCCAAATAGTTACCCCTCATCATCAGCGAGGGGTAATCCCCTGAAACAGCCAATTACAGAGATTCGGGAGACTCCGCCAAGAAGTTCAAGTCATGCAACCTACTATAGCCAGGCTAGCCCAGACCTGAGTCAACCAGAATTACCACCGCTGAAGCGGAACTTTGCGACGAAGTTGGCGAGACGAACAGATACTGGCCAACCACCAACCATTGCACGGAAAGATCAGCTGAACTTCGCGCCAAAGAAGCAGCTAAAAGCTGCTCGAAAAAAGCCCGTCCAGATCACTAAACGCCAGAAAGTTCGTAGATGGAGGCCTGGTAGTAAGTAAGAAGTAACTCTTTATTGTTTAATTACTGAAATGTGAAGCAAATGCACTTCGTGAGATTCGAAAATATCAAAAGACCACCAATCTTTTAATTCCGCGGAGCAGTTTCGCAAGAGTAGTTCGAGAAATAACACTTGATCTTCCACTAAGAAACCGCCATAAGATCCGCTACCAGTCAATGGCTATAGAGGCTCTCCATGAGATGAGCGAACAGTTTCTAATCAACATGTTCGAGAGTAAGATATCCTATCCTGATCTTCAAACTATTATATTAACATGAATATTAATAGATGCAAATCTCTGTGCTATTCACGCTAAAAGAGTAACTTTGCAGAAGAAAGATCTTGACTTAGTTAAACAGTTAATGAAGAAGATGGGAGCATGGAGTGCTAGATTGTTTTAGCAGCTGTAGATTACTACAAACGATTGCTACAATACGAGAATCAGACTAGAGAGAATTCATGTCCTTATTCATGCTAGCCTTATTGCTAATTCTTAATTCTTAATCTGTCAAACAAACCCTCTCGCTATGCTCATCTGCAATTATAGAGAAAAGTCAAGCAAACGAGTTAGCTTCTGAGCCAACTCATGGACCTGACGCCAGTTGTATGGCGCTTTATCCCGAGCAAGGTCAAGCTTCAGGAAGAATGGTATCAGCTTTAGTATAGCTGAGAACTTCTTATACATCGCAGATAAGATGTTGGCTGTTTTATCGAGAGCAGTAAACTCTTCCCAAACTTCAGCAGGGCCCAGAAGCTCCCAAACACCTTTCTTGATCATCGAGTCACTGATCTCAGAGAACATAGCCTTCACTGAAGGCTTTGGAGTGGAGGCATATCGGCGCTGAGCTGTAGTGAAGAGAGATCCTTGAATCTTGATGGCTGGGCGGTGCGCGAGTGCGAATTGGCTGAGAATATTAGTATTACTACAAAGGATTGCTACAATTAAGCACTTACGTCTTCTTCTTCTTGACAGAAGAATTAAGAACCAGGCGTATCTTCTTCTTCTTAGACAAGCGGTTCAGGTGCCAGTACTTGGCGAGTGCAAACCAAAGAAGCACTTCCTCTTTGGTGAAGATGTCGCCAGCTACTGGAAATTTAAAGCCAGGTCGAATGAAGCTATAATCCTCCATCGCAGCTAGGGTAAAGGCAGGATTGCTGTTCAGCCGCTTGACCTTGATGTAAAGTATCTTAAGAGTCATCTCCCAGGTATCACGGAAGAACTGGTATTCTCGGATCTGGTTTTCCTGTCTGTTTGTTAGCTATTGCTATAGTAATTAATTATAGTCATCCAGTTACCTGGATCATCTTGTCGATAATCGCATTCGACTGCTCAGCAACATTAATGGTCGGCAACTGGTTATCAAGGTCAACGTCAAAGTTGAGCATGCCCTCAACTCCATCCAGGTTTTCCTGGGTAGCCTCATCAATCTCATTCAAAGGGATATCCTCCCAAGCCTCGTCTTCATCGTCATCGACGATATTATAGGAGCTAGACGAGACTGGGCCAGTCATCTGAGCTAGCAGCTGGTCTGGATGGTTGCCTTTGAGGAAGCTAAAAGCACTTGAGCACTGATTTGAAACACCAAAAGAAATAAAAAAGAACTCACTATCGTGCATCAACTTGCTGGATTTCCCTAGCCTCAAGGGCCGCGCGCTTATCAGCAGACGCACTGATGTAGGAGCTTTTAGCCCTCAAGGCTTTAAGCTTGCGGGATTTCTGCTGGTTGATCGACTTCTTCGAGCGATCAAGTGCCTTCTGCTTCTCAGTCATCTTATCGATGCGCTGACGAGACTTCTTGGTGTGCGCGTTGTCGGAATAATCCTCTTCAGCTTTACGCTTGGCTCCAGCACCAGATCCAAGCGGTCGGCCTAGAAGAGATTAGTACAAATGATTGCTACAAAGCTGGTGTGAACGTACCGCGATCCTGTCCTGAGGACATATTTTACTACTGTTCCCTAATTGATTTAATAAGTCAAAACCAATAATTGTGAGATCAAAGTATCAAATTACCTTAATTGAGAGGCTTGTCGGTGCGGCTGGGTGTTAGTGGTGGAGGTAGGTTGTAGTGTTGTCTGGGGAGAAGTTTTCTGAAGCTTCAGAACCTCACAAAAAAAAAACAAAATACGCCAAAAAGTGGTCTGTGCGCAGCCGCGGCTTCTTGTTTTTTTTCTCAAAAAGAATCTCTTTGAAAACCTCTGTTCAGTAGTTATCTGTAAAAGATTCTATATTGATTGGACCTGGACTTGTGTTTCTAGGAGTCCTACCTGATTCATGGTTAACTTTATAATATGATGCCTGGCATAGCCCGAAAGACTATGCCTGGTGCTAAGGAGTAGCAGAAACGCCGTTGGCGCCCTGGCAGTAAGTCTAGATTGCTACAAAAGATGGCTACACACTAACCCTAATACCTAGCAAAAGCTCTCCGGGAGGTCAGGAACTACCAGAAGACATTTGACTTCCTGATTCCGAAGCCCCCATTCCAGCGACTCTGGAAGGAAATCTGCGATGACATCGACCCCTCCAAGCGCCTGCGCTGGCAGGCGACTGCTATTAGCGCTCTTCAAGAGTCTTCGGAGTCTCTTCTCTTTGGTGTTTTCGACAGTAAGCTTCACTTGCAAACTCTTATCGAGTTGAACGAACTATCTAGTGATTAACTTTGCTGCGATCCACACCAATCGCGTCACCATTAAGCCGAAGGATCTGCATCTCGTCCAGGCTATCTTGAAGGCCGGCAGAGTCCACGGAGACAAGTGGTTCGACCCCGAGTCTGGGAAATGCGGGCGATTAATTGAAGGCATTCAGGGCGTTCGGAAGTTAGGAGTAACAAGGTAGCAGGTCTATTCGTTGCGCAATATATCCACTCTTGAGGCTGGCTACTACAAAAGATGTCTAAAATTCGTGATGCATACTTACTGAAATCTACCCACGGGTATACACCCGTGGGTACCCAAACCCGTGGGCCCCCCTTCAGTTTACTACCCGTGGGCTTTTTTACCCAAACCCACTTTACCCATGGGTACCCGTGGGTAATAGTAAAACTTTCGGGCACTACCCATAACTACCCGACCCATTTCGCGGGTACCCGTGGGACCCGCGGGCCGGGTAATGCCCATGCCTAGAAACGCAGGGTTCTCGACTGTTGGAAAAGCTCAATGGAGGACGAGGGACACCAGGGATTACAAGCAGAAACTTGTATTTGAAGTCTCCGTTCCTCGCTTACATGCTCAGTTTGCCACTATCACAGGATATGGAGTACATTCTTCATGCCTGGATAAGTTTCGGGAAAGCTGGCCAATGGACCGTATAGAGGACAAAGCTGGTGTTGCAATGCTCCTCGAAAGGGTATTTTGGTCCGCCAGCCTACATCGCGGAACTATCCGTTGCAGAGCCATCGAGTCAGGAGTCGAAAGATCTTGTGGAGACGAGGACGAACTCAAGAATACTGTTCATGTCGCGAAGCAACTTGCGCACCGCCAGGAGGCCGGCAAACGTACGTTTTATCAGATGCCAACGGAAAGTGACGTGTTTGCTATTGTCCCCCTCAGGCATCTGCCTGCTGCACCAAACGACGAAAATCCTTTCCGTCACGCCTTCCAACAGATAGCCCTCACGACCACTATGGCGGAACTCCCGGAGTCAGAGGTTTCTGGTGTATATGTGTCGACGATTAAGCCTCGAAAGGACGACCCTATGGAGTACGTTTCGGGGCTGAGGTTACAATTTAGGGATGGATCTGAGGCAATGGTTGGATACGTGGGGGAGGACAAAAATATATGCGAAACGCCACGCAACTTCAGTGGCTTTAATCTCACAGTAGACTCTCAAGGGATTACTAGCATCAGTATTGTAGGGGAGAGCACTTATGTCGGAAAGCAGGAGGGGTCGCCTATTTTGCTCGCGCTCGACAATGCTCGCTCCCTGATAGCTCAGCTTGACGGTTCTCGGATTATCGCGCTCCTACTCTCTCGTGAGATTGAACCGTAGTGCAGCACATGAGACAATCTAGAAGACCCCGGAATAACAAGGGAATACTTTGGTAACCCCTGTCCGTTGCAACGTATATGCCTAAGGGTCCAAGCCCATTCGGCAGCAAGCGATATGCCTAAAGACCCTCGATTTGACGATTATCAGGTTGAGACCATTGAGAAGTTTCTTGTGAAATTTCCGAATCGGGTTCAAAGTCTCAAAAAGCTTACAGTCCAATCCGCCTGGGATCTACCATTTCTTGGAAGTCTGTCAAGCTAAGGAAATTGTGTGCATTGACATTTCGATTCGACACATTCCGAAGCAAGATATCATAGAAATTGCAGAGACTCTAAGACAGAGAAAAAGGCTGAAGGAAGTAGCATTACGTATAGTCTAGGAAGACAATTAGCCACAGGCAAGTGCTCACGGAGCAGAGCAGGCGGACAAGGCGGACGAAACGGACGAAGCGGATGAGGCGGACAAACGAGAGGACAAGGCGGATGCCAAACTCATTAAAAGGATTAAAAACCATTCTGAATGGCATGAGCCACGATATCCGCATAGTTGAACAAGATCCCAGGTGGATTGACTACATATGCATTATTATGCCTAAACAACCAGCTCTTACGCCTGTCCAATATCGCCAGGGACGTAGCTGCAGTAGGGCCAGTGAACGTAGCTTTTGCTGTCCAAGCTCCAAGGCCAAAAAGGATCATGCTCATCCGCATCATCTTGCGTTGAAGCAATAGGATACGGCACCGGATAGTTGGAAAAGGGGTCGTCTGCGACTCGGCTCCCCCCTGGGATTGTAAAGTCGCCATTACTCTGAGGGCTATGGTGGTCGTTGTGAACCTCGGCAATGTCCTCCTGCGGAACGACGCACGGGTTGGAAAGATTCGACGTGGGTGGCGCCGTGCTGTTACTCTCTGCCGTACACACGTTCGTCTCCTTTTTCCTTCGGGGCGTTCGAGGTTTGCGCGTTGGTTGAACCCCCGCCAAGCCCGTCTCGATGAGTCGCCAACACGAGCCTTTCCCGTCCAGTCGTTGGAAGGCCTGTTTCACAGAAGTCAGCGGGACGGCGACGTTAGGTTGCTATGTTGGGAGACGTTGGCAAACCTGGTTTAGACTGAGGTTCGAGCGGACACTGTTCTTCCAGCCTTTGTTATCCGTATTGGCTTTCGTAGTGTTCCGTTCAAACCACTCATAGAGTTCGCGGAGTTCCATTTTCGTCGTTTTTCTACTTAGAAATGCCATGTGAATGAGCTCCGCATACGTCATTTTCCGTACGCTCTCATCTACTTTGATGTTGGTAGTCGCTGATGATTGGTCGACTGCCTCGGCCGGCTGTGGAGAGACCGGCTCCTGGCCAAAGCTCAGATATGGCAGACAAGTTTGTGCCGGCATGTGGTGTGGGCTGACTCGCTGGTAGGCGTCTGCATTTTGATGATGAGCTAAAACATGTTGTGCTTTTTGAGGAAATGTGGTTGCAAGTGATGCACGAGTGGGATCCATTGAATCAAACTGGTTTGTTCCACGAGCAACATGAAAGTCGGGCATTGGAAACAGAATGGTGGTTAACAAGCAAACTCGTGGAGGCCATACCGATTCATCGTAGACGTCCTTCTTCGACGGATGCTCTTATTTTCGGGCCACGACCTATTCCCCTGCCTACTGACACCTGTGATGGAGTAGTCAGTGAGAAGGCTTGCAGCGCGACAAAGAACATCACAAAATGGCCAAATCTTTTCATGGTAGCCACAGTCAGGTTAAAATTGGCTGCTGTTGGCGGTGCCGGGATATCGATAGTAAAGGGTCAAAAGTGGCGCAAATAGGCCTCGGCCTTCTGGTCACAGTATGAACAACACGGGGGCGGGGGCATGTTCTGGCTCTGGCGTAGACAGGTCCAAAAAACGTCCCTCACAGCCAAGACTCATGTCGGCCAACAAGAACGGAAAACTTCTTACGTGAAGCCTCAACAGCCAAAACTAGATGTCCTCGTCCAGCCTCCTTTCGTTGCCGCACCTTGCTCTGAGAAAATGCTCAGCCAAAGTTGGACCCATGAAGTCCTCCTGCCTTCGACTGAGCCGCACGGGCCATTCCGCCCGCTTCCTTGTCGACGAAACTTTTATTTACACTGCAGGCGCTGGAAGGAGTATGTACAGTTATGTGCAAAAATATCTTCCTCTTTGAATACACACAACTTCACTCTTAAATCAGAGTGGAGCCAGAAAAGTACTCAGATCTACCTAGCATGGTCGACAATAATCCAGAAATGGCTCTAAAATAAGCTGCAATTGGCAGTGATTACCTAGCGCTGGAGGTACTCAAAGGTATATAGCAAATGCCCGTGTTTGATCCAATTACATAATGACAGTGTAGGCGACAGGCCACAATACCTGGAATAACCGCTTTTTCCTAGCCGGCATGCAAGTGTGTGACTGTAGATAGTGTGTTTAAGAGGGTATTTCACACTATGTGGAGAAGCTTTGGAGAATAAAAGAGTGTTTTAAAAGAGGAAGGAATATTTGCACATAACTGTAACAAAAGTCTTTGAGGGAAATGATCGTATACGTACTCAATAGGTGAAAATTGATACAGTGGTACTGTACTGTAATACCGCAGACTTAATTCAGATGTATTAAAAAATAAAAGAGCCGAAATCGCCGCTTTATTTCGTATCTTTCCCACATTTTCTTTCGCTCCTATACGCAATCCTTACAGTACTGTCAGGATGACTCACGTGGACCTAATCGAAGAAGATGAAAGCCTTTCGTACTTCTGTACTTGGTGTCTAGGGCCCCTTCAAGACAAAATCCTGCTTGAACCTTGCTCATGCGTCAGTCTTCTAGAGCTGAGGTTACAACCGATTACTAACCCCTAGAGCTAGGTTATATGCGTCAATTGTTGCAGGAATTTTCAGAATTATAACAATTCGAATGAGGTAATCTGCTCCAGATTCAACCATTGTCTTTATGAGGCTCAATACGCCCGGAAGATCTACCAACTTGACTTTGCGATCTGTTAGGAAGGCGGCTTACTCCAGGCACTTAACACTGGACCATGCGGTACGTCTTATGCTTGCCATTGCAGGGCTTTGACGGCTTACCTAACTTCAAGGACATTTATTCCATCCCGTCTGCATAGGAAAGGCACGGGAATGCCCTTGTTGCGATAGTTGGAATGTGGGACCGTGTGGCCACCCGGCCGGCCACAGGCCCATGCGGCCCGGCACAGTGGGCCAGAAGGGACCGAAGCCTTCCTTCCACAGGTGACGGGCCAGGAGACCATGTCTCCCAACTTCACTTGTAAACCACCACTTTACTTCACTTCTACACATCACCGATTATTGAAAAATACACTGTTTTACTGTTTTTACCCGTGCGGGCCTGTTTCAACCTGTGAAACCCACAGCCCTTATCGTTGTACGAATGGAAGCTGATACAGCGCATCGCCAGCCTTTTTGCCAGGGAAGCACTGCGATGTAACGTCGGGAGATAACATGTCGACCAGTGAGTATCACCTGCGAAAGAAGATGAGAAGAAAGTTCAGGGGTGGTTCACGCAGAAGGCCTAAAAGAAACATGTTAAAGAAGACGTAATTCAGATATTTTGACCTCTGTAACTGTAATTATTGAAATGATACCAAAAATTCAAAGCTTCGGGGGGCCTATCTTATGTGTTGCAATAGCCGGAATCCCGGGTTGAAGTGGCTCCAGCCGGAACACCGGCTGGAAGTGCCCCCGCGGCCGGGCGCCCACGTGACGGCCAGGCCGGAGGGCATATATCTTCTCAACTACTTCAACCCGCACTCCTACGAGAACTTCTCCTAGATTAGACACAAACAGACACTTTCACAAGAGACACTTTTCCCTCTACTTTAGGATATCCCACTTTAAGGGTACCCTGTGATCCCAACATTATCATTAGTTCATATTACGTAGCTGATAATAAAATAATATGAGGAGCTTTAAGAAGACAGTTTTTACTACATATTGTTACGACCCAACCAGTTGGGGTGCTGGTCGGCGTAGCTATATAGTGCAGAGCAGAGGACAATGACAACGGATTTGTCATCACAGAAGCTTTTGCTTGTGGTGCAGACCGCTCGTGACAGAGAGCAACTGTTCATATGTGCTATCTACAGAGTCTGTGACGCCCAAACGATGTGCAGGCAGTGCAATAGTTGATGTCGACATGGACTGGAAATTACGTAAATAGTTAATAGAGGTTTTGAAAAGCTTTACTGTTAAGATGCTGAATTGAACATGTGTATAGTGTAATAATTGATTTGATTAATGCGATACAGATGTGTATACGGAGTGAACACGTCTGATAATTAAGTTTCAGTAAGGCTCCTCTACTTTACTACGACTACTTACCTCATCCAACAATCAAGAATAATAAGTGGATGAGAATATGATGTGCTTATCATTATGCTCACCTATTGATAACGTACTGTTTAGTCAGATGCCTGCTGTTGATAACACTATGGTTAGGAACCACTTTTTGTCAAAGGTCTCACCAGTAACTTTTTGACAATACGAGAGCAGTGCAGCCTCTGAGGCTATTCACATTGAATACAGCCTTGTACCTCTCATACTAAACAAGGTGGAGTACAATACATCGCCGTATTAGAGCAAAAGACATCGCCGTATTAGAGCAAAAGCCACTGAAAAGCGGAAAGAGGGAACAAGGATGCGCTAAGCACACGGCGCAGACAGGCATTGTTGCAGCCGGGGTGGAGGATCCACCCTTGACCGAAACAGCGCAAAGTAGGTTGCTCAGCAGGTCGTCGGGCCTGACGTCCGAAAGGGCGTTCGGTGCCAGTTCGCCCAGTGTCTGTACAGTATCAACTACATGAATGACACAGATATTGAGATCGGACGCCGGGGAGACTGACGATCGGTTGTCTGGAATTTATCGCTTGAATTGCGCTGTGTAAGGGGATTTGATAAGACAGGAGCTCTAATTGGCTTTGACTTAAACTTGGCGAAAACGGGGCCTTTGGACAGCGACTGGGCTGTCGGAATAGCTGAAAACTTTTGATGATTCTGGAAAAACGCGGCTAACCAAGGCCCCTTCTGAGTAACCAAGTAAGTTCCTAATGCTGCTAGCTTACCTACTCGCTATTTCCCTATAAAGACATCGTCGGCACGCTCGATTACTATTCCTCATCCTACAGAGAAGTCACCCTTGTTTATTTACTTTAGCTTTGTTACTTCCCCTTGACCACTCTCACGATGTCGGCAAATAATAATGCTCGCCCTCTCTACCGCCCAAATCAACTAGGAGACATAACAGAACATATGGTTAATCCACACAACACACCCATACAAATTCTTCCTGCGGAAATCTTGCTTATGATCCTCAAAAATGTTGAAGATCTCAAAACCGTCGCCAGTGCTATCGAAGCTTTCCGACCCTTTAACGAGATATTTAAGGAATGCAATGGCGTTATTTGCAGAAGAATCTTCACTAGTATACGCGCTAAGGTGCGCGGCTGTAAAGTTGAGGCCTTGTTTGAACAGCTGGAGTTTGCGATTCGACGCTGCTTCATGCCAACAGCCCTTGTGGAAGAGGCCTTTACTGTTTTGTGGTCGATTTTCGCTACTTGGCAACTGGAAGAAATGCTTCTTCCACTAGCCAGGGCTTTGGCTTGGTCTTACTGTATCGACGATTGCGAGGAGGCAGCAGTCAGTTTTCTCCGGAAGCTATGGAACAGGGCGCAGCCGTTCGCGTGGCCGACACGCAAAGGAACTGCAACATCGGCTTATGAGCGACTACCAAGCTATGCTATAATAGGGGAATTACTGATGGACCTGCTTGGTAAGGACGACGCGGAGAAAGAACAGATAAAGAGTGAACTTCAGTCGATGGCCCTTCGCAGCCGCGTTATGACTGTGTTCGGCATTTGTTTCAAGAAGGGAAAACCCGCTTTAAAAAAAAAAGTCGGTTCGGACACCATACAGGTCTACAATCCGCCGCAATTTCTTTTGGAGCAGTATGAGCGGTCTGGGATGTATGGGGGACGACAACTCGATGTTCGCCAACTAATCAATGGTACTGCCCGACAATGGACGGACTTTGACTACTTTCCTGACGACTATTTACTCTACACCAACCGCTTGCAGACGTTAAACGCTACTAGATGACTTTCGTTCTCAGCTAGTGAGAATCTAAATGTACAATCGTTATTGAGGGTAAAAGAGTGTTACGTTCAAGACTTTAAGACAGGCTAAAACACTGTGGCGCCTAACTACTAAGTCATTAGGCGTAACCATGTAGGCTGTAACTTGCGTTGTTAGCCAATGCTCACATTCCGTTAAGGACGTCAAACTGTGGAAAACGCCGTAGGCGACTTTAAAGAGGCTAAAGCTGGAAATCTCATTCACGGTATAAACTTGTAATAAGTTACGGCCCAACCAGTTGGGCTGTTGACCGGCGTAGCTGTGCAGAATAGGGGTAAACTACAACAGATCTGTCATTACCGAAGCTTTTGTTTTGTGACATAGTTGATCGCCCTGACCTGTTTTTCATTCGGTCACTGGAAGGTCAGGGCTGCCATCAGGTCTGCCATCAGGTCATGCGGCAAGACAAGCACGGCAGCGGCATTTGTGAAGCTGCTAATGTCCCGTTCTTTGTCACTCCAGCAAGTGGATCCACCAATACTTGTGTCCTATTGAAGGCCATGGAGACTAATCTCGAACCCGGCTGTGCTACCGCCTCGTTGTTACGAGCTTTCTATCTGCTCAATCCTCTTCGACGCTTTATCCGGGTCAATGGTTGAGATCCAGACGTTACTAACACCCCCTTGTTGAAGAATGCCATACCCCCCCAGACTTTCTTCTCATCCGTTAATCCTCGGCCCATAGTAGGCAGGCGGTGGAAAGTGCGGCACGTCTATGGCCCTGTAGGACTGCCGGTCGACCTCCACCGTCGTCGTCACCAAAACACCCTCACCTGTTTGTGGAGGTGCGGGATCCATCATTTCTTTTTGTGTTCGCATGCGGCATTGTCTCAGTCTGTCGAAAGACCAATGCCAGGCTTGTTTCGGACTGTCTTTATCGAAGCTTTCCGATGACGCGGGACGACGTCGAAACGCGATATTGACAAGTAGTAAACGCAGAGTGGGTAAGCTCGCACATAGCATCGCCATGGACTGCTCGATGAACGACCACACCACAACATCGACATGGTCCCACGTCTCATCGAATGTTGTGCTATACTCTACCAGATACTTAACACGGATGGCTGATGTCACGCAAGCGCTGCCTGCCGTGTCAGTCTTCTCGTCCTTCGCTTCTTTCCGGAGGCCGGTATTTGACTCACAAGGAACCGACGCTGAAGAGGGCGATAACTGCGAGGCGCCGCCGGAGAGAAATCTTCAGCTGCCAAACGTGGGGGATCGGCAGGAGTAAGATGGCAATATCTTCCGCCATGGCGAGTCCGCCGCTGCTGTATCCTACCGCCTGTAAGTTTAGACAGCGACGGTCGGTGATGGTCCGATCCCAGATCGATTGTACCGGTGTGCACTGCACCGCAAATGGGATGGTGAAAATCGTGCCGTGAAGCACGAGTATGATCTCGATGCCCTGAGCGATCCGCTGAAAGGTTTGCGATGGGAAGATGCGGCTGAGGAAAAGCACGATCGACAGTTTCACAGCAGCTTGTAGGACGGTGTAGACTAAATTGCCGACGTAAAGCATCTGACCCGATGTTAGAGGGCGAAAAGACATTATGATCAGCCGGAGAGCCCGGATTCCCGAACCTTGCGGATGACAATGCCGTTTCCGACGGGGATCGTCCAATAGTGCATACCGAAACCAAGGCTTGTAATATGCAAGTAAACTGCAGTCAGGGTAATGAGAAGGACCTGTTTGGCAGCGTCAGAAGAGTTTACCTGGGGTGTCGGAGCCGATTACTGCCGCGAAGATAGTCATATAGTCGTCCGGCCACAGGCCGCCAGCATACTTCATCCGCGTAAAAAGGCGAAGTGCTACAATGAGAAAAACGAGACTGCAGCTGATGATGAGCGTACGTCGGACTTCCGCTCTCCGCGATTCCTTGGGGTACGCTTCGCATAAGACTCCCTCAACCGCCGCGGCAGCTGTATCAGGTCAGAACGGCACCGTGAATGGAAACGGAAACGGCTAAGCCAACTCAGCTGATCGTCAAAGCGACAGTGTGTTTGCACACATGCCGATAATTCCGCTTGTATGGGGATGCTAGGACAGATACACGTAGTCACGTCTTCTGGGTCGCAGGCAGACATGAGAAATGTGCTGCTAATACATTCGAACTAGATGGATGACTTGTCAGCATGAAGGGGATCTATGACGGCGCCAGGACTTACAGCACAGGACGGAACCTGAGAGAGAATCTCGACAGCTGATGTTGCCTTCACAACTGCAACAGCCAGCTGCAGTACAAGGAGCACGAGAGCTAGCGACCGGCGAGACAACGTGAAGAGCATACTGACAAGAAAGCGCAAGGATGCGGCGGACGAGGTCTCACAATTGACGGAAGCAGCATATTGTATATTGGCGACGACGCCTCAGCGTACACAAGACGATGGTGATGAATGGATTATATGCCATGCTGCGATGGGAGTATGGCATCGTATTTGGCGTCGCCCGTAACAGGCGAAACTTGCTTTCTACAATTTCGACAGAGGGGGGAATAGTAAGTATCTGTGTAAGATTGAAGCCACTTGCGGCGCCGGCAAGCCTACCTATCAGTATCTTGTCTTTCGTATCGGCTTGTTAGGCACATATTTTGTAATGGCGGCGAAGGCTAATTCGATGCTGGGCAAATACAGCTGAACTCGAGAGGCAAGGCTCGGAACTGCCTCAAAGTTCCTGAAAGCCAAAGTTAGCAACAGTTATGCTCAGTATGTTGCAAAGTGACCAGCAAACTACCATCTCATTTTTGTACTGTGATACAAGCTGTTGTGGTCCTGTAGGAGAACGCTCACATTCCCCGCTTTTCTAAGTCGAGTTACCCTTTTGCGTACACTTACCTTGTCATAATGGCACCGGGGATTTCCGGGAGGCTTGAAAGACCTTGGCCTTGGCTGGCTTGCTCAACATCACTAGACACCAGACCACTAAGCGAAGGGGCCCGAGATTATTTAGGAAGCAATGCTTTATTTATTTAAGAAAGAGTAATACACGCGGTACAGTACCACTCAAGGGCGCGCAGCAAAACTCAATATGCCCGCAGAACTGACTGCTTGACTAGTCTACGTCCTCATCATCTTCGTCTGTGTCGGACTTAGCGCTGTCCTCTGACATATCTGAGCCCTCAAAGAAGCTAGAATCGCCATCAGACGTGCTGACACACTCATCGATGGACAACTCTTCATCCATGCTACACGTAGAATGGCCTGGCGACTCCAGCTCTTCGTCGCTAAGCGTGTCGATAAACAGCTCAGACGCGTCTGTGGTGTTCAACTGAAAGACAGCCCTTGTCCGGTGCATCGACGACTCATGGGTGTCGGGAAACAAGATCCGTACGCAGCAGTACATATAAAGCATCTTCCTCGATACGGAGTCGTCGCAGAGATTGAGAGTCGCGGGCAGCAAACCCGGATGGGTCGTGTCTTCCGGCGAATGGATCTCTAATATCCGCGCCGAGAATATCAAAACTTGCTCCAGCACCTTGATAATGACTGGAATGTTGCCAAAGTCAAAGTTTAAAGCCTTGTCAAACTCGAACAGCAGGTTAATTCTGTTGTCGGGAGGGCCATCATCTGGTTGGTCGTTCGCGTCGCGGAGCTTCAGGCACGCCAGAAGCGCGGCTACCTTGACGACGAACTCTTTGCCCTGGAGTGGCCCACACAGACAGCTTATGACATAGGCGAGGAACCGGTCTCCCGAGGAGCTATTGATGTCCTCCTTAACTTTGTCAAACGGAGGGTACCACGTATCGTCAGTCAGTCCGTTGTGGGGACAGTTGACAGCTAGGCAGATAGCCAAGCAGCACCGCTCGTCTTGTCTGAGTAGATCAGTCCTTGGCTTAGTTAGTACGTCGATCTATCGTAAAGAGTTAATGCGCGTGTGGCGGCTTACCACATGGAGTCCATATTCTTTATAAGCACGTCTATGGCTACTTGCAAGTCTCTGCTCACGTCAGGTCAGTAACGACTTTTATATTGTGTGCAACATGGCTGGAACTGTGGTTTTATTGAGACGAAATCATCTTTTTGCCTTCGAGCATGCAGGCAGACCGATGTTCGATGTCCGAGATCCTCCACGACTGTCCAACACCGTCCGACCAAAACTGGATTTCCTGCGCAATGAAGACATATTTAGCCGAAAAGTCCAATGCGATAGCAGTTTATGCGTTAGTCATAAAGAGCTTGGACACAACCGCGAGCTGAGGCGTGGATATAGTACATAAATGTCCATGACGCATTCCGTTCCCGCGACTGGATAGGTTCTTCCGACATGGGGGCTCATAAGCCCGAAGAGCGGCGCGCGTAGAAAAGACAGTGATAATAGCAGCCTGATCCCCTTGGTTGACTCCTGATTCAGCTTCGTAAGTAGCGTTTGTGATCACTTTCTGGCTATTTCTTTTCCCTCTATAATCAAAAACCCAATGCACATTATGCTCCATGTATTCTATAAAATGATTTTTACCCCTTTTTGCATCTTGATACTAGTTAACACCATCCATAATGCATAGAGGCACAGAAGCTAGACCTTTGAAACGGCCTCGCCAGTCAGCCGGTTGGCCGCGCCAACCAACTGACATAGACAATGAGGTCGTGGCTTTGGGTGGAACGACCCATGCGCTCGACCTCACAGACGCCACCATACAATCCCAAAAAGCACCGGTTAGTAAGGAGAAGCGTCTGGAAGAACTTGTGAGAGACTCCGGCCGCCTTAGACATGAACTTGACTATTGGAAAGGTGTCGCCGTGAAAGGGTCCACCTTTATAGCCAATGTCGACGAAGCGGTAGCACAGCTTACCGACACTGTCAGCCGATTGAAGGTTGTCATTGATGAGATAAACTCTTTGGCGGCGGAGAAGAGCATGTGTCATGGTAATCCGTCAAAATCCGATCTCAACAGTACCATAGAGAGACAGACTGGCCATGTACAAGTCTTGCCGTTGATGAGGTCCGACGTTGACGTACTCCTGACTCCTGTTAGAAGGGGTCGAGAGGGGTATGACTTTGAGGTTGTTGATTCGAAAAAGATTCGGAAGGAGAAATCACACAATCCTGGAGGCTGGTTCTAGTGCAAATCATAAATTAATTATCTTAGGAGTAAAATAAGGCTTTCCTTAGCTTATGGAATATTAAAACATATCGCGGTGTGCGCGGGTGAACTATTCTACTGATCATCTTATATTATCTCCGTTTGTTGGAATAACACTCTGACATGACCGTACGACTAGGGTGACTAAGCCGCGAGGCTGGGTTATTGTTACGAGCAGGTCAGGGCAACCAACTGTGGCACGAAGCAAAAGCTTCGGCAATGATGACTCTCGCATCGTTATCCCCTGTTCTGCACTCTATAGCTACGCCGGCCAGCTACCAACTGGTTGGGCCGTAACAGTTATCTTATGCAAGGGGTAACCTCTAGGTGTCTCACAACTATTCACGTACGATCGGGACAGCTGTCGTTTCACCCCTTTAATAGAACTTAAAAGAATCATCACGGAATTTACAGATAATACCTTTGGTTAACCACCTACGTTGCAACGCACCGTAAACTGCCATATGGCTATAGGCCATTCAACATTGTTTTTAATGTGAAAGGCTTTACGTTTGTTCTGCGCCGGAAAAAAACCCTTTTATCGATTTGGTGCTGCCAATGTGCTTCGCTGTGTCGTAGAAAGACAAACTAATAGTATCCCAGCGGTTGCCTGCCGCACGACTTGCGCTACTGCTCCCACTAGACTTCCCAACTGGATTCCTTAGTTATATAGCTATATGCAAATATTCCTTCCTCTTTTAAACTACTCTTTTATTATCTAACTTTAATCCATACAGTATGGTGCAGCCATTTCTAAGCACTATATACAGCAATCCGGCGGCGACATAACTAGGAAAAAGCAGTTTCTTTCAAGTATTCAGGCCTGTCCCCTGCACTATCATTATATAATAGGATTAGGTATTTGTTATATACTTTTGAGTACCTCCAGCGCTAAGTAATCACTGCCAATTGCAGCTTACTTCAGAGCCATTTCTGGATTTTTGTCGACCATGCTAGGTAAATCTGAGTACTTCACAGGCTCCACTCTGATTCAAAAGAGAAGGTATTCGCATCTAAAGAGGAAGATGTGTTTGCATTGGTTACAGCTATGTGCAAAAATAATGTCCGGTTGAAGTAAACTCTTTTGATTCACTTAGCGCACAGACATGTTATTTACAGTGTGAAAATCCCTAATCTCACACATGGTACTGCCATGGGTACATGGTGATTACGCCGGAAATGGATTATGCTGGGAACCGATGAACACCGTGGCCTCAATTGTGAGTCATAATCGCAACGCCCAAAATGTACCTTCACCTTTTCCATCAGCAACACCAGCAAATTGGGCAGAACCAGCAAAGGGCTTCTCGATTATGGCGCCGTTCCTTGCTTGTTCGACGCACGACCTGCTCAGAAATTTCATCCACAGTAAGCTATTAGGTGAAACAACTGCCACTGATGACAGCATAGCCAAGTTAGTCGGATGTAATCCACGGACGGTACGACGAATTCGCTCGAAGCTGCTTTTGTTTGGGTCTGCGAAGATCCCAACAAATACTCGCGGCCGCCCCAGATCCATCACTCCTCCTATGCTGAGCGCGCTGCGGAGCCAACTTGCCCTTGATCCATGCCTGACCCTTGATAAGATGGCTGCTTCCCTTCGCGAACATTATGATGCCGACGTGTCCCGCTTCAGCATCAGTAGGATGCTGAAGGACGACAATTGGTCCCAAAAAACCACACAAAATGTCGCTCAGGAGCGTAACCTCGACCTGCGAGACGAATACATGTACCAGATATCCCAGTACCGATCCGACCAGCTGGTCTTCGTAGACGAGTCCGGCATAGACAAGAGCATCGGCATACGGCGCAAAGGCTGGGCTCCTGGAGGGAAACGACCACGGCAGATCAAGCGATTCCACCGCGGTCGGAGATACCAGATCCTGCCGGCCTATACCCAGGACGGAGTGATACACTTCCGTGTCTTCGAGGGATCAACGGATGCCAAAGTGTTCGAGAGTTTCATTGAAACGCTGCTGCAGTATTGTGGCCGTTGGCCCGAGCCGCGGTCTGTTTTGATCATGGACAATGCATCCTTCCATCACACCGAGCGCATACGGGAAATGTGCAGTGCAGCAGGAGTGGTGCTGGTGTACTCGGCGCCTTATTCGCCAGACATTATTCCCATCGAGCACTTTTTCGGGGAGTTAAAGAACTTCATCCGGCAGGTCTGGAACGATCATCAAGGGTTTATTAGGGCCGATTTCCAATCGTTCCTGGAAGAATGTGTCATGGTTGTCGGCCAGCGACAGAAGAGTGCTAGGGGTCACTTCCGTAACTGTTCCATCTCGATTGACGAACCACTAGACTGAGACAAACAAACGAGACCTAATATTAAGCTACTAAGATGTCATGGTGTTGGCCTAGATAAACCAGAATGTCCCGCACCCATCGGCGTGCTATGCCTTCTAGCACGCCATGCTCGATATAGAATTGAGCATCGTTATCCTCCTGAACGAGCTCGAGATCCAGACCTCTCGCTACTGTCAGGCTACACGCCAGCTCAAAATGGTCTTTTTGGGTTTCGCTTCTAACTTGGGAGCGATGCCACTCGCAGTATGCTTCGACGGCATCATCCCTCAACCCGGGTATATAGAGAGGAGGTGGAGAAGAGCGTGGGGAACTTTCAAGATCTGGTGAGACCCTGTCTGAACCTGAGATGTGGTTATGGATTATCACAGGGACATGACTAGTCGAATCTAACCCTGAATTCTGTCGCTTGCGCTTGCGGCCCTGTTGTTCCTGGGCATAATAACTGCGCTCGGATCTCCTCGGGAACATCGTCATGAGTCTCTAGCCGGTGGCCTTGCTGTACCCACCGGACAAGTTCCCTCATATGATGATCCAGGAGTTTGTGGTGCATCTTTTGGGCACGGTCTTGCCAACACCATTGTCCATTGTCGCAGGGGGCTCCCGGGCATCTCATGAGCTGGTAGACCCGTCTCCATGGATCAACCTCGCCAGCGGCCTCTTGCTCAGCATCGATTCGTGCGCTCCGTTCAGCGAGGCCGGTCGCAGTAGCGCCTCGTCCAGCGGGCCGGCCCGTGGGTACACACTCCACATAGTCCATCTGAACAAAGAGCTTCAGCCTCTTGCCAGCGCGAAGCAGCTGGCTCCACCCTTGCAACTGTCTCTCTACAACCGACCAGTCAATCTGTTGCTTTAGGAAATGCTTCGTGACTTTATCTTCCGACCGATCGTTAGGAACTGACATGGCAATGGTTGTAGCACTCGTTTCGTAGGTCTTCTTTTTCGAATTCACGATCTCGGCGATCTTGAGCGAGAGGATTTCTCTCCACAAATCGCTTGGGGCTACAACAAGATTTTGCTCGGTCTGCTCTACAGCCTTTCTGTTGTTCAGGGTCAATTTCCATTGCATGGTATAGAGCATCCAACGAGGGGGCTGTTCATCGTATGACTGGCCTGGAGCCCACTCGTGGTAGTTCAGGAAGGGCAGCGCCCCTGGAAGGGGGCAAAGCTGGCTAGGTGGGGAACTAGTGCCATGATCCAGCTCACTGTCGGGAAAGGAGATGTCTGAGTGATGACTATCATCATCGTCGTTGATCTCGTACACCCAATGGTCTGCCGCCATGATCGCAGCTACTGGTCAATGCGGACGTGGAAAGAGCGAATGAAACGTGGCAACCGTCCAGCGGCGAATAAGCACTTTAAAGGGCAGATGACACGGTGGCATGAATCTTCATCTGGATAGTAAGGTGGGTCTAGGGCCACGATAGAAGGTTCTAGAAGCCATGGGACAGTGCTGTAGAGGTTAAACTCGTAAGGGCTAAACACCACTGTTCTTGGAGCGACCAAGATCTGCGTCCCAGTTCAAGCCACGTCAATACTGACTGGTTGCGGATCGGCAATTCCTTTACCCGATTTCCTCGACATGGTGCCACTCAAAGCTTCAACCCCGCAGTCCAATATCAACCCACTATGATCCATCTTTAGCCGTCACTATTCTCAATCCAGACAAGCATGACTTGCCTAACAATGGATTGTCTGGTCTGTGACCGTAACTTTGGAAATTCAATCAGCCTCGACCAGCACTGTCGCACTAAGCACAAAGACACCTATTGTTCGCGATGCCACCGTACTTTCAAACATATCAACGCTCTTGAACAGCATCTTTCCGCATCATCCAACCATCATAGGTGCAATCAGTGCCCTCAAAAAACCGACTTCACGTCAGCTAAAGAGTTGGAGAATCACCGAAATCGATACCATCCATACTGCGACCTTTGCAACAGATCATTCGACACACCAGATAGCTTGCAACAGCATGACGCTGATGTGCATAACACTTGCCATGAATGCGGTGTCTCATTTGGCTCTCAGTCAAATCTGAAAAACGTATGTGACACCCATGCTTTGGCTTTTTGTCCATCCCAAGCTAAGTTGTTTTGATGTAGCATCAAAGGGTCCATGCTCCCAGGAATGCCAAATGCCCAGGATGTCCGAAAACCTTCGACCGGGATTCTGCGATGGTGCTCCATCTCGAAGCAGGGTCATGCTCCTCTGGCGTTACCGCTGAAGAGGTCGACGATATTGCTAAGCAGTGTTACCAGTCTCGTCACTACATTTCAGACCATCCTGACTATGATTTTTGTTGCCCGACATGTCAGGTTCCCTTTTGTTGGATGAGTGGTGTCCTACAGCACGCCGAGAGTGATGCTTGCAGTGAGGATCTTGCAGAAAACTCGTCATTAGTCAAATTCCTCCATTTCTTACGCCGGCGGATCTCGTAATATTAGGTAATAGCTATGTGCATGGTGTTCTGTTATTTAGTTGAACTCCTCCTCTTTACTGGTGGGTGAAAATCGTGATCCTTAGCATCGGCCCGTTCCAAGACTTTGTCCTCTTGAATGCGGAACACGAGTTCGTCTTCAGATAGTATTTGTTCGGCCGGGCTGGAAGATCGTGGCCGCTTTTTGATGGTCCGTTTAGACCTAATCCCGCCACCCAAGCCCTCTTCTCTTGCTTTGTGTACTTCCTCTGCTTCGTCGAGCAATTCAGCAAGCCTGTCGAGCTTAATGTTGATCGGTGTAGTTGATACGTCGGACAGGGCGTCCGTGGCGAAATCGCTCAATGCAAGTTGTATGTTATCTGTTCCGTTCACGTGGTCAAGGTTCGGAGATCGGAATGCCTGCATAAGTGTTGGTCGTATCCCGTAGATCAGGCGACATCACATACCTGATACTCAATTTCGGCCTGCACGCCAAGTGTGTCGAAGTCCTCCCCGTCGTCCCGCGTATACTCCGGGCGCCATAACGAAACTGTCGACGGTTTCACGCCATGGTTTACGTCAAGCCCGATCACAGCCTTGATATCCCCATTTGAATGCTGTATATAATCCCAGGCCAGCCTTTTGAGGTTTTTCCCGTCTTGTGAGTAGGAAACCTCAAGTACTACTCCAGGAAATGCGGCTTTCCTATGTTGGAACTGTGCGTCCGGATGTCGTTGTAGTGGAATGGAATTAGGCTCTTCCCCGGTTTCCTGGAGCAGAATCCGGGATGAACCCCCGTTTATAATTTGGCCAGCGAATGCACCGTCTTTGTCGGGTCGCGCAGCGATGTCTTGCAGTTGTTTGTAAATTTCGTTGGCTACGGAGGTAGAGAAGATGTCGTGAACAGGGGCAGGCATTCGAAGAGTGATCAGTCCAGACGCGGGATCGTAGTCCCACCTATGATTTAGTTAGACCATATGTAGTGGTTGGTATCATAGGGTAGATTAAACTGACCGCACCTTGTCCTCAATTAATCGAGAGAGAGATGGCCGCTGTTCCAATACTTTCATTGCCTGGCGATAGTGTGTCGAAGGGACGCGGATGCGCGTTGTGGAAGGGCAACAAGTCGAAGGGTCCAGGTAGCCTTCCAAAGTCCGGATCCATTTGTCGACGTCGAACTCAGATGTTGCCTTCTGACCACAGGATGCTGGGGGTGTCAAAAGGAAGGCGTTGTTCTCCGGAGGCGTGCTTGAATCCAGTTTTGGTCCTGTGCCTTCGGCGAAAGAATCGCGAGAAAAGGAGGCTGGGCTGGCCATGTCGAACGATTGTAGATGGCGAGGATGGAGTTATTGAGCACTTGCGATTGGTCTCGGTGGTGCTTCGTAATTGATTATGGTATGGCATGCATCCGATAAGCCGAAGTGGATTCAGCTATCAAATCAGATGATCACGTGCCGGGGAAACTTCGGAAGGCTCTAGCCGAAGTTAGACGCTGACTAATAATCTATAGTGCCTTTGGTCTAGACGATACGATATGGATTACATAATTGCTGATAACAATGATCTTGGCACCTCACCCAAAAGAGGAAACAAATTTTGTCCACCAGAAGAGGCATTTGCTTGAATCTGTATGTCCTGCGGTAAGCAGAGTATGTACTGGCTGCTGGGCAGTACACTGTGCTATGCTCCATTATAAGCGATTATAAGGTGGAGAAATGTCCATGACTTTACACTACCTTACAGTACAAGCCAAAACTGGCATATGCTAGTGTTTTCAGTATGTATTCGTCAGCCACTTGCTGCTCCATACAGTACTTTGAAGTAGCGCATAGTACTGATGGCTCGTGCACTCAAATCCTAAAGAGTACGAAGAGGACATTAAATTCGCACATAGCTGTATCCTCTTTTGCTTCTACATACTATAAAAAGCGCAACACGAACGAAACTGCTCCCCACAAGACGGAAAGGAAGCTTGAGGACACCTATGCAGTGTCTGTGGGAGCAGTTTGCGGTTCCAAGCGCTTTGTTCTACCGCCGACTCCGAACTGAAGTCTTTTATGATACAGGGGTCAGCGAAAAGGGCTTCATGCTTATTCTCAACACTCTGCAACTCTCTGATGTGTTTCCGCACGGACGTCTGGCATCTTGGCATCGACACAGTTTGAACTAGCACGGCGATACCAACCCACTGGAGCTCTTCACTGACAGGGGTGCTCCATCAATTTCATAGAGCAAACAATGGCTTTTGTGTCATCAACACCAGGGGTCTTAAGTGGGTTGAAGGGCCAGTTTTGGATTACCCAACGTCTGTTATTGGAGATGGAGAACATGTTCAACTGTGTGGATCCGGTCTAAGCTGACGTACACCACATCTACGATGTAGATCTGTAAAACAAACAAAATATCCACCCTGTGTAAGCAGCAAGAAGCTTACACGTCCGAGCGGAGAGAGATCAGAGAGTTGGGAATAGGATGAAGGCTTTTTCGCTGACTACTGTAACCAGCAGCTATAATCGACACTCTGATCCCTCAGTCAGTCGAGGCAGGGCCAAAAATAGCCGCGGCAAATCTAGCCAGTATATGAGACAGCCTGGGAGCTAACGGCCTGGCAACAGCTTCCGTTCACCATAAATGCATTCGACCCTTCGCCCCCATGACCAGATCAGCGAAAGAAGTTCTCGATTACGTTATGAACGTATTCTTTAAAGACAATAAATGGCACGAAGCCGCCGTCGAACTTGGAGCTAATCCCATTTTTTTTGGGTCCGACCTTAAGAGACTTGCCGACGGTGAAGATTGTGAAGAGCTTCACCTCGCAGCTACGCCAATGGAGTGGACCGGGGATCTCTACACTAAGGCTATCTTAGCTGAATCACTAAAACATCCAAGGTTCGATGAGGGAGCCCTTTCGCTTGTCCATGGCGCGAATGAACGGTTCACGTTGAACCTCCAAGACCCTCACAACTATAGCAAGGACCATACAGCAATTGAACGTTTTGATAGTGTGTTCAGCCAACAAGATCATCAATTAACTACCTGCGTACTCTATTACAATAAGGGTCAGGGGCACCTAGAGGAGCTTTATGTTTCGGATCATCAACTGCCTTGGAAAGATTATTATAAGATCCATCTGCAATATTGTTTTTCTCCATATAGTCCGAAATCGCTCGACTGGGTGGTGGCTGAAGATTCAAGCGTAAAGTTTTGACCTCGATAATGAGATGAGACTTATGATCGCGGGAGTAAGTCCCCACTAACAGCGGACACGTATATTACGTCGAAAGCTTAGATGACGGTTACATCAAGACGCTATTTATTAGTAAACTCTCCAGTCTAGTGAAAAGTGACGATATGAAGCCAAGGTGTTCTGAACTGGTTCGTAAAATATTTTGAGATTGGCCCAAAGTGTTAGCAACAGGTAAGATAAGTAGTTGAGATTGCTTAAAAAGTTTTAAAGACGATTCAACGAAAGAAATATGACATACTGTATAGGGAGAAATAAAATATAGTTCAAACAAGATAAACCAAAACACTAAAAGGTTTCGCCACGGGCGAAATTGATACGCCGTATTTGGGATGGTCCGATAGATAGTGACTACTGTAAAAGACGGCGTCTTGCTTAAACTAACAACTGCTGTTTTCCGAAGCTATTACACACAGCTCTAAACGCTGTTTGAACGCGATTAGGACCTATAATCTAGTTGCGGCTTCGTGCGCAACCACAAGACGCGGATCAGGTAACTACGTTCTATAATTTAGCCTTGTATGTTGGAATAAAATTACCGTATCGGCAAATAAGTGATACGAGTGTGCCAAGAACTAATTACTGCTTTTTGGAAGGGAAATTTCAGCAATACAGCAGATACTTGGCAAGTTTCTGCCTGTCCATCGTCGCGGAGTGGACCCATTCGGCTGTGCTGAGAGACACATCGGCTCAAATGATCAGAGGTAGTGTTGTATCAGACTGGGTTGTATTACATAAGAGTTGTCCCATACAACCAGCCATTTGATCCAAAACCGGCTGCAATGTAGCAATACGGACATCGAGCCCCACAGCCGATTCCGATCCCCGATTGCACCTCAGGCGATGGATGGCATGTGGCTAGCGAGGCTCGTTGACCGACTCCCGAGCTTTTGCATTCTTCGTCATGTCCATATGTTGGATGCAAAATCTGTAAGCTACTCGTTGGCTACCATCACTCCTGCTATCTGTTAGAGCTCTTCCGGTGACCATGGCTCGGCACTGCCTGTGCCAGCCTTCTTCGTGTAATATAACACAAATCGCCAGATGCCCCTGTTTCAACAATCAACATATATAGCAGAGTCACATACTTCATGTTCTTCATCACAGCTAAAGCTTTGAAGACATACTCAGCTACATCAGTAATCCTCCTCTTAACGACAATGTCTCGTCGAATCTCGATATCAGACTTGCTGACGCCTGCCGCTCTGGATATGGAGACAAACACGGCCAAGAGAGAGCTTCGTTCTGAAGATGCCCCCAGACTTCTAACCCCGCCAGCGGTTGACACGCCGTTGCTAACAGACAGCATAAACCACCACGCAGACTCTGAGACGTACCATTCCAACACGACGGGCCATAACACGGATGTACGCCAATTACTACCGCCAGCAAAGCTGATCTCGACTGGGGAACCTACTTTGGAGGACATGTTCGCGGTGCAAGCGTTGCAACCATCCTTCGTGACGAGTTCGAGCATGGCTCTTCAACAACAGATGTTCGATGATTTCGGCAGTCTAGGTCTTCACGACAACTCGCATCAGATGTTGGCTCCTTTTTGCTACAATTCGTTCATCGAGTGAGTGAATATCGCACCGAGTTGAAAATCGAGAAATCACTACTAATAAGTTGAAGCTTTTCGTTTACAAAACCCTTTTGCAACCACGAGCTCGGTGATATTGATAGCACAGCTAACCATGAGCCGGTCTTTCTCTCCCCCAGTTGCAGTTATTACTGGGGATGTCACCCTGACTATATAGGCGACGCGTATAATTTACTAGATGACGGCAGGTCGGGTGGCTATGTCATGGATAGTGTGCACCCCGGAGCCTACCTTACCAGTGATTTTCTGGCTAGTGCTCCTATTCACAATACGCTGGGCGGTTCATTTCAACCGCAGGCCCAATCATATGACTACGGTATCGGCGCTCAGTCTGTCACACAGCAGGGTTTTGTATTTCGAAACGACGACAACTCGGATATTGCCGGGGAGGAAAATGAACCTGCCATAGTTGCTGTGCCGTCATTCCTTGGTCAGATAACATCATCGGACTGCTGAGAGGTTCTTTCCTTTTCCCTACTTCAGTTTGCTTAGGAACGGGTCTGTATCATAAATTCTAGCGACTGTTACTAGTTCAGCACGAGAGATACTTAAAACCAGTCTTGTTTGTAGGGACATGTACTATAGACGTAATAGAATATTTAACAGAATATTCACATATCGAATTAGACTCCGTCCATGTAGGATTGCATCTAAAGGAACTCTTACTTGGGTCGATAGTGCGAATGCTAACGTAGCATTAAGACATATCAGGGTTGTAAACATTTTAAACTTTAAACTATGTACAGTACATGATATGCGTTAAGATCATTCCCTCTATGCCGCGCATGCAGCTGCATTTGTGCCATCAGTGCAAAGTCCAGACTGCTCCAACATGACTGTGATGAGAGAACGACCGGCTGCCGTACCATCCAGATCCACACGGCGGCCGAACTGGAGATGGTTCACAAGTGGCTCGCTAGCTTCGACAGAGTCTTCCCACTCCGTCATTTCGTCCTCGGTGCTGGCAGCGCATCCATTGAAATTGTAACTAGAAACATCGTGTTTCATTTCTGCTCTTGCTGTTCTTGCTAGACACCTAGGTTGGTATTTCTTGTTGTAAAATGCGACGCGGACAATTGGACAAGCCCCTGTGGAAGATTGACAATGCTGGTTGGTGTTGGTGTTGTGGGTTCGGCTTCGATAAGTGTCTCCCTCGGAAAGCGCAGGCAGAGGTGTTTTAGCGAGGCCGGACATAGCGATACCAGTCATGGACCGATCGCAGGTAGCTTGTTTCGCTTCTGACGGTATAGCAAAGCATCGTGGGCTTTCGGTATGAGGCGACATGGAAGAAACCCAGTCGCTAACGACGTCGGGCGGAGTCGAAAACTGACACGACATTTTGATTGGCCAATGACCATCTGGAGCTGGTGTCATGTTCGAATACAGTACTGCAGTAAAAGGCGAATAATAATAAATAGCAAATCCCCAAGCCATGCTTGGGAATCGCTCCTGTTGAGTACTCGCGACGAAGCCGTTGCTTGGTAGGTGGATCTCCTTGCTCCAAAAAAGGCTCTTTAGTCTATTTGGCTGGGGTGTTTATGATAGCAGAGAACTGTTTCTGGATGGTCCGCGGGCACGCCCTCGTCTAGTGGGGAACATATCGGCAAGCCCAGACAGTGGGCCATTTTGGAAGCTTAATCAAGAGTGACTGTTGCGTACTGTAGAAGGCCATGTGAATGTCGTTCTAACGGATCGCAGACACCAAAGTCTGGCTGCACAGAAAACAGAAACCGGCAAGTTGCAGGGGTCACCTCGATCCACAGCCAATAAATGCATGTTGCATTTATGCCTTACATAACAAGCTTGCTCTCATGACTCGAGCCACAGGCTTGCTTGCCATTGGTGTATATCTCTTCTATGTTGCATACCGACTCAGCGGTATCTCCCTTTTTGTTCACCATCAGGTTTGGCTGCAACACTCACAACCTTTGCCTGCACTTGCAAGCCTGATCATGCTCCGCCAGCAGGTGGCCATACTTTGACATGTCTTCTTCTGCTTCCCACGTGGGACATGCGTAACCGTCCCATTTGACGGCGTAACAGACATTGCCGCCATCGCTTTCACAACAACCCACAATAGACTGAAGACGTGACGCCCAAGCAGGGTTGCTCGGTCTAGGTCGCTCAAAACATTCTTGCCATACTCTGATGCCATCTCCATCGTCAAAGACCCATAGAAGTTGGCGATCATCTGGCCAATCCCACACAAGGATCTGAGGAATCTCTGAGATTACGCCATAGAACACTCGGCCATCTCTCTCAAACGTGCAGATGACTTCAACTACGTCAAGACGTGACGACCATGCGGCCCTGATCGCCGATTCTTTTTGAACTCTCATGTTTATTTGTCAAAAACGGTGTCTCAGGAGCATAGTCAAGGTTTCCTCGTGGGATGAGTGAAGCTTGGAGAAGAGAACGGCTGATAGAGTAGAAAGGCCGGCGGCTCGTAGCAGGTAACCTGAATTTATATAAGCGCGAAAGGAGACTTATCTATGCTTATTTAATGAAGCCACTTTTCGAACCTATTGTCTTTTACTCAGCCGCATAAATCTGCTCTTTTATTGACAAACCATATGTTCTGAGCCTTAAATCCAAACCACTATCCGAGCAGTCGCTGCTGCACTATGGCTTAGCAGCCGAAAAAACATATATTTTACAATTTTCATTCCAACAAAAGGAAGCTTCAAACAAGACGAGATCGTGACCCTTGATGTACATTGACAGTGATATGTGATGTCCCCCTGGCTACCAGACTAGGACAGCAAAAGATGGGGCAGAGCCCCGCATATCCACGTCTTCAGCAGCTATCTCCCTGCCGCGGACAATCCTGTAATACAATAGGTTTCTCTTCTATCGCTGCTATGGACAGGTCGTCTGCAACGCTTCTCTCCAATACGGCCCACATGACTTCCGTAAGCTACAAGTCACTTCCTGCCTCACGGTAGCATCATGGGAACATTAATGCGATTATCGGCTCTAATATCCTCTGTTTACTCTTATTAAAGCGCAGCACGTCAAGACACTTCGAGACAAGTAGATAGAGCGGCAACTAGGAACCACGGCTATAGAGAGCATTCGAGCCAGGAATAAAAATAAAGAGCCGGACAGGGATGCTAGGCACGAACAGGCTCTATGGGTTCCTTACAGTCACTTTGGAGTATGAGGGTGAAGATATAGCTAGGTTTAGTGAACCAGATATGTCGACAAAATATAACGCGGAATTTCTCTCGTAGCTAAGGTATAGGTTAGTTATGTAAACCCAATGTTAGCTAGATTCCCCAGGAGACTTCGAGAGTCTCGCTCGGATATACAATCTCGAAGAAAAGAATACATAGGGCCATCTGTTGCGGAGCCAGAATTGGCTGGTAGAAGCCCTGTTCGGCGCCAGGATTGCCTAGAACTGGCACTGATATTCTCTTGGGAAGACTGAAACGCGCGCCAGGCTGAGCAGACCGAGAAGACAGTCGGTATCCCGGTGTCTAATGAGCGGATGCTGCAGGTACTAGTGAGAAACTTTCCTACGGAGGGATGAGAGCACTCCATGGCGGGGTGATGCTAACGTTATGCAACTCGTCGATTGATGACGCCGAATCTGCTGCGAGCAGGAATGTAAACCCGTCCGAATCAAAAGGCCAACGGTCAAGGTCATCGACACCCAGTGTCTCCTTGCAATCAGTTTTTAGCATGAGAAGCTGAGCGGCACGGCTTATGGTCCTGATGTGATGCTGGCTATAGCCCTTGAGCGGCTGACAATCGTCGTGGGTTGCTGCTTCATGTCAGACGCCAGATCAAGAGCCTAATAGGCATGCGACTCCTGTTTCTTCGGATGCTGAAAATATACTTGCCAATCTTCACCAATCCCCTATCGGTCACCACGATTTTGCTGTTGTCGAGCGAGGGATGTTCAAACCCTTGGCTTTCTATATAGCTGAGTCCGTCTGCGACCTGTAACGAAGCACAAGTCACTCTATATCCTTGAATGCTTGTTCTCTCCGTCATTTACCTGGCCGACTATGGCACCTAGCTGGGATTCGTTAGGATATCTTGGGCATAGAGCCAAATGGAGGAGGCTGAACGCCGTTGGCTCGAAGATGGCGTACAGGCAGGTATCTGTCATGTACGCGTGGATAAACTCAATGATGTTCTTGTGGCGGAGGATTCTGAACTTTGATAGAGCGTCTTTGGACTCCAGCGGAGCCATTTCCTTGACGTGGACCAGTTCTCCCTGTCCCACAGCCACTATCAGACTGTCCCAGAGATCGTGTAGCTTGAATTGCTCCTGATAGTTTTTCCACGGCGAGCCCCATTCAACGTCCGTTGTGCGGACCGAGAAAAGGTCCCTTTGCGGGCGGACGATGGCCTGCGCTTTGTCTGTAAACATGGCTGGATGTTTCGTCTTCTCTTGCTGTGGTGCGATCTGCAAGTTATCTTTCGTTGTTGATGTATCGGTCGCAGGGTATACCTTATGATCTGGTGCAGTAGCATTCTCGCGACCATAGCGAGCCGGAAAAATTGCGATTTGGGTTTTTCGGTTGGGTTTCATGTTTTTTATTCGAATATTGCATCCCTTAGAATGTGTTGATTTCACGACCTTTCGATGGCGTATAAGTAGACTTGTCTGGAAGCCGATTCCGACGAAGGCGCAAGGCATGCGGGCAGAATATCGGCCCCATAACTGGCGACGAGAGACAATTCTGTCTGTCTCAAAATGAAAAGCTGCACATTTATATCGGCTTCTGGCATGAATCAGGAATTCATTGACAGCGTCTGGTCGGAGGGGCGATTGAACCTGTGGATGTCTACTGTCTACATGTCACTCTGTCCATAGCCACTCGCTACGATATGCTGATTCACCCAAACGTAGTTTATGCGCCATCTGAACCACAGCCATGCCAGACCGATGGATGCCGCGCCAAAAAGCATAAGATGCAAGAGCAATCAAACAGTATTTAACCCAGTATGAGAGTGTTTGTCCAACCCTACCCATGCTTTCAAAAGCTAGCGATCGCCTTAGCGACGCGAACGTGAACGGGAAGTCGATGTAGCCTGCCAACAACAGCCATGAAAAGACGTTAGCTAGGAGGGACCACCACTATTCTATCTCTTTGCTGTTCTCCAGCACTATTGCGTTATATCTAAAAACTGCAATGGGTTTAACGTGATCTTACGTATCGTACCTTAGGGGGGAGGCATCGTTGTCCTTCATTGTCTTCGGCTACAGTGTACGTGCATTGAGGTGAGTTGTTTTTCTATTAATACTTACTCCTTTATCCGCTCTCTGTATGTTATACAAATTCGGGAACGACTAGGCCGTTCAATGTGTGCATCTTCGTTGCTAGAAGCACATATTTAAGATCTTCCAGACGGTTTAAAGTTCTTTTAACAAGCTAGAACGCGGTGCAATTTACCAGATAACTTACTATTTCCTGCTCTAGCTTCAACCTCGTCATCCCGAGCGACTTACGTAGCTCATCTGCCAATACGACAACGCTTTGCCATAAGCTCGTGATGTAGAGTCTTGTTCTCCTGTATTAGTAGGGTCATGATTGTGTCATACTGTTCGTCAGCCCGCCAAAAATCTTGTATAACGGGATCGGCAGGCCTTTCATTGAGAGTTTCTAGTTCTGAGGGAAGTGGCCCGTTTCAAATGTCGTTCCATCAGAGGGGCCTGGTGCGTGCAACTTCGCTCGAGTTCCCATTTTTCAAGCGCTCCCCGTTGTCCATAGACAATCTCTAGGTGGGACATGAGTACTTCCCCACAGTTCATAGTATGAGGACGTTGGAACCACAAGGTGTACATGTCACGAAACAGTCTTTTAGCCCAAAGAAATCATTAAGCATACTGTATGATGGCTAGATTTAGCTCAAATTAGTCTAGCTCTCCTCGTAACAGACGCCATGCCCGTAGCCGTGAAAGGGGCCTCTAGTTCGCAAAGAATATTCCTAAGCTCCTTGTTAGACCTCTACGCAGCCCATTTGAGGTGAGCACTTTCGTCATTCACTGGCAGGCAACATCATTGCGTTACGTTTCCTGCCATTGCGGCCCAAAACAAGGGCGTTCGGCCGGAATCATCGCGTAAGTAGATGTCAGCGCAACCTGTACTAAGAAGCAGCTTGACAACTGTTTCGTTTCCATGCTCAATGCCCCATGATAGTGGCGTTCTACCGTCATTATCCTTCGAGTCGATTTCAACCTTGCCAGTGTCGAGGAGCAGCTTGGCGACTGCTTCGCTTCCATGCTCAGCGGCCCATGATAGTGGCGTTCGGCCATCATTATCCTTCGAGTCGATGTCAACTTGGCCGGCGTCGATGAGCGCCGTGATGGCTGCTTCATTTCTATGCCAAGCTGCATGCGATAGTGGCGTCCTACCGTCATTATCCTTCGAGTCGATGTCAACCTTGCCAGTGTCGAGGAGCATCTTGACGAATGCTTCGCTTCCATGCTCGACGGTCAATGATAACGGCGTTCGGCCGTCATTATCCTTCGAGTCGATGTCAACTTTGCCTGTCTCGAGGAGCATATTGATGGCAGGCTCGTTTCCGTACCAAGCTGCATGCGATAGTGGCGTTCGGCCTTGATTATCTTTTGAATTGACATCCACATTTTCGGTATCAATGAGCATCTTGATGAGTGTCTTGTTTCTACTCATGGCGGCCCATGATAGCGGCGTTCGGCCGCAATTGTCTTTGGCGTTGATTTGAACCTTGCCGGTGTCGAGCAGCATCTTGACGACGGCTTCTTTTTCTTGTTCAGCGCCCCATAACAGTGGTGTTCGTCCATAATCATCCTTTGAGTCGATCTCAACCTTACCGGTGTCGAGCAGCATCTTGACGAATGCTTCGTTCCCATTCTCGGCGCCCCAGGATAACGGCGTTCGGCCGTCATTATCCTTCGAGTCGATGTCAACCTTGCCAGTGTCGAGGAGCATCTTGATGACTGCCTCTTTTCCATTCTTGGCGGCCCATGATAGCGGCGTTCGGCCATCATTATCCTTCGAGTCGATATCAACTTTGCCTGTCTTGAGGAGCATATTGATGATAGGTTCGTTTCCGTACCAAGCTGCATGCGATAGCGGCGTCTGGCCTTCATCATCCTTCGAGTTGACGTCAACTTTGCCGGTGTCGAGGAGCATCTTGACGACTACCTCCCTATTAAATGAGGCTGCCCAGAGAAGCGGGGTCCGGCCGTCATTATCCTTCGAGTCGGTTTCAACCTTGCCGGTCTCAAGGAGTACCTTGACTATCGTGTCGTACCCATTCATGGCGGCCCATGATAGTGATGTCTGGCCGTCCTTTGAGTTCATATGAAAATTTTCTGAGCCAACGAGCATCTTATCTTTTGAGTTGACATTAACCAACTTGTGTTGAGAGTTATCTTGATAGGTTTGCAGATGTAGCTTATGTTGCTCTTATATACAGCAACCAGCTGGGTTACGACGTACCTGATCAGCGTCAAATCTAGATGAACTGTGCCAAGAGATGGTTTCGGACTTGCAACAGCAGACGTCAGATTTTTGTGTATTACAGTACTGTGCATTTGCGTCAACTCTCTGATGTCTTTCCGCACAAGCGTTTGGCATCTTGGCATTGACACAGTCTGATCTGGCTCTGCGGTACCGGCCTACTTGAGCCTCCTCCACTGACAAGGGTGACCCACACATCGCTTAGAGCAATCAATGGCTTTTGTGTCATCAACGCCAGGGGTCTTAGGCAGGTTGAAGGGCCAGTTTTGATTACCCAACATCAATATGAGAGATAGAGATGTGCAGATCCACTATAAGCTGACGTCCGCCACGTCTATAATGTAGATACTGTACGTAAATCAAACAAAATAGCTGCACTGCGTAAGAGACATCAGAGAGTTGTGACTGGAATGAAGGCTTTTTTTGCTGACTACTGTGGCGAGAAAGACAGAAAATGGACGAGGAAGCAGAAGGTGGAGACAGTATGGGCTTCAAGGAAACCGTGACACAAAGTCAGAGACGTACAGTCGCGTTCGAAATTGGTTTCATGCTTTCCACACAAGAAACACTTCTTTCCTGGACAATTTGGTATCCACTTGCTGACAGGTACAGAGCGACCCATGTATAGTACTTGTTGGAAAGATGATAATACTCCTCTAGGTAATCCATAATCAGCTCTTTACTTTGCAAACATAGGGCTGAGCGTCCACAATAGCTGCCACTCTCTGTATCGTTTTCTCTCTGGGAAGTAGTGTGGAGACGTTCGCAGGTACCATGTCTGCAAACAGGTCCATTATTGTCTCTTGGTTGGAAGTGCCAGGACAATCATGCCGGAAACCGATTTCGGATTCAACTGTACATGTAATCAGGTTTAGTTGCCCTTTCGGCTTCGCTGCCGGGCGAAATAAATTGTATGTGTGTTTATCAATGGCCTTCGAGAAGAACCGATACTGCACCATACCATCCGCTTCATATACATCTATTATTAAGTTGTTGAAGTTCAGTACTGTAATCGCGACGAAGCACGCAACTTCAGTCACTCTCACTCGCCACTCTCCCTCTTGTAGCGGAAGATCGACGAAAGAGGAAGTCCGGGATTAGGATCCGAGGTATTTAGTACAAATCTTCTTCCCTGAGTTCGTATGAAAGTTGGCCGCGCAGTCATTGTCTGATACTGTATTCTTCTTTTAGCAACTTACAATGGTGCGTAACGCGAAACAAGTTCTGGACCTGATCATCGGCGCAACTTTCAAAAATCGTGAGTGGTTTGAGCAAGCTGTGAAACTCGGTGCCAACCCAGTCTTTGCCGGCTACTCTCTGGCGCACCTTGCTGAGGATAACCATCGGGAAGAATATTACCTGATCATGTCACTTGTCTATTTTCCACCAGCTCTTCGTTCCATAACACGTCTAAAAGCATCTCTACGAGATGCCATGGGCTACAACGAAGCGCTATCGGAATATCAAGATGAGGGATCCAAAATCCGACTTAAATTCTCCCGGTCTAGGCAGACCAGTGTAGACCACTTCGCTAAATTGCTCGATCATGGGCCTGCCGGCCTGAATACCTGGGTCTTATACTATAATAAAGGTGAGGGATCACTTGAGTCCTTGCTTTTACCGGATCATAAATTGCCTTGGTTGCGAAGCTACCGTCTCCCTCTGCCGCAAACTATCTCGTGGCAGGCGGAAGAGCCGGCATGGCTCGATATTACCTTACCCAAATGGGAAAAAGAAGACGACTGTTATGCTAAATGGTCTAATTACGCCAAAAGACCAATGCATTCCTACGTCTGGAAAGCTATATTCGCCGACTTGTCGTATATCGATGCAATAGTCTCTCGTGGCCGCAATGCCATAGTCGTCTCCCGATATCTACCATTCTTGTTTTCACAAGTTCCAACCAAGGCAATCGACGTCATAGTTGTCATTCTTGGTCAGCAAGGCGATTGTGGGTTCGAAGATGATCTTCTTCAGAAACCCGGAGGACTTCGTGAATCTCTTCATCCTCATTCCTGGAATGAGGAGCTTTGCGAAGCCACTTACACAGATACCACTATGACGGTAAATATCTGGCAATGCCAAAAGCAAGCCAACCGTACTGCTGTTTACCAAATGCTGGACACGTTATGCCAGCGCAATGAGGAGTCCCAAAAGTGGGAGACCTACATGATGTACGCCTGCGACGCAGATTTTGGGCTTTACAAAAAAGAGTGTCAGTTTTCTGAACGGGAAAACATGTTCTCACTGGAACTTAACCAGTGTTTTCACCTTGGGGAAGCACAACACTGGAAATTTTACGAGTATGATAGGCAAGATTAGGGGTATTGAGCCCTTCCCCGCATGCGATGTACCTTTTGCCATTTCGCACTCGATTGCATAGGCAGTGGTAGCCACGTCTCAGTAGCCTCGTGTCAAGAATAGGAAGAATATATCCAATAGGCTCGGAACGGCAGTTTCTGGCACGAAATAGTATTGTGGATAGCTTTAACCTTTCTGTAAATGACACCAGATTCTAACCCGAATTTATGCGCGCAAAGGGGTGGTTGTCCTGGTTGATTTATGGCCCTTTTCCCCTTGCGCCGTCCCGTACATACTGTACCTAGCTTCTTATTGTTTTCCAGCCCTTGGGGCCAAAAGAATCTCTCGTCACAGGACCTAGACGCGTTATTGCATCCATGACAGCCTGTTTGCAGGGCCTTCACCGATGCTACCGGGCCTACAAGCGCCGATGTTTTAGTGTTGCCAATCAATGTGTACACACCATTTATGTACCAGCCAAACAGAGGAAGGGAGCTGCAAAACGAATACAAACAGCATGAGTCCAGAGATAAAGAAATTGTTTTCGGCGCGAAAATAAGGTAAGATCGTTTGTATTAACTCTTGAGGTTTCCATCATTTCCCCGGCAATGTTCTCATGCTTTTCCTCTTTGCTATTGTTTGTGTCTCTCTAATCAGTATATAACCGTGCGCCAATTATCAGGATGGTTAATTACGTCGGAGAGTGAGCAGGCAAGGGAACCGCCGGTAGCATCGGTTGTGACGTCGGGGAAACTGGGACGTTTGGGAGGACACGACGGTTCTCGACTGCATCCATAACCTCCACGATCAACTGCGTCATCTTGATGACTTAATTGCCAATCGATCCATCGAGTGCTCCAGTTGTCCCTGTCCGTCAAGTATGCTTCCACATCTTCGAAATAGACAGAGATCCTTCGCAGATCGACCCTCCCCCCATGCTCGAACCATTTCTGAAACATAAATCCCCATGCCCCAGGAGCATTGTCGTTCCCTTTATTGGATTTTGTGTCGAGAATGAATCTCGATGGGGCAAGTCGGGCTAAGTTGAGCATGGCCTCAAGGCACGGGACGTGGTAGGAATCGCCAAACGTCATGGCAGTGAGGATTCGGTAAGAAACATCCAGTCTCCGGCTATTTCTTCCACCTTTCTCGACAAGGCATTCGGATGCGTCGCACGAAAGGAAGCTACGACGCGTCTGCCGACAGCGTTGAAGGACGAATATCCGGGAGGGGTTTCGGTCCAGCTCTAGTTGAAGCTGTACACCATCCTCTGACATCCTCTGTTGTGGGGTAAGACGGTCACGTCTCATCTCCTCGCCTTCCATAGGTTGGATTTGGTTGGTATAGTATTCTGGGGGATGTTTGTTTCCCTCCCAGAGTGGGGATGCAGATCGATCACGGCAGCGGGGTTTCCTGTGGGTTCTGGCTGACATTGCTCGATGTGATACTAATACGCTTTGGAGGAAAAAAAAAAGAATCTAACAAGGGCTGTATGTGTGTATGTAGTTACGAGCAAATGATCCTTCTAATTCAAGATGCGGCATTAAAGCTTTGCGGAGGACTGGGCATACGGTACTGTAGGACGTTGAATACTTGGAAAATCACCTTCAAAATAGCGTGCTAATTCTCAATACGCTAAAGTGAGGGAATCCATAGCAAGAAGGGCAGGAAACGTAGCAGCAAGCAAGAAGTGGAGACAGTAAGGGCTTCGAAAATATCAAAGCACAAAGTCAAAAATGTATATATAATCAGTTTTAGTTGCCCTTTCGGGTTCGCCGCCGGGCGTAATATTGTAACGTGTGCATACATGTACATACTGTACGTATGTACAGTTGGATCCGAAATCTGTTTCCAATATCGTCTCCACAATACGTTCTAGAGAGAAAGTTACCAGCAGTAGCAGCTATTATGGACACTTGGCCTATTGTTTGCAGAGAAAAGAGCTGATTATAGATTACAGTCGCGTTCGAGACAATACGAATAATTCACACCAAGAGCCGGGAACTGATCTTGACGAAAAGTATAGAATCCGCCTTTCACAGAAAACATAGCTATATGATCGCCTAAGAGCAGAAAATAGCCCAACAACCTCGAAACTTCAGCAACAGTAAAGGTGCACGTGACCGCGAAACAGCGCGGACATGAAGGGCCTACTCCATCTATACAGCAGGATCCCAACTAGTGCCGGACAGATGCTAGCGCCAGATCTGGCCGCAGGAGCCAATTTTTTCTACTACGTTCAATGGATCCAGCCCGGCAACCCCCTCATTTCCCTACAGATTCTTCGTCTGGTCTAGGCTTGCCGTTGCAGTTTGCTCAGAGCCAACTGTGGCCCCGTTGGCTCATTCCTGGACATCCATCATGAGTTTAGTATTTCACTTCCCGCCCCACTGCAGCATTCGACCCGGTTTTGACCAGTATGCCACCCCTAGGCAGGTTGCGGGGCTTAGTCCGTAGTCAAGAGGGCCCAAAGACAAGCAGCTGGTTACAGACAAGACAAAAGTCCAAAGCACACTGGGGCTGCTAAATTCGAAGATGTCAAACAATTGCCTTCCAGGGGTCATGCCCTCACTCGGTTCGTACTCGGGGTTTTCGGCACACCTAAAGCAACGGGCCAACCCTTACGCCGAGATAACGCCTAACTCTGTGAAAGCTCCATGGCGAAACTTCTATATAATGGACGCAGGGGAGGACCTACCAGGCTTGTGTTCGGTTCCAGAGGACAGACGCGCATGACGCACTTAGAGAAGAATATGCCTTTGCAGCCCGCTCGGGGTGTAAACCTCTATTGGGTGGTTATTTCCTAGGCGGTAACAAGCTGATGGCTTGGACGATTAGGAAGGGGCTGGCCATTTCATCAAATTTTAAAGAACCTTCCTTAGCAGTCTCGGGTAGGCTCTTTCTCTCTCTGTAATTACTGACCAACCTCAAACGCACCTTCTTGCCATCGACAGCAGGGCTCGCTTAAGCCGCCGAAAATAGAGGCCAGAGCACTTGAAGAAGCGCAATCATTCGAAGGAGTGATCAATGACACAGACGGAAGTGCATCTTGCTCATGGGTTTGTACGTGATCAGGGTAAAAGAAAAAAAAGGTTAGCACTTATTATAGACGTAAGCGTACTTTATAGCTTAGCCAGGGCGTACTAAATCCTGTGTGTGTATATATTTGACAGTGTCTTTCTGTCTTTGGGCCACACTTTCTCTCTTTAAACATCGCGAAACTCAGGTCCCTTACATCCAAAACAAAAATGTCATTCGAACAGGACGAGGAATCAACACGTGAAAAATGGGCGGCTGTCACAAGTTGGGAGGCTCTGGTAGACTTGAATGTTGAGTTTATCAAGTCAAGTGCAGAGGGAAGACGGGACGTCTCAACCCCTTACCATCATGGGCCCCTTGACGAAGAGACCGAAGAACTGATCCCTTCTCTACTGCACTTGCATGAATATGGGCTTTTAACAACCCAGAGTCAGCCGATTCTAGCCAGCGAGCCCGAATACATTGCCGAGCAGCAGAAGTGGTACGAATGGAGACAAATTCCATGTGTGGACTTTTTTTTCGAGTACCAAAGCGTTGAAGCACACCTTTTTTTGAGCTATCTCATCAACGACAACCGTCTTAAGGTTGTTTGGACGGAGTATAGACATGGCTCGATCTCGAGGACATCACATACTCAATCTATACCACTGTCTTTCAAAAGGGTTTCAGCGAGACGCGAGAGCCTTCAGTCAGAGCAGTGGCGTGTAACAGCAGGCCTGCCAAAAACCGTACTCTCCTTGGATGACTGCGGCTTTGAGTCTGTTCCCGCTGCTTGCCAAGGAATAATCATGGGCTGCATAGTCATCGCGAATCATAAGCAAGGGCTGTACAAGAAAAATAAACAGGAAACATTTTTGCGTAAATTAGCGAACATAGACGTCTTTACGATAGTTGCAAAGCATGCTGAGGCAGCAGGGTTAAGATGCTCAAAGAATGGAGGTAACAAGGAGAAGCGAGCTCTTTAGAAATGTTGGAAAACGTCTGGATTGCTCGTACTGTAGACTGCATAAAAACTTTGAATGATTTATCACCATCTTATCTTATGAGCTTATTATCGCCAACTTATGTCGAGGGTTGTCTTGATGGTCTGTAGGCCTAGGCTTTTTTAACCCTTATATGCAGCACCCAGCTGTTGGAAGACGCATCTAATAAGCGCTACTAGATGGCACAGGCTGAGAGACAATGTCGGACTTTCAATACTGTAGCAGATATGTATGTACCGGATATTGTGTGTATCACATTCGTGTGTGCAACTGAGGGACAGTCGAGTCCGAATTCGATTTCCGACATTATTGTGCTGGCGCTTCCAATCAAGTGACAACGGTAAGCTGCTTGCTGACACAGTACCTGCGAACATTCTCCACAAAACTCTCCAGAGGGAAAAGGATAGCTTCCGTGGCAGCTGTTACGGCTCTTCTCGCCCTATGTTTGCAAAGTTGAGAGCCAATTATGGATTACGTCTGTAACCCCGAAGTACGTACTGAAAGACCAGCATCTATATTATCATAATGGAGAGAGAAACGTCTAAAGTGGCTATAGTAACTAATAATCTGTTAATTCCTGTTTTGTTTTCAGAGCCTGTTTAAGGTTAGGTTTGTTGGGTCCAATTCAATCTTGTTAGCCCAAGTCGATGTGGAGCATTTTCCAAGATTAGCATGTCCTTCTAAGGAGGAAGCGACTTATGCTCATGACTATGTATAGTACCAAGGAGAGAGTACCAGTGACATGTCGCTTACATACAGTAGTAGAGCGGGTAATTATTTACTTAGGGTAAGATTACGTAGTAAGCAAAAGAAAGTCAGTGTCAAAGGTGGTTTAGACGGAGTGAAGTGCGCTTAGTACTAATTGCGTAGGTGGGTGCTAGTTAACGCTGAAATCTAACCCTCCCTCTTCTCATGCAGCGTTGCCCCTTCCTATACGCTGTATGTGGGCATGCGTTACTCTAGCAGCGCTAGCGCTACTAATCCTAACCATCCTGCCCTTGTAATCCTCTTAACGCCGGGGTTGTGGGTCCCGGCGTCCGCGCTCCGGCCCAGCGCCCGACAGTCTGGTAGAAGATAACCTAGAAACAGCCCAGATAGCCACCTCATCGGCTGTATTTGGGGGTTAAAACAACCAATCTGGGATCTGCATTCGTATCGTTTACTAGTATAGGCAAGATTACAGGACTATGGTGGGTCACGTTGTCGGTCGTGTAGTTGAAGAGGTTGAAAAGCTTAGTAGAGGCTTGTTTAAGTATAAAAGGGATCACTGTCTCTATAGTTTACCCATCAAACCTTCAATCTCAATCAACAACACTACTCACAAAATTCCAAACACTCAAGACCACTGAATTCCAAACTGCTTTATTGTCTTTCCATAACTACCTATTGCTCACATTAACAGGTTAAACCATGGGACAATACTGGCAGGTAGCTAGTCCAGATCAAAAAGAGCAATTGAGCACTTTACATTGGGGAAAACTGGGAGTCTTACTCCCTGGCGGACATGTCGGCCGTCATTTGCAACAGCAATTGATGATACCCCTTTATCGACAGTACGCCTAGATGCTGGAACTATGGGACGAGAAGCTATTACTAATTACGATGCAGAAAAGAGTTTTTGAGTGGACAGCCTCAAGTGGTTAGGCATGACGATGATACAAGACGTAAATTGATATCTTATCTAAGCCAAGTTCAGGCTACAGCACTGAACGAAGAAAACGGAAGTGCTAGAGAAGCCCCAGACGACTTCGCAACTATTCTCGAAGACGTTTACCGCACGAAGTGGTTATCAAGGCATGATGTCAGTCTAGCTGACTATTTCGACGAAGAAGACATCCCTGACCTTACACGAGTGCTATTCGATCATCTCCTGGGGACGTGGGCCAACGAAAGGATAATATGTGTGGGAGACGGTTGTCAAAAACCGCCACCCGAGTATCCAGACTCGTCAAAACCTCTTTACAATGAAAGATACAGAGAATCGATAACACCAACAGAAGTTGCTAGAGTCATGCTCAAATATTTGGCGGCCCACTGCCTCAGTAAAGCAGAATGCTTTAAGAGAGAATACAGGCAGCTTTTTGAGAACTTCTTCCCATCAGATTATCGGCATGTCTTACTCAATTTAACTACACAGGAGTTTGTAGTTTCTAATGAGCTTTGGGGAAAAGACCTGGAGGCAGAGTGGAAGGATGAGATGCCAGGCCTTGGAGATGCAGCAATGACTGGGATTTGTTGGTCCCAGGATGACTCTACCGCAATGAAATATCCCATAGACACGACAGGCAAATGGGCTCTACATCAGTTTGTCATCGTCTCTAAGCACGTGTTTGACGAAGTTGTCAATGGAGATGGCTGGGAAAACGTTACCGAGGATGTTTATCAGGAGCTGTGCGAAATGTGGGAAATGGAACTAGCCCCTTGTTACAACCCGTTCGTTATGCCTAACAGAGGGTTAACAGACCCACTCAAGCCGGCGGCTGCGTCGTCAGGATACACGGGAACAATGGGCCACCTCCGGAAGCGGAAGAACTATCGACTGAGGAAAGGTCACGTGGATATTATGCAAGATACTACTGATATGACCCTTGGCGTGTCGGCAGCCGACTCTCGACATGTCGACCTGCGACAATATGAGAGTCGGCCCAAGTAAAAGAGACTTCTATAAAGATCGGGACTTGAGCACCTGCTCAAGGCCTTATAGATAGTTCTTCAGCAATCAACTTGTGATTCATCATTGAATGACTTTCAGCTTAGTTCACAGTTTGTGATATTACTACCTCATTACCTCGTGTAAGACTGATCACCTTACCCTAACCCTTGATCTACCAGTCAGCAGTATAAAGTCGAACACCTAGTTAGTCTTGTTACCTCAGTTTCTGTTAGCAGAAAATCCACTGTCATTAGCTGGCCGTAACACCCTTGGCTTGTAATCGCGTAGCGGGCGTGTGCCTGGAGAGGTGCAACTACCAACTGGTGAATTGGGTTCGGAATTTTCTATCGAGTGCCGTACGTTTTCTAATAATAGTCTCGTCTTTCAACATAACCTCCCTAATACTGAGTTTTCTATTTCTCACATCGGCCCTGAACCATCATGCAGGGCATGTATCTTAGTGCAATGGTTCCTTTGAATCTCGAGGTTGGGCATGTTCGGACATGGAGCAGACCTCCCGGATACAATATTCAACGACACGATTGCCCTCTTCTAGGGACTATTGCGAGAAGTAACTACTTCAACGACAATAACTAGGCTATTTGCCGTGCCCTAAGCAGCCAAAGGAGCTATGTTCCGATCGCGACCACTTAAGAAACTTGGGCTTCAAATGGAACAATCGCGTGTGCAAAACAATGCGACAACCTCTAAAAAACATGAGGTATTGATAAGAACAAAACCAAGCGGCAAATAAAACCCCGAAAGGTCTTGCTATACGCGTCTATGGCTTAGAAGGGGAAAAGAATTTGGGTTTGTTGAGTTTGAGAGTGGACCGCTTGTGTGTGCGACGTCACTAACGCAAGCAAAAGAACGCGTTATTTTAGGAAGACAACCTTATGTAGCTATAATAAGGCACTGCCGCGAGTTGGATGGGTTCTCCATGCGATGGAAAGCGCTTCACTTACCAGATAGTATATACGTTTACTGCCACTAGCGACCTATGCTCTTAGATTACTTGAAGGCTCGGCCTTGCAGGGGAAAGGGTAAGGACTTTTATACTGTAAACATAGAGGCGGCAACTACGTGTTGTAAAAATCTCACTAGGTGCCTGCAACTTCACAAGTATTGGTTCTTGCCGTCGCTGTCAGTTTCTTATCTATCTCTTGGGATCACAGGGGTACCCGAGTGGGTTTCCTCGTAGGGGTAAACGTGCTCTTGTTCTCAAGTCTGTCCACCGAGAAATTCTCGTAGAAGTGCGGATTCACCTGGTTGAGAAGATATTTCTCTTTCCATTCACGTTGTGCGATGTTCTCCTTTCGCCCTGTCTATACACTTGATCGTGCCCCCTCGAGAGCCTGCTTTTATCCCTGCCGTCAAGAAAGCCTATTGACTTCGCGCAGGGACCAAAGAGAACGAATATTCATGTCGATCGTCTCAATTGTTGTGATTCGTACATGTGGTTCGTACAAGTGGGCCATCTTCAGCGTGGCTAAGATCGAATCACTTCATGTTCAAACGAATCAGAAGCCGTCCTGAAACGCATAAGAACAGCAAAATCCGCCTTCAATTTTGCGTTCCCCAGCTAACTCTCTCACTCGATACCGAAGATCGAAAGCCAAAACCGACAATGACCACCATCGACCTTACCAAAAACGAGGATGAAGAGCTTTCCTATTTTTGCTCCTGGTGCTATGTAGACTTCAAAGAGAAAGCCATGCTCTTGCTTTTCAGTTGTTCATGCGTTCGTTACTCCGATTCCAGCCTCAGGTGTCAACTAACTTCATGGCCAGGTTATCTGTCCGACATGTTGCAAAAACTCCCAGGACTACCACGGAACCGATACCGTACGCTGCAAGATATCAGACCACTCGAGATTTAATGGCCAAAGATTTCGGAAAATCTTCTCCTTAGATTGCGGTATTTGCTGGGAAGCCACCCTACACATGCCCCTCGGAGCCAGCACATGTGGTACGTCTAGTTGCCCATCTATGTCGTCATTGCTGTCTCATCCGTGTTAAAAAAAAAGGCCACGTATTTCACACCAAGTGTCTTTCACGGGCTGATTTCTCATTCGAAATGAAATGCCCGCTTTGTAGGAAAGAGGTTCAGCGTTGCTGTGTGACTCCGACGAGTCTGCTTGGACAGCGTACCAGGAGTATGCGCGGGCATGGCGCGGCAACAAGCGAATATCATCAGCGGAGACGAAAAATTCGGCCTGGAGAATTGACAGACGCCACTTACGAGAAAAATAAGGATCGATTAAAAAAAAGACAGATACAAGATTAAGGAACAAAAGTACATCCGCTCGTCCTCCACAGAGTGCAACGACCTCGGCCGAATGCGACAAACTAGCGCTCTCCGCTGCTAATAGTATAAACCATCTAATTTCTCTTCTCGTCTAGCCCGAAAAGTTTGTTACTAAAAGCTATAGTCTCTATAATATTCACAACCTTAATTATGCTCCTAGAATTGATAAGATCTGTACTTTCAATACTGTAATTAACGAGGCATCTTGCCTAAGCGGCAAGTTTGCTAGCTATGTTCTTACCGATCTTGTCTTTCAAAATATCGCGCATGGAACACGTACAATCTCTGATTTGCGTCTGATTCCATTGAGTCGCCCAAGTATGGGTCATTTCGGGCCGATGGAATGGTTCTGGTACATAGGTGTCGAGCTTGTCTACAATGACTATGCTTCATGCGTGAATTGGCTATGGCCAAGACACCGCATCTGCCAGCAGATAAAAGTATAAAGAAATACTCATCCATTCCCCTCCATAAATTCCTTGGTAGTGGGGACAAGCATGGGGGTAGTAATTTGTCAGGATCTGGTCCGAAAAGCGCCTTGGAGAGACGGACTGGTCAAAGACACCACTTACCGCTGACGAAGGCAGACCTCGATTTACTCCTGAATCCCGTTAAAAGAGGTCAAGGGGGCTACGCGGAAGGTCAGGGCCACCTGGAGGAGTTTTACATTTCGGGTCACCAACTGCCTTGAAAAGATGTTTATCAGATTCCTCTGCAGTACTGCTTTTCCACAGATAGCTCGAAACCTGTAGAATGGGTGGTAGTTCAAGATCAGGCATTAAATTCAAACCTCAATATTGAGGCGCAATATTCCGGCCTAGTCAGTCTAAATCTATGTTGACATCGGTTGAGGTAACGATCATAGTGGCTTAATGACATGATATATAGATGAATTATGTTATCCATTAGCATATATGTATACACTATATATGTATACGCTTGATAAAACCTGAAGATAGTCTAATACATAACTTTGTAAGGGGTAAGATTAGCTCAATGTGTCGACGTTGAAAGATTTCTTTATATAGTACAGTTATGTGCAAATATTCCTTCCTCTTTCAAAACACTCTTTTATTCTCTAAAGCTTCTCCACATAGTGTGAAATATTCTCTGGAACACACTGTCTATAGTTACACACTTGCGTACCGGCTAGGAAAAAGCGGTTATTCCAGGTATTGTGGCCTGTTGCCTACACTGTCATTATGTAATTGGATTAAACACGGGCATTTGCTATATACCTTTGAGTACCTCCAGCGCTAGGTAATCACTGCTAATTGCAGCTTATTTTAGAGCCATTTCTGGATTATTGTCGACCATGCTAGGTAGATCTGAGTTCTTTTCTGGCTCCACTCTGATTTAAGAGTGAAGTTGTTTGTATTCAAAGAGGAAGGTATTTTTGCACATAACTGTAGCAGCCCTCCTATACAAATCGTAACCACAAGACCGCGCCTTTGGAACCCTGAGAATAACTGCTGTTTGTTAGAAGCCAGGAATAGCTCTGAGCCCCATACTAGAACTTAGGGTCTGTTTGTCGCTTCATGCTCGGCCACACGAAGTAGGGATTAAATATCTACATTCCGTTGTTTGACCGTGCATCCTGCACTTCATTCCGAGTTTTAACAGCCTCACAAACATATAACGGGAGTCAATTACTGCTTTGGGCAAGCGCGATGTTAGCAATACCATGATCGCGAGCGAAGACGCCTAGTGACACCTATAGTAATGGCCTTGTCAGGCCAAGTCGCCAGAAGCGGCTCCACATCTGGCTGAGCTACTCCGCATACGAGTTGCCACGTACAAACAATCGACTTACCGATCTAAAAGTGGCTGCCATGCAGCAATACCGACATCAGGCTCCACAACAGGTTTCGAACGCCACAGCACCTCAGCCGGTGATTGGCGTGGCTTTGTGAGCAGACTTTGACGGAACCCCTTGGTCGTTGCATTCATCGTCACGTTCACATGACTGCAGAATCTGTAGGTCGCTCGTTGAATGTTACGCTGTTACTACCCTTTGCATCGTCCAGAACGCTCACGGCAACCGAGACACAACAAAGCCGCCTCTGTGCGCGCCTGCATCTATAATGTAATTTTGCAACTGATCGCCAGATGCCCATGCCCGGCCCATGCCCTTCTCTTACCGTCAACTTATATAGCACGTCAATCCCTTCAGTCACGTACTTCACGTTGTGCTTCACCACGGCTCAAGATTGAACGACAAACTCAGCGGACTTGTAAACCTCCTCCAACTGACAATGGCTTCTCGAATCTCAATTCCAAACCTGCTGACGTCCAATATGGACACGCAAACAGTCTCAGCCGAGGAGGTTGAGGTTCGTCCCGAGGCTGTATGCAGACCGCACACCCCGCCAGCGGAAGACCTGCCGTTGCCAACAAACATCACATGCCATCAGATAGATGTTGAGTCGCCTGATACTACGAGCCATGCCACATCGGTACGCCAACTGCTAGCGTCTATCAAACTGACTTCCACTGGGGAACCCACTTTGGAAGACATGTACGCTATGCAGGCGCAATCGTCCGCAGTAACGGATTTCAGTATGGCCCTCCAGCAACAAATGTTTGACGGTTTCGGCAGTTTAGGTCCCCAAGACTACTCAAGTCATATGCTACCTCCTCCTTATTGTTGTAGTTCCTTCGAATGGTAAGTAAGAACATCGTCCTATCATCAATTAGGAAATGAGTGTTAATTCGTCCAAGTCCTTTATCTTTGAAATCCTTAGGCAATCAGCAACTTCTTGCCATCCCCAGCCTAGACAACTATAAGCCGGACTTTATCCTTCCTAATTACAACTATTATTGTGGATGGTGTCCCGGTTGTGCGAGCAGTTTGTGTGAGCCACTCGGTGACAGTGCGTTGGGTAGCTATGTTATGGACAGTTCGTGTGCTGAAGCCTACTTTACTGGTGCTATCCTTGGCAGTGGTGTCTCCGGTGTCTCCGGCAAATATACGTCTGTCGAGCCATTTCAACCAGGCCACTACGGCTCCGATGCCCAGCATGTCGGGCAAATGGACGTTTTGCTTGGTAACGGCGATAACTGGGATGTATCCGGAGACCAACGCGGACTTCTCACAGTTCCTACGCCATTCTTTCCTGGTTATAAAGCTTCATCGGACTCATAACAGCTTCTCTCCTTTTCCCTTGTTTCACGTTGCTTGGAGTCGGTTCACACTGTTAAACATAACGACTTTTGTTTAAGTCTAGCATGAATATCTTAGGCATAAGCATATATTATTTATATTACACAGAACAAATAATTAAAAAGATCATTTTCTTTTCAACTGAAAATCCGTTAGTATGGAAGGGCTAGCGGTAGTACTAGTGGATAGTGAAAGCTATATTAACAAAGCTATGGATTCTGAGAGCTTATGTAATGCATTAATGTTATGGAGTGGTGTTTGTTGGGGTCCTTTTACTTATGCCGCGCCTGCAGCCATGTCTACCCTACCTCGTTGTTACAAAATCCAGACTGCTCCAAGATGACCGTAATTAAAGAACGATGGATACTGCTAACAAATGACTTGCTAGCATCAATGGAATCCTCCCACGCTGCCAACTCATCCGCGTAGCTGATAGCGCATTCATTGAAGCTTTATTCGGAAGCTTCGCCTTTGATTTACGCTCTTGCTGTTTGTTCCTGCTAGATGCATAGGTTAATGTTTCTGGTCAAAAAACGCCCCGCCGCGCGCAGGCTGCTACTGTATGCCCCGGCGGAAGACTGATAATTGTTCTTGTTGTTGGTAATGTGGGGTCGGCTTCGATACGCCTGTACCCCGGAGGTGAGCGCAGTAAAAGAATGTTCTAGAGAGAAAAGGGATGTTGAGAGCTGGTTAGTAGGGCTAATCGCGAATGGTATGTTTCCCTTCCGACCGTGTGATAGAAAATTGAGGCCTTGCGGTGTAAGGCGATATGGACGAAATACAGTCGCTGACGACGCCGAACGACATTTCGATTAGCCAACGGTCAGATGAATGTAAGAAGACCGGCGGTTTTGAAACACAGTGTCATAGTGTCATACTGTAGTGTCATGTTCGAATACTCTACTTGGCGATGGCTCCTGTTGAGCGCTTGCGACGAAGCCGTTCTTCGGTCGGTGGGTCCCTTCTGCGATATGAAAGAGACTCCATGTTCTGAGTGCATATAACGAAAGAGCTGTTTCCGCATGGCCCACCCGCACGCCTATATTCAGCAGGCAGGGCCAAGATACCGGCGCTCGCAGAACTAGAGCAGGCAATAAGCCATTTTGGGAGCTTGGCTTGGGAGCGAGGTCAAACAGGCATCGTACAATAATGCGTGACAGAGAACCTTCTTAACGAATGTCGTTTGATGGGGACGCAGACACATCAGTGCAGAACAAGCTTGTCCTCGTGATTTAAGCTTTATGGAGCTCCATTCAAACTAGCTGTTGTGTATACCTATGCTGCAAATCGACTTGTTGGCCTTGCCTCTTATGCTCGTCGTCTGGCTCGGTCACGCCACGCCACGGCACTTACGATCTTTGCCTGCACTTACAAGTCTGATCGTGCTCCGCCAATAGGTCGACGTACCTTGACATGTCTTCTTCCGCTTCCCACGTCGGACATGCGTAGCCGTCCCACTTGACGGCGTAGAGAACATAGCCGCCATCAGTCTCATAGCAACCCACAATAGAGTGAAGACATGACGTCCAAGCAGGATTGCTCAGCCGAGGTCGATCCACACATTCTTGCCATACTTTGACACAGTCTCCATCGTCAAAGACCCATAAAACTTGGCGATAATCTAGCCAATCCCACACGAAGGGGTGAGGAATCTCTGTAACTACGCCATAGAACACTCGGCCATCACTTTCAAAAGTGCAGATGACCTCAACTACGTCAAGTAGCGGTGACCATGCCGCATTGACCGCCGTGCCTTTATGCACCCTCATGCTTACTAATCAGCATGCGGTATGCGGTGTTTCAGTGATGCGTTGTATTACAGTAAGGATATAGAATACTGTGTAGTTAATGTCTCCCTGTGGGGTTGAAAGATGCTCTAGGAAGAAGACCACTGCAGTAAAGAGGAAAGAAGTCCAGCAGCTCTCAACATACAACCTCAATTTATATACAACCGCGCAGACAAAATCGTCTATAGGCATGCAATGCAGCCACTTTCGAACTCGCAATCTTATACTCAGCCGCGTAGATGTGCTCTTTTGTCCATGGCCTACGTGCTCTCTGGTCTTGATCCGAGCTGCCGTATTGACACCAAGCAATTGAGAGAAGATAACCACTGTACTACGAAGGCACTTCGAAGGCGAGGTTTTTGTTGGTTACAGAGAAAACCTGAAAACGTGGCTAGTTCATTGATTGTTGCTATGTACAACGTAGCTAGCAGACTTTCTCAGTACGTGAGCAGAATCTCTCCAGTATGTCCGTTATCCCCTGGATAACATACCCATCCTGAGTCGAAATACGCAGAGTAAACACCGTCTCGTCACTGCCGTCAAATTCCATCTGAATGATAACGGGCCAATAATTCTTCGCAACCTCCCGCACGACCTCCTGCGCGAGAGCAGTTACAGCGCCAGCTCGCGCGGTTGCCTTCATAACCACGTCCCTTTCTATCCAGAAATCTGTCTGTCTCGTGTACGCAACTGGCGTGTCTGGCATGTCTGGCAAGTTTGGCACTGTGCAATCATCATCGGAGGTAGCGAGGACGGTACTGGCTTTGTCAAGTTAGAGTGAGCTGGTGACGAGGATGGTGGAATTGCCTACAACTGCCAGCACGTGCCCTTTTTCGAGTATGCCCGTGCTTGGAGACATCAGGAGTCCACTTTTGCTCGAGTTCGTTTTCATCAAGAAACGAATCCTCAAAGAGGCGTCCAGTCGAATCGTCTAAGGCAGAATAGTTTTCGTGGCGAGGAGATTCCATGTTTTTGAAGTCACTCGGGACACTTCCGGCAAACGTTCTCAAGGAGTTCACTGTTCATGAAAGAGACATGATACTAGAGCTTCAGTCGCAAGTGCCATACGTTGCACTATTATACTTTTCCGCAACTGCGGAGCCCTTGGTCTTGCCGTTCTAAGAATGGCATATAAAACGACGGCACGGCGGCCTCTGCAAGGGGCAACGTATCCGTCGCTTGTCATCAAGGATTAGTGCGCAATCATGTTTTCATGAAACGAAGCCCCTTCCGACCAGAAATCTTTCGGCCGTTTTCGGGAACCTGTTATTTTTGCTGCGATTCTTACTGGAATCTGATGAATTTCATCACTATCACTGCCATCGGTTCTATCGATGTATCTCTGCTACGGTCAACCCGTCCGTAAAGCTTCCCTCCGATACGACGCAGATAATCTCCCCACAAAACACTCCCTGCCTCAATGCAAAATCAAGAAAACATCATTGCGATGACCGGCCCTGGCTTTGCCTTCCTACACTTGTTGGAACGCATCACGTGGAGGACCCCAGTTTTGGTTAGACTGATCCCCTTCTTCAGCATCTCCGTCACCATGCGCACGATTGACCTCGGCGAATCCTGCACAAATCGCGTTGCTACCGCATCGCCCTCCTTCGAAGCTACCCAGAAACAGTGCGAGTATAACACGTGGAATACTTTCAACAACTTGGGTTCTCGTGTCAGGAGGCTGATCACACCCCAATGATCTCTCACACATGCTAGCCGCACCAGCTTATCGACAACGGTGCGTAACACTCCTTCGTCCATCTTGGCACCACGCCGCAACAGGATCGACGCCATAACGGGGTCTCCATGGCACGTCGAAAGCGTCCAAGTAAGAGTCGTCGCACCATGAGAGTCACATTGGTCAATGTTCAAGAGGCCTGAAGAGAGCAACAATTCGGCCTCCCAACGACGCCTCAAGCGAACGAGCTTCAGCAAGAGCGGCCCTGTCCAGTTGCAGCGCGCAGAAATACAGACCGTCGCATCCGGGTCGGCGCCAGACTCTATGAGACGGTCGACGAGCTTTTGCTTCGCCGCCGCCGTTCTCCCGTGTGTTTTCTCAGAACGAGCCAGCAGAGCTAGCTCGAGCGGCTTCTGCTCGTAGATGCGCAGCGCCGGGTCGGCCCCTTCCACCAGGCCGTCCGACTCGCCCGTGGCGTCCGCTCCGGCTTCCAAAAGAGACAGGGCGGCAGAGAACATACCGTCTTCGCACGACATACTCAGCGCCGTCATGCGCCAGGTGTCGATCGTCGTCGGCTGGTTCACGTCCACCTCGAACCGTGCCAGGTGAGCTATGACCGTCTCCGGAGACGGTGACAATAGCGAGTGGATCAGCGGTGTGTCCCCGTTGCTGTCGACCGTGTCCACTCCCAGTCCTTTCTCCTCGATCAGATAGGTGATGACTTCGGTTAGTCCCGCAGCAGCTGCTTGGTGGAGTGCGTTGATCCCGAACTCGGGAGACTCAAGGCGCGCCCCACGCCGGAGGAGGACCATGGACGTTTCTGCATCACGGCTAAGTAGGGATATGAAAACGGGAGTGCGCAACCGGCAGTCCGGGACCCCGTCGATATCTGCACCGCGGTCGAGGAGAAACGACACGATATCAGAATAGCCTTTCGAAGCGGCCAGATATAGAGCCGTGATAAGATAAGGACTGGGCTGTTGGGCTTCGGTCAAGTACATCACGGCCGGTTTGTTGTAGTCAGCGCCGGCTCGGTAGCTATGCTCAAGCGTGGCGAGGGCTACCTGCGTGTCCGTGCAATAGGCAATGGTGTTAAAGATGGCGGAGTGACGACCCTTCTTGACGTCGTGCTGGTAAAGTTGGGGATTGAAGAACGAATGCCAGTCGCGCGAGCATCGTGCAAACTGGGATTGAACATGGGTGTCGCTATGGTTGAAGACATGCCACGCGATATCAAGGGGGATTGGTTTCATAGGGAAGGACCTTTGTAGGTATTAAGTGAGATATCTTGGTTCATGTAACTTAGGACATGGCGCCGGGGAGGGCTTCATAATCTATGGACCCATTTATGTACTTCTACTCGTGCAGTTGCTGTTTGTCTGCGATGAGGGGCTTCTTTTTGCTGTTCAGGCGATACTTACTTACAACATTTGGTGCACAGCGTACTGAACTCCCAGGAAGCCGAAAGTGTATCTCATATTACAGTATAGCATATCTGCCAAAATTGGCTTCTACATACAATGTGGGTATTCGAATGGTCTTGTTGGCTTTGCTCGGAACTGACGTAGAGTTGAATGTAAGTGTCCGTTGCCTCACGACGATGCTCGCGATCGGGTTTGGGTACTTAGCTTGGTCTTGTCTCCTGTATCATTAGTGTTTTTGAACGCCCTGCAAACAAGTTGAGAGTGTACAGTAGTGTAGAGGTCGAGTAAATAGCGAGTAAAGGTTGAGAGAGCGTTGGAAAGAGCTCTTTGCAATGACATTAATGCATTATTGGCTCATGGAAATATGCTTGCGAGGGTGTTGCTAGCGAGTCTAATACAGTCGTGTTCGAAATTGGTTTCATGCTTTACACATGAGAAACATTGTTTTCCTGGGCATTTTGATATCTACTTGCTGAGAAGGTACAGAACGACCCATGCAAAGTACTTATTGGAAAAATATTAGTACTCCTGCGTGTACAGTCGCGTTCGAAATTGGTTTCATTCTTTACACTTGAAAAACATTGTTTTCCCAGATATTTGGGTATCCACTTGCTGAGAAGGTACAGAACGACACATGCAAGGTACTTGTTAGAAAAATACTAATACTTCTGTGTGTAATCCATAATCATCTCTTTACTCTGCAAACAATAGGCCAAGTGCCCCTAATAGCTGCTGCTGTCGGTATCTCTTTCTCTCTGGAAAGTATTGTGGAGACGTCCGCAGGTACCGTGTCGGCAAGCAGGTCCATTATTGTCTCTTGGTTGAAAGCGCCAGAAGAGTAATATGGGAAACCGATTTCGGATCCAACTGTAATCCACAATCAGCTCTTTACTCTGCAAACAATTGGCCAAGTGCCCATAATAGCTGCTACTGTCGGTATCTCTTTCTCTCTGGAACGTTGTGGAGACGTCCGCAGGTATCTTGTCAGTAAGCAGGTCCATTATTGTCTCTCGGTTGAAAGCGCCAGATGAGTAATATCGGAAACCGATTTCGGATCCAACTGTAACAGTCAATAACAGCCTCATTTCATGTTTTATTTCTATCTTGGAAACAAAACCCAAAGAATTACTGTTTGCAATAGGCAGCATGCTTGTTGAACATTCATGACGAAGGTCATCCAAATACAATACGACTGCGATACTAATCTCTTTGAGTAGACGATCAAGGACTAGATCCGAATACGGCTGACTGTGTATGGTGTGCATACCTTAAAACGGGTGTGTGTGATCGAGAATCAATTTTATTGCCAACCTCCAATCCTCATGTATTCGCCGTAACGGTTAATTCAGTCAGCAGCCAACAAGCCAACAAGCCAACATGGCTACTCCACAGCTTCCAGCGAAGAAACGAGACAGGAGTAACGAGAGGTGTGATAGAGCAATCAAAAACATCATGTGGCGTTGTGAGCAGATAAGACGGCGTTACGGTGCAAAATTGTATATTCAAATACATCAGAAGCATAGGTACTATGAGTACTCGTCTTCAAATGAGCCCAATTTCCCCCGATCAAGGGCTGAGCTGGTAAGCTAAATCACACGCAGAAACCACTCAGGACTAAATCATTGAAGGTTACTACTTACCCGATTCCGGTGATGAGATCGCCACTGGATTATGCGGAAAGATGAATCTGTGGTGAAGGTGAAGGTCAATCAGATGTGACAGTTGGGTGCGACAGCATAGTGTCCTGTGAGATACGAATATTACATAGCTAAATAGTGAAAGCCTCCTGCCTCTCTTGGAACCCCTTCAAGCATCTATGCCTGCCTTCACAATCTAATTAATAACATATAAACAATCGACTCCCCAGACATCACCTCAGTGGAGATCAAGAGGGCAATACGCAGAGCCGCACCGAACAAAGCCCCTATGGTCCATGATATTACTAACATGTTACGAGCAGGTCAGGGCAACCAACCGTGGCACAAAGCAAAAGCTTCGGTAATGATGACTGTGGCATCATTATCCCCTGGTTTTGCACTATATAGCTACACCGGCAGCTACCGACAGGTTGGGCCGTAACATAACGGCATCTTACGTAAGTCACTGGACATCATCCGGCCAAGCCTCCGCAAACTCTTCAACGCGTATCTGAAACAGGGCTATTGCCTAAGACATTTCAAGGACGCAATCACAGTAGTCCTACGATAACCAGGCCAGGATTTCCACACAATACCCAAACGGGCCAATCGCATTTCTCAACACATTGGGGAAAGCTCTGGAGGTTATTATAGCAAATCGGCTTGCCTACCTTGATGGTATCCACGGACTGCTTCCAAGTCGACATAGGGAAGGAAGGAAACTAGCACTTTCTACTACAAAGGATACACCAGACTTGATCCTAGGGATAAAGTTAAAGGCGTAATGGGCTTCGCTTGATCTCATAGTTAAAATCTCATGTAGTAGAGGTGTGGAGTCGCTGTTCACGTGGATCAGTTGACGCTCCTTATACAGTAGTCAGCGAAAAAGCCTTCATCCTATTCCCAACTCTCTGATCTCTCTCCGCTCGGACGTGTAAGCTTTTTGCTGCTTACACAGTGTGGTTATTTTGTTTGTTTTACAGATCTACATCGTAGATGTGGTGTACGTCAGCTTAGACCGGATCCACACAGTTGAACATGTTCTCCATCTCCAATAACAGACGTTGGGTAATCCAAAACTGGCCCTTCAACCCACTTAAGACCCCTGGTGTTGATGACACAAAAGCCACTGTTTGCTCTAAGAAATTGATGGAGCACCCCTGTCAGTGAAAAGCTCCAGTGGGTTGGTATCGCCGTGCTAGTTCAAACTGTGTCGATGCCAAGATGCCAGACGTCCGTGCGGAAACACATCAGAGAGTTGCAGAGAGTTGAGAACAAGCATGAAGCCCTTTTCGCTGACCCCTGTAGAGTATAAGTCACTGATTGTTATGTAACAGCGCCAGGATTGAACCCTACAAGAAATAGCTTAATTGGGCTCTAGGGCGAGCCATTTCTGGCGTTTCCACCCCAACTCTGATAACTATTGCTCTTTCAGTACTCAGCCGTAATCTGCTATCTCAAGTTATCTGCGACCCCACACAACCACTACAAAAGTTGTTACGTCCTGGGACGTCCTGGGACAACGGTGACGACCTGGGACGTCCTGGGACAACGGTGGCGTTCTGGGACGTCCTGGGACAACGGTGACGTTCTGGGACGTCCTGGGACAACGGTGACGACCTGGGACGTCTTGGGACAACGGTGGCGTTCTGGGACGTCCTGGGACAACGGTGACGTTCTGGGACGTCCTGGGACAACGGTGACGACCTGGGACGTCCTGGGACAACGGTGGCGTTCTGGGACGTCCTGGGACAACGGTGACGTTCTGGGACGTCCTGGGACAACGGTGACGACCTGGGACGTCCTGGGACAACGGTGACGACCTGGGACGTCCTGGGACAACGGTGACGACCTGGGACGTCCTGGGACAACGGTGACGACCTGGGACGTCCTGGGACAACGGTGACGACCTGGGACGTCCTGGGACAACGGTGACGACCTGGGACGTCCTGGGACAACGGTGGCGTTCTGGGACGTCCTGGGACAACCGTACAACGGTGGGCGAATTCAAAATTTCAAGTCATCCGTTTTCCGCTATGGCTATCTTTCAGAAACAGACAGTCATGGCCCTCCTGCACAATCTCTCTATAGCAATCCTCTGCGAATAGAGAATAGCCTTTCGGAGAGAAAGGTAGGACCTTGTGGTCAACCATTAACTGTCTTATGATCTTGCCAACCCGCTTAGCCTCATTCTCATCGTCAAGATCAATGTCTAGATAATGCTCCCCTTGAAGGATCTCGTTTTTCATGATCTTCAGTGTCGCTTTTTTCGTCCTTCCTGCTTTTTGGGACTGGGGTTTGAGTGTCCCACTTGCTTGAACGTCTATCATAGGTTCGAGGCGCTCGTCTATGGTGGAATCCTGATTCTCTTCCATCAATGGGTGCATAGCAGAATGGCTCGGACCGCTCGGTACCGATTCCCCATTGGATATGCTGGTAACATGTGGTAGGTCACCAAAATCCTGTAGATCCTGGCGGAAGATGGCTTGGTAGATTGACCTTAGAAGGAATAAGCTTGTGACTTCTTTTCTTTTGATGAGGGGCTCCTTTTCGAGGATTTCCACAATGAGATTACAAGCATCCATCGAATAGGCTCTTTGGTCAAGCCATGGTCGAATATTCAGTTTCGTTGTGGTTGCATTTGTGGTGAAAGCGCTGTTAGTTTGTTTTTGCATCCCATGTTGACTGCTGGGAAATGCATTGACAATTTGATCCAGGACTATTTCATCGTCGGGTGAAATGAGGTCCTGATCCTGCGAACATCGAGCTAATACCATCGCATGTCTCGCTATTTCCCGATGAGCAGAGAGTCGTTTGAGAGATCGAATTTCGCTGGTGTTGAAGCCTAGCTCGGCCGCTAGAGTTGCAAATCTTGGCAAAATACCAGGATCAGTATGTATATACTGAAACTCTCTCATCGCAAACAGCCATAACTGTCTTATTCCAAGCTGAAAACTAGTTTCGAGAGTATCAAATTGATTCAGAAGCGTAGATTCTGACCGTCGTCGTAACGCTGGTGGGTCAAAGTTTTGCAACAGCATTCTCCGAAGTGTGGGACCTCCCCTCGTCAAAGGAACCAAACGCTTGATGCAATTGCCACACTCTTCGAGATATCGAAAGTCTTTGAAGAAAGTCATAAACGATGGGATCGGGAAGTCAAATGAGCAAAGCTTTGCCAACACTGCCAGTCGCTCAGAATGAGAGAAATTCATGAAAACGTCGCCTCTGAAAATGACGTCACGAAGCGCTTTCTCATCTGAAATTGAGAACCTTGGACACCTGAGCTGAACGGTTTCTACAGTTGCCCAATCTATTTTCTCTAATTCTTCAACTCTTCCTCCGACGATCTGCAGCCATGTGTCATAGATGAAATGGAGGTAGCTAAGTAGCTCCTGTGCATACGGTCAATATATATTTCTATGGTTTCCTTCTTTGGCCATGAAATTCGGTACAAACCTCGTCACATCGTAGACTGATTAGTTTGTGGAGAGTCCCTATTACAATTCCGGGCCAAATTCCTGGAATATATGATAAGCTGTAGAAGACCGCATGAAAGCCTTGGTGACCCAGAATTTGTTTCAGGCATCGTCTTTTATGAGGGGTGAGAGCCGTCTCTGAACGAATTTCGATATAAGCGTCTACATTAGTCTTGTTCTGTAAGATCTGACGGAAAATCTCCGCTTCGGTGGGACATTTTGCTCGATGACTCTGAGCTACGGTCATTCTCCAACACCAAATTATGATCCAAGCTTGTGGTTCTGAAAATTGCTACGTTCTTACATTGTCGAAAGGGTCGTATCAATTGAAGGGTACCGTACCATACTTAAATATTAGCTTATCGACGTAGCTTGACCGATGAATTACCGCAGTTATCGAACCTTTTAGGGCAACCAATCTTCTTCCTACACCTTGGGCCCTGTGACGCCGACAATGAAGTTTCGCCATATTTAGCTTTGTGAGGATATACACAAATTCATTACGACTAGATGCAAGGTCGAGGAGGCACCAAATTCGGATCATATCTGCAGCGTATTTTTGGCTTCGTACCCAGGTCTTCCGTGGCCCTTCACGTCTCAAATTTCTGGCTGCCCCTTCATGAAGCCTCTTTGGCATGGATTCCATGGTTTATTGTGTTATTACAGTACAGTAAAAGGCGTATTGGGCTTCGCTGAATTCTTTACTTAACATCTTTAGTGATGGTGGTGTGGAGCTGTGGCTTACGTGGCTGGCGGATTACTCTTGTCGAGACTTAGTACTCAGCAAGTAATCACTAACAGAGCCAGAAATGGCTGATGACCCTACCGTTGCTCCATTATAGCATGCAAGCACCTCAGGTCGTAGATTTCTGCACTGATCATCTCAGCTTCTTCCATCATTCCACCGGTAATGAGCAAAATGACCTGCTCTGTACTGTACCCTGCAAAAGTGAAGGCATATTTTGTATTAGGCATCCTCTGTGCGGATCTTGCTGATTCTCGGAAGTCTGGCTGGTATAATAATAAGAGGCGGGCTTCAAAGAAAATGATCGTCAAAATAGCCTTGCATGTTGAGGCAGGATTCTGAATTCAATGGCATGACATGTACTTCCAATTTGTCAAACGGATCAAAGCGTGCTACAAGGAACACAGCTGGTATTAAGAGATGTATCACCAGTAACAACAGAATCTGGCATGAACCCATAGATCAAAACTCCAGAAATATCATACATTCTCTAAGTTCTAGCAGTCTGATTCGTCTGTCCAGTCTCCATCTGATTCTTCTGTCCACTCCACCAAGTTCGACTTAGCAGATACTGTGTCGGGGTGATCAATACCAAGACAGCGCTGCCTTCGGTCAACACAGTCTTGTAACAGTTGAATAGCGTCATCTCGCCGGCCTTGATCTTTCCATGTGAAGGCGAGGTTGGCCATACTGCTTAGCGTGTCGGGATGATCGGCCCCGAGCTTCGTTACTCTCGTCTCCATCACCTGAACCTCTAGCTTTTCAGCCTCTTCCCATCGGCCCTGGTTCCAGTATGTCGCCGCTAGGTTGGCCATACTGCTTAGCGTAGAGGGATGATCGGCCCCGAGCTTCGTTACACTCGTCTCCATCACCTGAACCTCTAGCTTTTCAGCCTCTTCCCATCGGCCCTGGTTCCTGTATGTCGACGCTAGGTTGGCCATACTGGTTAGCGTAGAGGGATGCTCCGGACCTAGAATATCTTTGCGAACTCTTACAGCCTCTTGCACCACGGCCTCGGCCCTATCATATTCACCCTGCATCAGGATGTACCAAGATACATTCGTCAGTAATTCGCTCCATTCCAACCGGCCCCTGTCCTCTATGGGCTCATCTTCTAATAGTGGTTGTATATGGGGCATCAATATTTGACTTTGCTCCCACGTTTCGAAGACACCTGATGGAAAGTGAAGTGATGCAGATTTAAGAAATAGTCTTTCACACCGCCTTGAGTCGCCAAATTTCGAAATCCAGATCTTTGTACAAAATTGTACTAATGAATGCATCTCACAGAATCCTAGCGTAGACGTCAACGTCACAAGTGAATATCCTCGAAGAACGTCCAAGTCGTCCTCAAAATCATCGCTAGAGCCTATTTCTTCGCCTTCGTTATCACTCTCTTTAGCGTCTGCTGCGCTGATTTTGTAGTCATGCAGCATGTATTCGGGGATGTTTTGTGCCTGGAAATAACTCATGAGTGAAAGAAGGCCCGCCGCCCGAGGCTGCTCCCGTTTGATCTGCTCAAACGTCACCTGCCAAGTAACTATTACAGAATTCGACACGCCCTCGTATCGTCGAATATCCCCTCGATCGCTGCGAAGGAGAGTACCCTTTCTGTTTTCACTCTTTTGAAACTCTTCCAAGTATGACTGGATGGTCACCCGGCCGCTTCGCTTATGGATGTATGCCGCTGCTTGGCTTACGGCGAGCGGAATGTATTCGAGAGTTTGAATCAGGCGCAACGCCGCAGCTTCGTCGATATCCGACCCTAGCTTCTTTTTGAGAAGCTGTAGTGTTTGTGCTTCCTCCATTGTAGGGACTTTGAGAATCGCCTTGCCGTTGCCCGTTAACCTCTCTGCAGCGTCCCAGCTGCGGGATGTGACTAGGATTTTGCCGGTTTCCGTTTTAGGTAAATATGATGCTACAGGCAACTGCGCATCATATTGATCACTTTCTTTCGAGAAAAATACCTCCATATCATCTGCATTGTCAACAATCATCAGCCATGTGCCTGCATCCTCTCTCTGTAGCCAGTCGCGGACTAGCGCAAGGATATCAATATCAGGGTCGTGCCGACGCGGAAGCGCTAGAACATTTGCAATGTTACGGTAGGATTCTTCGAATGTCGCTTTCGAGCTACCGTTAACCCAGAAAATGCTGGCGTTAGGGGCGACAGCGCGAAGATGGTAGGCGAACTGGATAGCCATCTGGGATTTACTATTTCTGTGTCAGTATAACGTTCCATCGCAGTTTGTGTGACTTACCCAAACCCGCCAAGGCCCACCAGAGCGAAGCGGCTCACAGGTCCAGCGTGCTGTTCTTCAATCCATGTCCAAATGTCGGATCGGTTAACAAAATCGGCGTCGGAGGTAAATGGCATAACAAATTGAGGACTGCGAGCGACAGCCAAATCTTCGCCTTTGCTAGACTTTATATCGTGCATATCGTTTCTAATACGGACGAGAAGAATGCTGGACAAGTTAGGACATAGCGCTGGGGTATAAATGGGGCTTGCTCGCACTTTTGCTCTGAGCGCATGTTTTCAACTGCTGCTGTCGTCTTGTCCGCTGTCTGATGCAAATGATGTAAATCTTTCTGTACTAGTGAAAAATCAGATAATATCGAATAAACTGAATATGCATCACTGACTAGCAGTAAGTCCTTCGAGGAGAGGTTTCTCAGCCTTGACACTCTGTGGCGCAATCTGATGCAATAGATCCTTCGCATATGCTGCTGCCATCATGGCTGCGAAACCTTGCCACTCCTTGTTCTTGTGTGAATCGGCGTAGTCGCATATGCCCCGGATGATAAGGCAAGGGAAGTGGTTCATCAGGCCGGCGGCTTCCATCTCGAAGCAGAGGACATCCCTCTCCGCGGCTAGCTTATCCCGAACATTTGCATCCTTCATGAGCTGGTTTCCACTAGCAATCAAGCCGTAGTGAATAGCAGGATCGTCGTCTTCCTCATCTCGCTCATTCCTTGATACGAGGATGGTATGATCGTCGCCGCATGCAACGTCGCAGCCGTCAGTTGAGTTTAGAGGGTGTACAATATCAGACCTGTACAACCTGTCACTTGCCGGAGGAGGTCGGGTGTAGTTCTTCCGCTTTCTTATTTTCCCTAGTTTTTGGTTCACATTATCAATAAGTCGGTGGCCATTCATCTCGTATGAAGCTCTCAGCACGCCTACAGCGGCTCGAAGCACTCTTGGCGGTTCGTTCAAAAATCCGGTATCTTGGAACGAGAGATTCTGGATGGTTTTTCCAAAGTCGTACTGAAACACACCTCCTTTTCCGCCACCTGGGCTGCTGACAACAAGATCACCAAGTCGTATGTCATGCCTTCGGCTAGGCGCACCGCCTCCGATGCCAACCATTAGCCCGATGCGCACGTTTGGGAAGCTGCGAAGCAAGTCCTTGGCCACTGCAGCCGCTGAGGCCGTGCCGTATTCACCATCAGGCAATGATGCAACAACGACATTGTGCCTGCCAATCCTGCCTAGAATATAGCTGTTGTCGTCGTTGGGGGTGCGGTCGCGTTGGCTTTCGTGCTCCTCATCAAGGAAAGCTCGGGCAGCGACGGACTCGGGAGTGACAGCACAGATCCAACCGACCGTGTAGGCATGGGGATCAAACATGTTTAGCCTTCCCTTTGGATGATAAATTCTCAAGACGAAGCACAGACTCTCTAGAAATGAAGGATGATTAAGGCAGGCAGAAGAAGCGACGAAACAATCCGGAGGGGGGGTGCATACGCAGCGGAACTCCTCCTTTATTTGTTACATACAAGATCAGGCTGGCGCTGAGCACTTTTTGATGCGACCGAGTGGTTAGTGGCATCCTGCTGGTTATGTTAGGTGATTAACGAGGATCCTGCTGTCGCTCGCTCACTGCCTCTTGAAAGCATCATAAGAACCAACCAGGGAGTCCTTTGCTGTTGGCGTGCGGTAATGCAGCAATAGCGCGTTGGCGCAGGGCATGGTGGTGTTGTTTCATTGGTGAGTAAAGGACGATTCCTGCAGATATAGGCACATACAGGATCTAAAAAAGGGTGATACGCATCTAGAAAAATGGCACAAATAGCACAAATGACACAAATGAGATGACACGCTCTTCCGGAATGATGGGCCTCGGGGGAAGTGTTCGAGGGTAGATCAGCCGTAGCCCCGTTTGTCAATGTCGAGCCTGTTCATCCCATCGGTTTCCTGACATCAGAGTAATTAAGCTTGTTTTGATATAGTGGCCAAGGGCATGATTGTGGATGTGCAATGAAATGTCTTGGTGCTAGGCTTCATTTGTGAGACCCATAGAAGCCTGTGGAAACCTATAGAAACCATTTGAGTGGGGTCACCCGGTGTCTTATCTCACCTACAGACGAACAACGAGGCGATGTGGCGTCTCACGTCAAGCTGATTCATTTCATAAGGTACGCGCTATCATGGAAAGCTTCGATTTCGACTGGCTCGACGGCAATGATGCTATCAGTTATGAAACCCCCGAATACCTTCCCACCTCCGACGCTCCCATAGACGCACCGACCGCGGAGCAGCCCAGCTCAAACACCGAACGAGTCGGCCCAGTGCTGAACAGGCCGATCAGCCAAGTGGCGATCGCGCTTCAACACTTCTCCGACTGACTGATTGGGACAGCACCAAACAGTAAGACAAAAACAACCCCGAGTGTATTCACTATGATTTTCGATGGAAGGTCTCCCAACGTGAGAAGATCCGAGCAAGGCAAGTTTGTTCAGACACAGACCTCGATCTAATAGTCTTGGCTCCAAGCGATTTTTGGAAGGTCAACTTCGAGCCACGACTTACAACCCTATTGGAAGACAAGGATAAGTTTCCAGCAGATAAGCATACGTGTGAAGAAACGATTGTCGACATATCCATCGAGCGAAGCCGTCAGCGCGGTCTCAAGAAGCTATTCAAGGGCCTGGAGATCGATTGGGATACCGTTAATAGCCATTTGGAAGGCCTTAGCGACTTGTTCAGCAAGAGAAGGAAAATAACTCTTAGGGTGGAGCTTATTTTTAAGGAAGCCATTGGCGATAGCGCGGCTGTGAAGAGCAAGAAGAAAGGCCAGAGCGCCACTGAGGCTCAAAAGCTTCAGAGAGCCGCCGATGCTGGTCTGTGGACCCGAGTGTATAGGCATCATCGCTGCGGAGGCAAGTTCTGCAAGCAAGGACCCCACTGCTGGATTGACGAACGAGGAGACCACCATAGGTTGCTGCCGAGCCACCTAGAAGACATCTTCAATCATATTAAAGGGAATATGAAGGAGGGTGAGAAAGAGGAGGAGGTTGATGTGAACATCGAGATTCCATCAAAAATCCTTGGGGACATACTGAACAATAGTCGGAAGCGAAAGGCAGAGGACTCTGACGGCTGTCGTGGCTGTAAAGCCCATGCCTCATCTCATGGTAGGCTTCGTGATTCGGGCGAGGCAAGCTTGGGCGAGGACCCTGGAGAGATTGAGGGTGACAGAATGGATAGACTCGAGGAGTACTGCGATTGGACATTGCGACAGGTTAGGAGCGATAGATGGAGAGAGGCTCTGCTATTCGCGAATCGGTTTGCGATGGACCAGTTTCTTGAACTGAATTCTATCTTGAAACACCCAAAGGTGGCGGCGGGTTTGATGGTAAAAGGCGGCGTGAAGCCAGGCATTGCACTGCAGTTTGTGAGCAACATCCACAAGTTCCGACAGGAGACAAAGACGCCTTGAAAGAAAACGAATATCTGGTATCTTAGCCTATTTTGAATCTTTATTGAATTTATCCTAGAGGCTGTGTGATAGATATCCCCGCATGATGAAAGTGATTCTCTGCAACCTCGGCATCGTCCCCAACGACGTGGACGCACCACTCCAGAAACATCTTGAACTCTCTAGCAATAAAGTCCTGGTTTTTATACCTTTTTTTCTTAATTGGATATCTCTCACAGTGATGTAGAAGCTGAGCTATAAAGTCTTCGAACAAGTCACTATCTGTAGAGCCTTGGTATACTCGCCTTAGAACGATGCCATCCTGTGCGTAAGCTGGTAGGATGTGCCATCTTTTCCCGCGACCGAACTTTGTGGTCTCTATTGGAGAAGAACCTTTCGGAGACCATCCCCAACGACGGTATCCAGCCCTCCTATCGCAGCCAGACTCGTCAACAAAGAAAAGCTGGTAGGATTGGTACTGCGATATCCGATGCAGATAATGGTCTCGCAGGTCATCATCCCGTTGTTGTGCGATACGACGGATTGTCTTCCTCGTCCACCCGATTGATCGCAAGGTCCGACCGATTGATCGCTCCGATATTCTCGTGCTGAAGTGGTGATGAATAGCATGTCACACAGGGCTTTCTGCATTCGTTCCGTCATGCGACGGCGGCTGGCAACACGGGTTGTTCTACGAGCAGGCATTTCGGCATCTGGTCTCTTGAGACGCATTTTCTGCACAGTGCGCACCGAGCATGAAGCTTGTGAGGCTATTAGCTAAGGATCAAAGCCGTTCGCGAGTAGAGTTTTGATCAGAGCATGCTGGCCAGCATCCGATTGCGGCGCCATAGTCGTATCCTACAATAACGCGCCGGCCGGTTATGGTGTGCAGAGATGAAGAGGGAGACCCATGGGACGGAGACCCATGGGACGGAGACTGGGAGCAAATACGGGACACCTGGCAGTTTATGGATGCTGGATTCATGACGGATTACCAGTAAGCCATTTCTGGCTCTGTTAGTGGTGATTCATGTGTACTCCATCACTACAAGAATAATCCGCCAGGCCGCAAGAGCCACAGCTCCACACCACCATCACTAAAGATGTTAAGTAAAGAAGTCAGCGAAACCCATTACGCCTTTTACTGTAGCATGCCACCTTGAATATCTCCCAAATATTCAATTTCCTACAAGATATAAGGAGGCTGAAGCGATGTTGTATCGGATTTGATGATTTCAAGGTTCGCCTCTGGCACCACCTCTTGTCACTTTGCGTCCAGCTGGTCTGTAGCCAGCACAACTTGTACTGCCGCCCGAACCGCTTGCATGCTGGCGTCTATTTAGTTCAGTCCGATAAGGTTTGTAGAAGCACATATTGCCTATTTTATGTTTCTGTGCATTGTGTGTTGTCCAATTTTCGCTCGACGGTCTCTGCCACCCTTTGCCAATGCGTAAAGGCGCTGCTTAGCTCCAACGTAGATGTCCTCTCGTGCCATACTCTTTCTGTTCTGAGCTACGGGAATTAAATTAAATGACGTTGAGTTCGTCGTTTACAACTGTGCTTGTGGCGTCGTCTTCAGCGGTTTCGCGCGCTTGGTCTT